CTCATAGGGAACGCGCGATATCCACCCTTGGCAAAATTTCGCTCCCAGAGGAAGTTCTTAGTATTCTCTCGTTGTTTCAATCACTGCCTCTTGTCCGTGTCGATGGCGCGAGGCTTCATCGCGCTGTAAACACCTGCAGTGAAATCTGATAGCGAGTGTTTCATTCAAGGTGCAATTACTTCCAGATCAGTCATCTTGCCTCCATCTGACCCGGTGGCTCAGAGCAAAGCCTGGTGCCAACCCCGATCCGCTGTCGAGTAGCCTCACCCGCAACATAGGACATCGATACACGTCGCTGAGTTCGACAAGCTGCGGGCAGGACCAATAATTTCTCTGGTGACTCCTTAATGCTTGATCAGCGATCAGAATGTGGTCAGGATACAGGAGCGCTCGCAAACTCTTTCTTGAAAGAGCCTCGCTACTGCCATTCGAGAAATCAGTTAAAAATTGAAGGTCCAATAAGGGCTGCCGCGGATTTTCACTCGCACCCCCATTTCCCCGCGAGAGATTGCGGTGTTTGAAGTCTTCTCTTCAATTCAGACGTGCCGCACCTGTCTCCCGGCGTCCCCTCGATAGAGGTGGCGAAATGAAGAACGACCGACAAGAGAGTCGCTCCGCGGTGAATGATGCGGGTGATTAAATGTAAATATATCCGGTGATTTATCTGTTGACAGACATACCGACCACTGCCGCTGAACGACAGATGGACACACAGACTCTCATCGAGCTTGAATGAACTATCTGTTCCTGAATGTGTGCTCGCTGACTTGACAAACGGCCCAATTTGAGAGATCATGACCACCGGAATCAGCCTCATGAATTGAATGAAGTCAATTTGTGGCGAGAGAAGCTTGTTTGGAGCCCCCGATCAGAGCTATCTCCTACATCTGGCCACACCGCTCCTGCTCCCTATTGGTCATGATGATGATGATCATTGGCATCGTTGTACCGATACATCATACCAGCCCCATTGTCGGCTCCGACTCGGCTTCAGAAGCTCCCTAGCTTCCAATTAGACTCTCCTCATGGGTTGACTCCGATCGGGATATTCTTCTCAAACCTGGTCCCATGAATGATGCTTTGCGCATCGTTTGGATTCGGATGGTCGGACTATATTCGACTTGCTCCGATGCCAGCCGACGTTCGCACCCCATAAACGCCCCCGAAAGCCAAAGACGGATACCAAAGCCCGAAAGCGGAGGCCAAAGACAATGATGACAGTCCGAGCGACCGCAATCGAAGTCATCCCCGACGTTTCGGCTCCCCCACATCAACGGCGGGCTGGATCTGCCCACTGTAACCTCCAATTACGAAGACGCCTCCACAGACGATCCACTCGAGCAACCGTTCTGTGCGGCGATGTTCGCTGCCAATCCTCTCCCTCGCATCGAAGCTTGAGGACAGACCTCCCGCTCTTCGACCTGCCTTCCAGGAAGGGGAAAATGGTTTTCCCGGTGGAAGGGCACCATGGAGGGAACGGGGTCAGGAGTGGCGTTCGACATCGTTCTCGAACCGGAATCTTCCTTCGGTTAGTTACCGAACCCAAACGGAGAATGAGGGCGAATGGACCAGGGCGTCGCCCGCTGTTTGACGCGAGGTAGCAGATGTCGTTGCCTGGCCAAGTCAAATATTTTGAACGGGAAACGAACAGACGACATTGAAGATTCAATTCGCTCGCATTCGTCCGAGAAAAAAAATTCTGTTCTACGACAACAAGCAGAATCTCTCGGTCAAGCAAACAAAAGCGAGAAATCGAGCAGAGCACCTGTACGCTCGGACGGCGATGCGGTCCGTTGCAATCGCCCACCGGTCCGTTCGGGTGACACCGCTACGAGAGGAAGTGAAGACAGTTTCCGACCAGATCAAAGAATGGAGATTTCAATACGCAAACGAACGCCTGGATTCCCGTTTCCTCTGAGCGTCGCCCATAACGTACGCTTTGACAAACTCAACAGACCGCATCAGAACTTCCCTCATCCGCGGGGTGTATGAGAAGGTGAAATTCAGATCACGCGTTCGACTCTAGAATCACTTGAACGATTTCGAGTGACGCGAACCACAGCGAGCCACCGAATGGTTTCACGCTCATTTTGCGTGCCTCATCCTGAGGATGACATCCTCACATTCACTTCAGTTCCAATTTCGGTGTTGCCCATCCTGTGCCGATTATATTCCCTCCGAGAACGCGGAACCCGGTATGGGTAGATAAACGCGGGAGACTCGTCGATCGGAAGCCGAAGTTAATGGTTCTATTCGACTTGATTCATTGAGAGCCGAATTCCTCGAAGGCACCCCAGCCTGGCCTCGCTCCGTCTCCACCTGGCTTTCCCCGCTGCGGGTGGAGAAGGCGTGCGTTTGAAGTTACATTCCACAAAACCATATTTTCCAGATCACTGAGTTCAACATGTCAGGAATCTCCCACTCTACAAAAGTCTACGAAAGCGATCTGTGAGCGAGTTCGCGAACTCCGCGCTTAGCTCGGAGCGAATCTTGAGCCACAACGCTCTAGGCCCGTAGAATGGACAGACATTCTTTTTTTGAACGATAGACGACGACATTGTTTCATTTTCTATGTTAATCCGTCATCGATATGACTCAGTCAGAGCCGGGCATCGGAAGCGCGTTCGAACAAGGCGACTTATCGACAATTTCTCAAGGACCGGGGGTCGGGAACTAGTCGATATCGCCTGTAGAGAATTGAGCTTCTCGAGGACAATGATGGGAACCTTTCCTAGACCGAGGATCCTTGATTCCGACGGTCGGTCTGATTTCCGTGACCCAGAGCGAAATTCGGGGTTTTCGTTCCGGACCTGTGGTGCTCCGTCCGGCTCAGGAATTCAGCGTCATGTGTTTCGACGACGCCACGCTCGGATCCTGCACCGAAAATCCAATATTCTCAGCAGTGCTTCAATCATAAATCTCATTTAATCGACCCTCCCGACTGCGCTGAACTTTGCCCGAGTACCGAGCTTGGAGGTATATTCATGAGAAATGGCGAGAAAGGAGTATCATGGCAACTTACCTATCGATGGGACAGTCAACGTCTCCATCATAGCTGAAAAAAAAATGTCGCCGAGGGGGACAACTCCATGCATCGTGAACTCCATTAATTCTACTTAGCCTCCAGCTATCGATCGATGCCCCGGGGGACAACTTGAAGCGACTCGACTCTAGAAAAACTGATGAAGTTATTAAAAACACCTTTAGCCGACCGCGAAAGCTCACAGCGTGCAGTCATCACGACAACTAAATGCTGCGAAGCGGAGGCCGCGACTTGTCGATTCGCTGTGTCATTTACTGATGTAAACCGAATCGGATTCCTTTCACTGACCACCGGAATGGATGCTGGATGGCGATTCAAATTAGGAGAATCAATTTTCATAATTTGATCGAGTCTTTTAGTGGACCTCTCGGGATAAACGCAATCGATGGGGACTTGATGGAGGGTTTTCAGTTTTCATTGTTGATCGAAGTTCGTTACTAGAGAATATTGAGATTCGCAAGATTCGCTCTCCGCAGCAACCGAATGTCCTCTCCATCATTCCGTGATTTGAGAAGAAGGAAAAAAAATGGTGAATATTCAAATTGTCTCGAGACTTCCTCCACGGGAACAGAGACAAGTCACGTGTCCCAAAGAGTGGATTAAAAGCTCGTTGCCGCGTGGACGGGGTAGCGACTTAATGAAAATATTGAATAAGCCGCGCTACTGAACAACCATCATCGAGCGTTTGACTTGAACTTTAGTCATGAGTTTTTCTAAGGCTTAATGACGCTTGCCGCTCATCAGTGTAGCGAGACTCTTCAACATCGGTCGAGTCTCACTCGAGACTGTTGAATAATCCGGGGTGGGAGCGTGTGAGCTCGCTTCATTCGAAACGCTCGCGTACTGATTCGTTTCTCGAGGGGCTTCTGGATTTGTCCGATCATCCAGTGAGCGTCAATCAAAGTTCAAGTTCTCGGTCAGCTCAATGGATCCGCTTAGGGATGCGTTTTCGAATTCTGGATCATGGGGCAACCCGCATTCTCTCGAACCCCCTATCAAGGTCCTCGGGATCAGGCTTCCTCAGTATCTTGAGTATCGAACCAGTTTCTGCTATGATTATTAAGAGTATACAATGTCAAAGTGTCCTATGAGTGCACTCTGAGAGCCGATCGAGCGGCCATCTATTCGTCGATGGGTTGGTCGATACGCCGGCCAGCGGTCGTCATTAGTGATTTGACTTCCTGTATTCGAAGATGCAGCATCCCGAACAGCTTCAGCGGCGACACCACTCATATCGTCCATCAGAGCACGCCCATTGCATCTCCCCGCATCTGCATTTTCTCTTCTTATTACCAGGAGAGCCTAGGGTGGGTCGGGATTGTTCTTGAGCGAGAAAGCGGGCGAGTGAACGAGCGCGCTGGCCATCTATCCATTCCGCTCCTACAGCGGCGGAGCGCATCGCACAATGCACTTCCGCTTCTTTCTCATTTTTCTGACCCCATACCGACGGCTCTGGTCAACTCTAATCAATCGATCAATGACCTCACGGGGAAACTCCCAAGTTGGCCCCTGTATCTTCGGTTTTTCGTCCTCATTCATTCCAGGATTGCCGAAAATTGCCCTGTGATATGGCTTTTCAACGAAGCAGCTCCCATGCTCTCATCCGCCTAACTCGTAAAGCTCTCCAGGTGAGGGAGCCACCCCCCTTACGGGCGAAATACCGAGGGAACTATTGAGCTTCGATGGAAATCGCCGCGAGAAAAACATCGACTTCGCTGCTCCAAGGAGGACTTGAGCACTGTCTAGTGGTCGAGCCTTGATTCATTGGCAAGTTTCTGCAGAATAAGACGAAATATTCGCACGGTATCGATCTCGCAATGACGAGAAGTCGGAAAGATGCCAAAGTATCTAGAGAGATCGAATTCTAAAATTGATACCGAGACATGATGAGTGGTGGTCAGGACTGGCGACGCGACGTCCACAGCTCCTCTCTATTCACGGATTCGAATTCCGCGCGCGCGGGGCGGGCTGTGACCATGGATGTTATTGCCGCCGGATCTCCTCGAACGTAGTCCCTGAGTGAGATCGGATCGAATTCTTCTCGACACCGGGAGGGAACCTGTGCAGGTGAGATCGGTATTCCTTCGCATTAAGAGATGTGCTCTCCAGGAATAGCATCATAATGGTTCTCAAGGCGAGATTTCGACGTAGGTGAGCAGAATGGCTAATGAAGTACCCTGGGTGGAAAAATACCGCCCGGAGAAATTCACCGAAATCGTCGGAAATGAGGAAACAGTTGCGAGACTAGAAGTATTCTCCAGGCAAGGTGGGTTCATAGCTCAATGCGAGTACTCCGTTCCTTCGCTCTGTCGGCAGAATCACTCCCCTGACCTGCCGGTACCCTGATTCTGTGCCACAGATTCGTGTTCGATGCTATTATATATGGTCGAGCCAGGGCTACCTGACGTTTTCTCTCGATATTCCCCCAGGAAACGTACCCAACATAATTTTATGCGGACCACCCGGAGTGGGGAAAACGACGACCATACTGTGTTTGGCTCGTTTGCTCCTCGGATCCTCATTCCGTGAAGCTGTTCTGGAATTGAATGCATCAAACGACCGTGGTATCGATGTGGTTCGGAACAAAATCAAGATGTTTGCTCAGACAAAGGTATGACAGCCGAGTTCATCCTCCCGAGAATACTGATTCGATTCGCTCATCTCCGACGCGCCCCGGAGTCAACCGGGACACCTGGAATCGAGCTAGATCGCCGAATCTTACCCTCGATCGTTTCCGTTTTCGTCTTCATAGGTGACATTACCTCCAGGACGTCACAAAATAATCATTCTCGACGAGGCCGATTCCATGACGGAAGGAGCTCAGCAAGCCCTGAGGAGAACCATGGAGAACTTTTCGAAAACGACCCGCTTCGCGCTAGCCTGTAACACATCGGACAAGATTATTGAGCCGATACAGAGTCGATGCGCAGTCATCCGTTTCGGCAAACTCAGCGATGCACAAGTACTCGCCAAAATCATAGATATTTGTCGAAAGGTTCGTATGATAGTGATGGCGAACGAGTGCTCGAATCCAAATCGATGGAGAGCCGTCGGCGTGTACAGCGCAACGGAGCGAGTCTCGAATCACAGAAATTCCGATGAATCTCTCTCGGTTTGCAGGAGAACGTATCGTACGCTGAAGACGGGCTGGAGGCGCTTGTGTATACCGCTCAGGGGGACATGCGTCAAGCGATAGGGAATCTTCAATCCACGCATGTGGGTTTCGGCCATGTGAACGGGAAGAACGTGTTCAAAGTCTGCGATGAGCCTCATCCGTTGATCATAAAAGAAATGATTGAATATTGCGCGAAGGTGAGCCCGCGCTCCCGGATTCGAGTTCTCACAGTTCTACTCTTATTTTTGCCCTGCATACAAGCTCCTCCCTCCTTACAGGGTGATATCGATGAAGCCTATGCTCGAATGCAGACCCTCTATTCGTTGGGATACGCGGCCGAAGATATAGTTTCCAATATGTTCCGCGTTACCAAAACGAACCAAACGCTTCCCGAGTACTTGAAGCTCGAATTCATCAAACACATTGGCTTGACGCACATGACTGTCCTTCAGGGACTTGGATCTCTCCTACAACTGACCGCCTTGCTAGCCGATCTCTGCCAGACCATTGAAATCAAGAGTTAGCCGGAGTCTCTTTGAGGTCCCAATGTTTCTATTATCTGTGTTCATAACGTCCGAAGAAATACACAAAGCTCGATTTCTGACTGACTCAGAATCTTGAATTGTCTTCTGGGCTCCTGGGGCTTCGCCGAATGAAAATCTGATTGGGGATACTTTCAGTGGTAGCAAAGCTCGGCCGAGAGTTTCGGATCATGCTACGAGACCGGACGATTACGTCGCCTAGATGAATCCTCCGGCTTATTCTCCGAATGCGAGAGAATGCGACACATGTAGTCTCGAAGTTTGAGTTTATTGTCGTTGCGGTTTGAAGGGAGATAAATGTCAATGTACAAAGGAAAATGATCATGCGGATTCGATACTTGGAATCGCATATTAGAATTGTCTCCGGTGATACTTATCAGGCTCAAAGTACGACGTGACAACGACACGATTGCTGAACTTCCGTCCAGTCAGGGCCTGTTGAGCCTTCTGGCAATCAGCCACAGAGTTGAACTCGACGAACACTTTCCCAACTCCCGGTACGTCGACCCCCTGGATGGGTCGAGGGATTTCAATGCTCTTCACGTGACCGTATTTGTTGCATTCGTCTTGAATATCTTCCAGGATATCGTCGTATTCTTCTTCGTCTCGGAGTTCGTCAGGGGTCACAAGATTCATCAGACAGAGAACTTCGGTTGCAGGTCCAGAAGATCCGATAGGGACATTTGGCATACCCGGAACCTGAATCTGTACAGGGACTGCCATGTTGGAATTCTTAGCGCCGACCGATGCGCGCTGCACAATAAGTTTTTTGTCTCCCAACTGCATTCCGTTGAGACCTGCGATCGCATCGTCTGTGATCGTCACTTCGGCGTACTCGCAGAAAGCGTAACCTTTGGATAATCCTGCGAAAAGAGTTGTCCGGGAGAGTGAGATTCGAGGAGACCCGATATGTGTAGGTGGTCAGCGAATCGAATGGCAAGGAAAAGTCTCGAGGGACCCGAGAATCGGGAAGACTCGAATTCGGAAACGGAGCCTACCTGTAGCCGTATCCTTGACCAGGTTGAAGGCTTTGAGCTGTCCGAAGGACATGAGGAGTTCACGGACTTGATCCTCATTGAGGTAATTGGGCAACCCTCCAATGAATACTTTATGCGGAGAGTCCTGAACGACAGTCGAAACGACTCCCGGAATGACCGATCCTTGAGACTCGGACATGCCCGGCATGGGTTGGTAGTCGTGTGGACGTCGAATCTTCAATGATTGACCCTGTAGAAGGAGGACGTGATCAGCACGAGCCCTCACTCGACCTTGGGATTGATGACGGACATTTTCTCTGCTCGCTTCGGAGGCTTTTTCACCGAGTAATTTGCGAGACTCACCTTGAAGTTTATACCGTCGAACGACATGGCGGCTGAAGTTTCGTCGATTGATCGAAATTCGAGGAAAGCGAAGTTCTTGTCCATGTTGATTTGACACGCGAGAACGGGATTGCCCTGAGCTTGGGCGAAAGCGCATGCGTGCATCTGCACATTAAAGTAGTCGATCATTTCCTGCTCAGTACAGCCGAAAGGAATGTTGCCGACGTAGAGACGCCTGGCTTGGCGCGTGATGGTACTGCCGATTACGGGCTGTGAAGGCTGGTGATTCGTCGTGATCGGGGGCGCAAGAAGCGTCGCGGGAATCTGGCCGGAAGCCTGCATGGCCTTGTACTGTAGCGGGGTTATATGCTCGAAACCCGGAGCGGGGACATCCCAGTAGAGCGACGGCTTCTTGCGGCGAGCTTTCCCAGAGGCGCCCTGGCCGGGTCCACCGCGTCTGCCTCGGGAGTCGGACCTAGATCTACCTCTGTTGCGGTCCCGGGAGCGGTCCCTGCGATCCCGCGATCGTGATCGACGACGACCTGATAATGATAAGGCATATGTTATTCAAAATCTCACCGCGAGCACCCTTGAGGTCGAGAATTTCGTTTTGAGCGGAAAAGCCGATCCGTTGTGGAACCTTCGTTTCAATACAGCAATGCGGGTCGCTTGTTCCAGTAGCCCTGGAGATATGCGTCGAAATATCACTACAGTCTGCGCTTCGGCTAGAACGATAATGACTGAAAACAGGCAGCGAAAATCGGAGGATACCGACCCGACGGTGCGGGCTACTAGCTCCAGCTTCAAGGAACATTTCGACGCTCCCTCGAAATTTCCGTATCGATAGTTCTGGTTGTACTTACGATCTCTATCCCGATCCCTGTCTTCTCCCATTTCGATGAGATCTTTTCCGCCTGAACTAGCAGAGGAATCTTACAAGTTCACGAAGCCGAGCTAGCTCGGTGGAAGCAGCCCGAGTCGAAGTATCAAACCGAAGCTCGGCATAAACAAACTCGTCTCACGATGCCACCACACTGGAGCGAAGCCGTACCACAGTTCCAACGCCACCACTCAAAAAACAATCTCAACGAGTCGTAAAATGGAAGCCGTGCATACTAATCGATATAGAGTTGAGTGCCGTCAATCGAGGGGATCGTCAGTGAGTTTCATGATCGGTTCGCGTGATGAACAGGTCTCGAAGCTTCTGGAGCGTGGGCTGGCGTCTCGACAGGTGATCACCGCGTGGTACGCTCTGTGGTACTTCTCTCAAGCCGCTCCCAAGCAGACGATCCCCTTCCATACTTGGAATACCGCGTGCTTTTAGCGCTTGTTCTTTGACAATTTCTCGTTCAGAGTCTCTCAAATTGAAATGTTTGCCCCCGGACAGATGCCGATTCTGGTGTTAAGCCAGAACACCAAGCGGGATTCTGGTCGGAAGGTTCAGTTAGACAATATCCGAGCAGCGAAAACTGTCGCGGATATCATCCGAACATGTCTCGGGCCAAGAGCGATGCTGAAAATGTTGATGAACCCCATCGGAGGTAAGGAGAAGTTTCCGACTGGTGGCATTTCGACTCCCTGGGTTTCTCGGTGCGAAGTCGAGCTATTGTCCGTATGTGACTCACCGGTATTGTCATGTACGCCCATCACTCCCGATACGGTCGAAGCGCGACGCTGGTTGTGATAACCATGGAGTCGTCGCGCCTGAGACTCCTTATTAGTCGGAGCCTTTCTCTTTCGATGATACTAAATTTCATTGTACAGGAATAGGGAGTCGTATTTTGGCGGTGATGCTGTCAGCGCTGGGATCGAATCGAAGTCCGCGTATTTTTCCAGGGATCGTTCTCACCAATGACGGCAACGCGATCCTCCGGGACATCCAAGTTCAACACCCGGCCGCGAAATCCATGATCGAGATCTCTCGTACTCAGGACGAGGAAGTGGGCGATGGGACGACTTCCGTTATTGTCCTCGCCGGTGAACTCTTGGCCAACGCGATTCCGTTCCTCGAGCAAAACATGCACCCGACCGTCATAATCTCAGCCTACCGGAAGGCTCTGGAAGAAGCGGTCGAGATCCTTAAAACGAAAGTCGCCACCGAAGTCGACGTGAACAACGTTGGCCAAATGACCGATATCATCAACTCATGCATCGGGACGAAGTTCATCTCCAAATGGAGCGGACTTGCCTGCCAAATGGCTCTTCAGGCTGTCAAAACCGTATGCATCGAGCGCCATGGAACCAAGGACATCGATATCAAGAACTACGCCAAGGTAAGTTCAACCTGACGAACTGAGTGAGCCTCATGGTCGACTCCCTCCCGAACCCTCTATCTTCAGCACCCGATTTGTGACGATACCGAATTTTTATGTACATAATTGTATGATGATCATCGTCAATTTCGCCCTCAGATCGAAAAGATCCCCGGAGGGGCGATCGAGGATTCCGAGGTACTCAACGGTGTCATGCTGAACAAAGATGTCGTGCATCCCCGCATGCGCCGACTCATCGAAAACCCCCGCATCGTCCTCCTCGACTGCAATCTGGAGTACAAGAAAGGGGAATCTCAGACGAATATCGAAATCTCCAACGAAACCGATTTCACGAAGATTCTCGAAATTGAGGAGAAATACATACAACAGGTGTGCGCCGATATCATCTCGGTCAAGCCAGATCTGGTCATCACAGAGAAAGGTGAGTTGCTAAAGATAGAGTCTGTGCTTGGGCACCGATATTTTTCTAAGCGGAATCTGCGGAGCTTGACGTGTCCCCCCACCCTTCACAGGTGTGTCCGACTTGGCCCAGCACTATCTCATGCAGGCCAACATCTCTGTCATTCGACGAGTCCGAAAAACAGACAACAACCGTATCGCTCGAGTGTGTGGAGGAACCATCTGCAACCGCACCGACGAACTGAAGGCTGACGACGTCGGAACAAAATGCAAGAAGTTCGAGATTAAGAAGATTGGAGACGAGTACTTCTGCTTCCTCACCGAGTGCGTCGATCCTAAAGCCTGCACGATCGTTCTCCGAGGTGCGAGCAAAGACATCTTGAACGAGGTCGAGAGAAACCTCCAGGACGCAATGGCTGTTGCCAGGAATATTGCCCTCGATCCGAAGATCGTGAACGGGGGTGGCGCGGTCGAAATGCAGGTCGGCTATGAACTCAATCAGAAGGCGAAGGCAATGACCGGGATCGACCAATGGCCATACCGTTCGGTTGCGAGATCTCTAGAAATCATTCCGGCGACCTTGATCCAGAACTGCGGTGGAAACACTATCCGCATGCTGACGCAGCTCCGTGCCAAGCACGCGAGCGGTGACCACGGCTACGCGATCAACGGAGAATCCGGAGAGGTCGTCAAAACCGAGGATCTCAAAGTTTTCGAACCGCTGGCGGTCAAGGTCCAAGCCTACAAAACTGCCATCGAAACGGCGATCCTATTGTTGAGAATCGACGATATTGTTAGCGGCAGCAAGAAGGCCTCCTCGTTGGAAGATGGGGCGAGGCAACAAGCCCCCCAGGTCACCGAAGAATCGACTAAGGAATGAAAATGTTCATATGGCTTATTTATACGCTAAATAAAACAGCATTCAGGATGAGCTTATCCCCGTTTCCTTTTCGGAAGTACTGCGTCGGAAGACGAATATATGGAACAGTCTGCAGGCTTCCCGAGAAATTGATGCGAGGACCCCTGAAGCGATATTTCCCCTACGGGAGCTGCCCCCGTGGGTCCCGAAGTATTCATCAATAAATGTCTGAGTGAGTCGAGGCAACGCCGGTTTGTCAAAGCTCGCTAGGCGGATTCCCTCAAGAACGGCTTCCCTCAGAACCTTGCCGATAAGATCGAGGTGTCGCTTTCATAAACCGCATAAAAGACACCGAGGTTGTCCACAGGAATCGGTCGACCCGCTGACGCGCCACGCGCGATACATGCCCAAGGTTCCGTAGCCATGTGTCTCCCGATACGTTCTCGGAGAGCCTCGGCATCGAACAACCTGCCGCTGAATATATGTACATTCGTATCGTGCGGTTCAATTTCATCCGATTCCAGTTCAACTGATGTTGACGAGAAGACCGGAGATGAGATGGAGGTTTTCCATATATTCATGTGCAGCCCGGAAGGGAACAGGGAAAGTCCACAAAGCGTCCTAGCAACCCAGTTGTTTGTTTTGGTGCGCGACCGGATTGATTCGATGCCCGCCTATTGAGGATTTCTAAATTCCGATTAGAAGGACCGGCTCGCGCGCTCTGAGCACGTGCAGCTGCCGAGAATACCGCCATTGTTGTTGCTGTTTCGTAGTCCCTTTCCCACCTAGGAGGCAAAAGCAAGGACGCGAAGAAGCGCGTGTTCGACCGGTCTTCGGAACACGTGAACACCCCCCAGCGTAGAAATCGTATCCAAGAAAGGAAAAGTCCGATGGCCTGCTGTGATACGCGACATCGAGGCCCGAGGATGGCTCTGAACCCGGACTGAAAGCTCTGATGGGCGCGCAAAATTTTCAAATCGACAGAGCTCGCTGGACATATGATCTACAGCAGGGTCTCATTGGAGACGACAGCGGCTCTCGGGTGTCTCCCGTGTTGGTTCTTGAGACAGTTCTGCGAGGCGAGAAAGAAACGTGAACCCATGTCGGCTCGTGCTTGCGATTCTGCAAGCCGTGGAATACGGACTAGTGACTCCGATTAGACTCGAGTGCGGATTTCGATGCCCAGGATCTTTCCAATCCTATGACCTGAAATACAATCGCGCGAATCTCGTCGTTTCTGATGATTCCTCCTCCAATAAGTTTTACGAGGCGCTGCGCCACGGTCGCTCCTCAGGAGAGTCTGAAATTTTAGACCGCATACTATCCCTATACGATCAGCTACGGCGAATCTCCCACTCCAATTCCCCGGAAGGCCGACTCGAGACAGCTTTCTGTGACACAGGTTTTCGGATGCGCTGATAGTAATCCTTAACAGCTTCAAGCGACAAGGTGGCGATTCGCGTAGCCCGACTTGGTGGCCAACGCTCTTTCATTTTTTGAGCCCTCGGTGACGTGGGCTTTCCTCCTTCCTCATCGAACGTCAAACGGCACTTCAGAGACGAATACGGAGTCAACAAGGAAGAAAGCGTTTCCTTTTCGCCGAATGAAGTTGCTGCCACGAATCAAGGAAGTTGACAAGGCGACGTAATTTACGGTTAGGCGTGACTATCTGTCAATCGTGCTCGACAGACCAGGGATCGCACTCGGAGGGCCGAAGCCCGCGTTCCGGAGGTGAGTGCCGCACACCGCCGTTTACGGATCGCCTTGACGGATTCCGGATCGGGCGCCTAATTTGGGACATCGGGTTTCAGTCGTGGGAGCAGTGAGCTACCACGGCTCCGAATGTTTCCGAGAGGTATTCAGGCTCATGGAATTCAAGTTGATAGAATGGCGCCCTTGCGTCGAAGCGTCTTTCAGTGGAAATCTCGGTACTTTCCAGATCCTACGACCATGGCGAGTTTATATCTGAGTACATGTCGAGCCCCCGTGAACATAGCCGTGATCAAGTACTGGGGCAAGGAAGACGAGCGTCTCATAATCCCAACTAACGACTCGTTGTCGCTCACTCTGTCCATCGACGATCTTTGCGCTACAACCACGATCGCCGCCTCCCCAGACTTCAGCAAGGACCGATTATGGCTCAATGGCAAGGTTCGGAATCGCACTGATCGAGACAAGGGATTCCCCTCTTTTCCGCCGGCAATGCGGACTCGCTCTAATAATCGAATTCTCTTCTCCATGTTTCAGGAAGAGTCCACGTCAACGGAGAGGATACAGAACTGTCTGCGCGCCATCCGGGAAGCTGCCGCTTCGAGGTCTTCATCACCAAACCCGGAATGGAAACTCAAGATAATCTCAGAAAACAATTTTCCAACGGCTGCGGGACTCGCGAGTTCAGCGGCGGGCTACGCCTGTCTGGTAGCGTCCCTGAAGAATCTCTACGGCTTAGAGGGAAACTACTCATCTGTGGCCCGGAAGGGTTCCGGATCTGCTTGTCGCAGCATGTTCGGCGGCTTCGTTCGCTGGCATAAAGGTTAGAGTCCATGTAGCTCTTGAACTCCCCTGAAATTCAATTTCCCCCGACCCAAACGTAGCATTTTGCTGTAGCTCGTGGTAATTCTTTCCCATGTTGGAGATTTCCTAAATCGAGATTCATTTTCTGAAGGGATTCAACCCGATGGCGAAGATTCGATAGCGGTGCAGGTAGCCCCATCCTCCTTCTGGCCTGAAATACGTGTGATCATTTGCGTTGTCAACGATGTTAAAAAAGACACCGGAAGCACGAGTGGAATGCAGAGGTGAACCTAGGACTCGACTAATTCCGCGGAATAATTTCTCGGGATCCTCCGGAATGCAACTTACGATATGTTAATCATGCTGTTTATTTCTATTCTAGGTCGGTAGAGACATCAGAATTGCTGAAGTACCGCATAGCAGAAGTGGTTCCGCGGCGAATAGAGTTCATGGCGAAAGCCATCGCTGAGAAAGATTTCGACACTTTCGCTCGGATAACAATGCAGGACTCGAATCAATTCCATGCAATCTGCCAAGACACTTATCCACCGATAAGATACATGAATCAGACATCGTGGGATATCGTTTCGATGGTTCACAAATACAACTCAAAGCACGGCAGTAACAAGCTGGCCTACACCTTCGACGCAGGTCCCAACGCCTTCTTATTCTGTTTAGAGGAAAATGTACCGGAAATTGTCGAGGTTAGCAATCGGAATCAATTTTGCGCTTGATGCCGGGGATCGGAATTGGGAGGGTTCCGACCTCCGCTCATCACCGTCCCACCACTATACCCAGAGAAAATTCCTCCCACAGGTTTTACGGACGCAGTTCCCGTCGGATAGCACCGACTTCATACGAGGAATGTACTCGGACGACATCGCTAGGAAAACGAATCTGAGCAGTGCCCTCGCTTGTGAACTCACCCCGCTCCCGCCAGGGAGCCTGAAATACGTCATCACGACTCGAGCTGGTGAGGGACCGACTCCTATACAAGAACATCTCACCATCGAATGACTGAGATCCGGCTCGTTGATACTCGAGAGACCGCACACCCAGAGTGTGCATTGAATTGACTTGTTGTGAAATGAAATATGGGGCGGCTTCCACAGTATTTACCCGTGTTGGAGCGATCTAGGATAATCACCGGATTTTATCATTCTCCGAACGACTCTATGCGTCGCCGGTGGTTATCCTTCATATCCATGTAAGCATTCGCTAGAAGACGTCATAAATAAACAGTACCCAGGTCGTCCCAGAGGACTCGTGAACTTCTTCTCTCTCAGATTTCTCGATTTCCTCATCAGCTCACGGGACAGAGAACATTGGGACGGTTATTGTCGGATTTGAGCCTACTGACCTTGCGAGAATCTCTTCTCGGTATCGTCGGAATCTGAGCCCGAAATTAATCGTGGAAAGGATATGTCCACGAACGAGGCGAAGACCATTCGGCACGATCCGATCAGTTCCGATGCCTATATGCCACATTTTGGGAGGGAACTCCGCCCCCATGGGCGCCAATGTAAAATCCCCTATCTGATAGTAGTGCCTAATATGCGGGACTCTGGAGTGCCTTTTCTTTCCAATGAGCGCGGATCCGCGGCATGCGACCGTTTCCGTACATAGGATGGCACCAACTCTATCAAATAATGACGGGATGCTCCTGAGATGAGCTCTTTCAGATGCCCTGTAGCTTTCCCCATTCGGGAAGAAGGAGGGGCAAGGTATATGTAGAGTTCTCGCTCAGGCTCCCGAGCTTCACAACTCCCCTCCGAAAGAGGATCTGACACCAACCGCATCCGTCGCCAACACTCTCCTGGACGACATCATTATCCGACTTTCGATCCATGCTTCAATTCGAGACTTCGCCGGTGCTGTGATTCAGAAAAGCTTCAGTGGCTGTTGGGAGCCTCATTTGGGCTGCGGGGAAACAGAGACGCGAAATGCATCTTGAGTGACACCCAGCAAACGTGACTCATTCAAGAATGCGTATGTCGCGGGAACCGCTCCATTCCATTGGCGTCCGCCAGAAAAATTCAGGAACCCGTCCGCGGAATAAATACTTTAATATTCTCATTGTTATACAATCTCTGGCGACAGCATGTGCGAATCGAACTCACACAGCTTGAGCATCAGATGGTGGCTTCCTGCGTCTCCGATCATTTTTCCGACTCTCCGGATCGTTTGCCTCAAGCCACGTCCACTCCTATATCCGTTGAATAAATTTCGACATGTGACTGACTGAGTCAGGAATTCACAAACCCAACTTATCCCGCACTAGGTCATGAGTCATGATTGTCATTCTCCGAAATGTGAAAAACGACTTCATTCTCACCCCGGAAGATCTCTGACCTCCGGCTTGCGAAGCTATGGGCGCGAGTTGACTCGCCACCTGAATTTCTTCCGTTTCCTCCGGTCGAAAGCTCCTTCGAGCGCTCCTTATAAACATGCGACTATTTCCTTATCGTTTTTGAGAGTTCTCGGGAACGCAAAGGTGGTGTAGCCGAGTAACGCTGTGATCAAGACGGTCTGAACGGCGCTGACAGCGACCGCAGTCTCGTACGTGAAGAAGTCGAGCAGTATGTTTGCGACTAGGGGACCAATCGTCCCACCAACTGCGGTCGCAGGGACGAAAATAGCTCCCAGAGCGGCGTGCGTTTCCTTGGTTTCCTTTTCATTCGATAGATATCTGAGGGAATGAAGGTAAGAGCACACGAAGGCAGGTCCGGCGCCCAAGCCCAAGAGCATCTGGGCCGCGATGACGATCTCCTTGGTTTGCTTAAGCGGAATCAAGGGTCCCTGGAGTACAAGGGCGAACAGGACGATCAACTGACACGGCAGAACCAGGTGTCTGGGATCGGATATCTTCTTCGAGGTAAAGCCAAGGAGCAAGCTGGACAGAGCGTACACCCCCCCGACGAATAAGAATAGGACGCCGGACTGGCTTGCACTCATCCCGAATTTGTGGTTCAATCGGAGAGCGAGCGTCGACTCGTTGAACGACAGCAGAACGAAAGAACTGATCGTACACAGGACGTTCACAATCACCGGGAACTTCAACGTTTTCCGTATGCCGCCATCCCCTACGGAGCATCCGTCGGCCTCGTTGATCTCCCTTGGTTGGGGGAAGAAGCACAGGCCGAGGGCCGCCAAGAGGAGCAAGGTGCTCCCCAGCACCCAGAACGGCAAGCAGAAGCCACCGATGTCGAAGAGGATTCCGCTGACTGCCGGACCCGCGACCACCGAAAATCCGTAGATGGTCTCTAGGACCGGTATGATGATGTGGCTGATTTCGCTCAATTCGAGCCCGGTGATCACGTACGGCATCACGAAGCCTACCGCGCATCCGAAGGCTTCGAGAAGTCGGATGGTCAGCGAACCAATGAAAAACGGCAATCCGGGTCCTAATTTGTAGACGAGGGATAAGGCGAGACAGAATGTCGCGTCGACCGTCCATGCGACCAACATGATGTTCTTATCCTTGAAGTATTTCATATCGACAATGTTCGCGGTGAGAGGCGACACGAATACCATGACGAAACAATTAGCTCCCATGATGACTCCGTATTCGGCCGACGACAGTCCTTTCACTTCGAGCGCGTATATGTTGAAGAACGAGGTCATGTGGGAATAGTTTGCTCCTTGGAGCAGGAAACCGAAGCACACGAACAACAGAACACAAGAGGCACGTTTCCAGGAAAGACCTTTCGGAGACGCTGGGACGTCCAATCCCGTCTCTGGCGAGGTATCGGTGATCATAGCCATTTTTCGGCTCGTTCCCTGTTACCGGAGCGTCGGTGGTCAACAATTGATTTTTCCTACCAGTTTCACATGGGTCGTTGGTATGTGGAATGAAATATGTTGCGGAAGGCGAGACTGGCGCTAGACCTTGAGACTGCTCCCATGAGAGACCGCTCAAATGGATTATGCGGGAAAGCGAACATGCGAATTCAGATATTAGAGCGCGGATGTTTTTGTGCAACTCTCGCAGAAGCTGTTTGATAGCTGACAGGAGGAGAACATCTGGCCAATCACATAGTTGATATACATATACAGCGAGGCTTTGATCCGATTTGAGAACAGTCGTAAAACACTCTCCACGGCCCCGGAGCGTCGACGCCCCTCGCGGGCTCCCAAAGTAGACTTCCTCTGAATCGAGCAATCCTTCGCATGCGTACAGGCCTCACTTGAGGCTGATGGGGGCTCGTTAAACTTCGCCGATATCCGGGCTTTGACGTCCAGGACCTGGGAGCTCCTCCGAATAGTCGCATAGCATAACTCCGGTGAGTCGAGTCTGCCTCCTCAAGATTCCGTTCAAGGGGGCCAATCGAAAGATGAGAGTGTCCTGAACGCACGCCCTCCAGAAAATCCACTCGGTGAATAGTTGTTCAGGAAAATTCCGTTCGCTATCGTGACTGGACAAGCGGTCTGCGCCGTATGTCCCGCGATGAATTCGCTTTTTGTGAATGCAGACCATCGGTAGATGGACGCGTTAGTACAGAACGTCGGAGTTCGCTCCTCACGACGTGAAACTGAACTTCCAATACCTTCGGGGTTCCCCAGACGGAGAGCCTGATATCGGGTTCTCCACTCACCTCTTGGGAGCTCGAGAACACGATTTCATCACCACCAGCCTGGAGTAATCTCCTCATCCGGCTTCAACCCGCTTCCCGGATCGGGGGTTTTCTGAATCGTTTTCTTCGCACGTCGCTCTAAGCTTCTCAGGATCTAAACGACTCCACCCCATCTCTCGATGAGACGATACGCATCCGAGAGCTCCTCGGAGAAACTCTCCAGGGCCGGAAGTGAGTCTGCAGGTCCAGCAAAATGTTCGCTCGAGCGCATTGTCAATAAGTTCAATCACCTCCTCTGACAGCATCACCGCGGATGGGCCAGCTGTCGAGTATTCTTTGACTCTGCCTTATACTGAGTTACGTGTATCTGAGAATCTGCGGTATGGGCACAGACCGCATCCCGAACGCACAAGCTCCCGTGCTTCCTTCTAGGATTCAGTCAAAAGTTCCAGAATAATCCGGGAATAGCATAGCGGAGCCAATCTCCTCCTCTACTTCAGCCCTTTGATGACTATCCCGGCAAGATTCAGTTGCGCGCTGATCCTCAAGTGGCAGAGAATCACTTTCAGCTCCTCTATCTTGAATGGCAATGCTGTGCCGAATTCACAAGCTCGGGCAGGAACAGCTCCGATCTGCTGGACGTCGGCCTAGTTCTGGCATCCTCTTACGATTGAGCAGTTCTGTGCTGAGAGACTCGGACGCGAGAGATCCTCCAAAAAAGGTACTCTGAACGGCTCATAGGAAGCCTCGACTCCAGCCGTCCAGCCAACAGGTTCTGACGCTTCCTACTCTCCTGTTGGTTCGAATACGTAAGTGCAACATCTGATTCATACCGAGAAAGCCGGCCGCATTGACACGAATTCTCAACACCGTAAGGCAGAGATTGATTCGACACCGGCGAACTCCGTGATCCGCGGGACTGAGAAGTTACTGTACGAGGGTCCGCTTCACTCGGCCCTCCGAAGCGAAAAGAGCTTCTTGGCTCGGAGACCTCCCTCGAGCTGCGAAGCTTTCATGCCTGTCCCCGACATCCGAGTCCCGTGGAAGGATAGGATGGTCGGAAGGAGCCCCGTGAAGTTTAGATGGGACAGCATATCCGACGAGTCTAATATTAAAATGAAGAAATTCTATCCATCCCAGCTTCGAGAGTCCTGCGTTGAGTTTACTGCTTGTCATTTATTACGATTGGCACATCAAGACTTATAAGTGGAGTCGGACATGTATAATTTGTTCATTACTCGCCTGATCTAATGGAATCCAAAACCCAGCCCTGGGTCCATCGACACCCGCAGAATATCTCAGTAAATGCGCCACGCCTTAGACTCCATCTCGGATAAGCTATCGTACAATTATTCGAGAACTGGCCTATTCCCAACGAACATTGGAGAGTACGCACGTCCAGAGCCTCTATGCTTCAATGATACAATATGTTTTCATTCAAAGTTCGAGTGCAAAAAAAACAGGAGACATCGTTCTGAGGAAGGAGCCAGGTTCTTGAATCGGTCGTACAATCCGGGCAATCCTGAAATCTGCAACGCGCGACATCGGTGGAGAGCCACCATCTGGAATGGATTCCCTCTAATCCGTAGTCGATTTTGGATGATTGCGCAAAGAAGGAAAGTTAGCTCAATTCCATCGCCGACCGAGGATCTGCTCTTTGTGAATGGAGATCAACAGATGCGCATTCCTCTGTGAGCTGCGGAGATCTGGCTCGCAGGAAGCGAGGTCATTAGACATCTGCACTCTTTTGGAAACTCCTAGGACCGAGACAAATCGTTCCCAGCAACAGAATCGTAGCTGCCGCCGCCTGTAGCGCACCGATAGCGACTGTAGTCTCGTATGAGGAATAATCGAGAGCGATGTTGCTGGCTATGGGTCCGATTACTCCACTGATCGCAAAAGCGGGAACGAAGATCGCGGCCAAGGCTGCATGCGTATCTTTCTTCTCCCCCCAGTCCGAGAGGAACCTCAAGGCATGCAAGTAACAGCAACCGAATGCGGGTCCCGCCCCCACTCCTAAGAGTATTTGAGCCAGGACGAGGGTCATTTCCGTTTGCTTGATCGAAATCAGAGGTCCCTGCAGCACCAGAGCGGCTAGCATAACCATTTGCCCGCCAAAAACAAAGTACCTGGGATCGGGCATTTTTTTCGAGAGAAACCCGGAGATCAAACTCGTCACGGCGTGCGCTCCTCCCACGGCGAAAAAGAGCAAGCCCGACTGGGTTGCATCATAACCGAACTTGACATTCAGGTGCTGGGCGAGCGTCGATTCGTTGAAGGTGATCAGTAGGTGAACACTCATCGTACAGAGTACGTCCACGATCACAGTGAAGTTGAGCACGAACCATAGGCTCCTACTCCGAGGTGCTTCAGTCCTTCGTTTGCGTGGCTCAGGCAGGAAACACACTGCGAGGAACGTCCAAACGAGCAGGGCTGTTCCCAGGACCCAGAAAGGTAGCGGAAAGCCTCCGATGTCGAAAAGCAAACCACTCATCACAGGACCCGCAACGACCGCCCAGCCGTAGACCGTATCCAATACGGGAACCATTATGTGACTCATCCCGTTGAGTTCAGACCCGCTGAACACGTACGGCATCACGAAGCCTATCGAGCAAGCGGATGCTTCGAGAATCCGAATGATGAGGGATCCGCAGAAGAACGGGCGGCCCGGCCTCAGTTTGTATACGGCAGACATCATAAGACAGAATAACGCATCGATAGTCCAGGCAGCGAGCAGAAGTGACTTGTCATTGACTAAGCGTAGACTGACGAGTTTGGCTGCGAGAGGCGACACGAACACCATGACGAAGTTATACGAACCCATGATAATCCCATATTGTGTCGAGGATAGCTTCTTCTCCTCGAGCGCGTAGACATTGAAGAATGAAGTGAGGTGAGAATAATTTGCGCTCTGCAGGAGAAGACCGAAGCCGATGAACGCAACTACGAGTAACGCACGCCTCGACTCAACACCGCGTGTAGCGGTCGGGGCTCCAGCCGCTGTGTCGATGGTCGGTGTCATCACAGAGTGGTTCTAGTCTGAGTGGGTATGGCCCTGGAGGAATAAGGGAACACCAAGCAGCTGCACTTGAGGGACTGGGTTACCCGAGACTCCCCTAGATGTCAGTCATTTGCGACCCTTGGACGAAATCAGGGTAGATTCTGCGCTCACTTTGAAGGGACAATTTGCACGGATCGAGCAAAAACGCAGAGCTCCATGAAATTGGCTGATCCGAATCTTTCAGCCCTGGGCCCTGGGAGAGTGCTCCAAAACGAGCAGATACCCGAAAAGAAAGTCATTCCGGTCTTGCGCGAAGCCTTTCGCTCGGAGTCTCGATGTCCCTCTGACCCTGCGGGAGGAGACAGTCGGGTCGAGTCGAGCCGTCATCGGTGAATCTTGATTCTGCCCGCGAAACGAGACAGAGTCTGACGTACCCATCAATTATTGTTGGTCGCCGTCTCTGCCCTGCAGCTTATCGATAGTCCGATAGTCATTAGACACAGGAGGAAGCAGTAGGATTATGAGCGGAACACGAACACTTGTGAATGGAATTGCAATCACCACGCATTCTTTCTCAGATTCGTCAGGAAAAGGGGGCGAGACCTCCATATCCTGGAAGCAAACTCTAGCCCTCAGCTGGCTGTCGTAGAACTCCTTTGGTCAATACCTGAATTCGGAAACAGCGAAGGGCAACAAAGTCCAATCCACAGATGAAGTCGGAGCAAGGCTCGGACTCAATCATGGGGAGAAACAAAGAACTTGGAAGAGCGTCGTCCGATCGTGACCAGAGCTGTGCGCCGCGCCCCGAGATCGCCATCGCCAAGCTCTGAGCACGGTGTCCTGCGGCGGAACGGCGCACCGTCATGATCCCCATGGTAAAAAGTCTGGAGACCTTTTGAAAGATTTTGGAAGACTTTCGGAGCGAATCGAGGGAATACAGAAGAAAGTGTTCATCAAAGTCAGAGAAAGAGAACCTGGGCCGAGCTCGATGCGCTCGCTTGATGATGAGAATCGTAGAAGACACCTCATCTCATCCGAGAATCGAGACGATTCATAACTTTTTCTGTCGACCCCTCGCCGCACATCAAGAGACGAAATAGGAATGACGAGCCTGCCGTCTCGTCTTTTCATACACGATAATCGATGAATCTTGCAGAATTAGTGACTTAAGAATAAATGAACCAAACTTGTGCTCGCTCTTCGATTCCTACTTTCGCCATTCCGAAGCTTACTCCTTTTTTCGTGCCCTAGCTCACTCCTTGGGATCTACTTTCCCCATGGAGGTCGCTCCGGGTAAGAGAGCACCGCGGCGCGCCGTGAGTCTCAAGTCCGCTGAAAAACGCCGCCCCCGCCTCTTTTTTCGCCTGTCGTCGCCGCCGCGAAAAATCAGATGGCGCATTGCACTGATCGTGACGCTTCCTGTATATACGCGGAGTTCAGTGCACAGAGCCGCGAAGCATCGCTTCCTCGCCGGTGATATTCTCTGGAGCCGGTGGGAATGGAGCAGTCAGGAATTCGGAAAGTTCTGCGCTCATTTTCCTCTCCGGGCGACGAACAGAGACTCGAGATGAGATGATAATTCCAAATCTCGGACAGTTACTCTCCGGAACGCTCTGTCAGTTCGCTGATGTTTCCGCTGCGATCACTATGTAATCGAGGCAAGGATTCGAATTACGATGATCCCACGTTCTGTTGTTCCATTTTAGGATCGGCTCCTCCTCGCATCCCCTCAGGATATTGGACAGGGAACCCGGGTTACCCCCGTTCAGGGTTTTGAGAGACAGTCCGGGTGCTCCCAAGGATCGGAGGGTACCACCCAGCAACAAACCACGTAGGTTTTGCTAGATTCACCTGTAGCTATGCGTCTGAGGCATTCTGGAGCGCTACTATCTCGATATGGCGGTGGTGCGTCGGGCTGTCGTCCCTCCTCCCATCCGGAGCTATCGAAATCATTCGATTCCATCCACCAGCCGAGCGATGGAAATCCCGAACGCGGAGGGTAATGGTACCCGCTTGGGGTAGGTTCTAACATCGGGCATCAAGGGAAAGGGAATTGCATCTCTTGTGTTAGGCATGAAGTATCACTGAACTGAACGCTTCCGAATCTGGAGCATTTCGCAATTTCAAGAGCGGGAAGGTCAAACGTCCCTGAATCTTCCCGAGGAGCGTGTGGGTTTCGGCTGGGCTTCTCTGTGCCATATCCGAAGCGAGGCATCCATTCTGAGAACAAGCTTGTGGAGATCAGATCACAGATGGCCAGCTGAAAGGCAGGCAGTCAGCAGTTCTCGCTTCAGGACATGAGACGGGAGTCATAATTTACGGTTACCGATGAGATCGGACTCCTTGTCGAGTGAGCTACTCCTAAAGCTTGGCTTATTGGATCAGTCGGAATTGTTCTGCCTGTGTGACAGTATTTCCCTATATTCTCCCGGCGGGAGAATCGGTCGGCAAGCACTTGTTGGCACAGAAGTGCCGCGAACAGCTTACCCACAACACGGGTAGTCCCAAACATTCGAGAAACCCTCTGAAGCAGAAATCTGATTTGAATATTCTTCCGTAGTCGACTTCATCCTTGGACTGCTTCGGATTTGAGTACGAATTAAATCCTCCTCTGCCTTCGCCGTCGAAAGAAGGGCTTCGATTGCATGCTCATCCTCTCCCTCGAGCAAGCCAACGCTCGTGTGGTGGAAATCCCCGTCTATGGGGGAAAGACTCGATCGCTTAGAGTTTGGAGATCGGCGATTGACGACGCCGAGAAAACATCGAAGGACTCGGGCCGCGGGATCCCATTACCGTCTACGGAAGGGATCCCCATCTATTCCCAAGCCTCCGAGAAGGATTGCCCGTCTGTCAGAGAAAGTCTGTGTTTCATTTTTTTTGTTCTCTAATCGAGTCCGAATACGGTCTCCCCAATATGAGAGCATATCAGAGCAGTTCCCGCCTGTGAGAGGGTGCCGTGCCGCTGGAGAATGCCAATGAATTGAAGGGAACGATCCATCCATTCCATACCATATATAAACGCCGCGCGTCTGTCACGTTGGGGTCTAGGGCAGCTACCCAAGGCAAGGGCAAGGCAAGGCATCCGAGCGCTCTTCATTGCCCCTCAGGCCAAATTTGGTTCTGAGGGGTTGCATCTCAGTGCCAGAATTCGCCCTCAGAAGTGCGGAACATGACGTCATCGAGTCCCCCTCGCCATACCACAGTGCCGGCGAGAGCGTTTCCCTTCCCACCCATGACTCGCCGCCGCGGCCAAAACCGTCGCAGATTCGCGCACTCAAGAATCACCGCGAGCAGATTCCGTCGCCGCGGCAAAAGGCGTCGTTTTTTCATGCTTCCGCCGCCGCGCACTCAGGGCTAACTGCGGATGACCGTGAAGCATGCGGTTCCTACCTTATTTTCCCTAGACATACTCCTTTGTATATCGTCCGCTCGCCGGGCATCCTCTATTACTTTTTCTTTTTACTTTTTAATTTCCTTTAGAAAAGCTTCCAAGTTTCTGATCGTTTCAACACGCAGTCAGAGCGCATATTCGAGGCCTAAATAAACTCCTAACGGTTAATCGAGCTCCTCCGACTCCAAGAATATTTTACTTTTGAGTGTACCCTAAAGTGTCTGTCTTGAGAATATTATTCTGTTCCGTGTTCCTCGAGAAGTTTGTGTTTCACAATGGATTCAGCGATTGAAGAACCGATCGCCTCTCGAACTCGCTCAGGTTCAAGATCTTTTCCGACGCAGGGAGAATTGAGGCAACGTCAACACAGAGGTACACTATCAGCGGACAACCGTGAACGGATTCGCGAAGCTGATCGCATGCAACATCGACAGAGAACACGTCAGAAGGGCAGAAGGGCACAGCAGCGGGCTCTCGAAGCGATCTCCGTCAATCGCCCTCCCTGCTGGGAGTAATCGCCCTACGCAACGTGTTCCGAAGTTCTCTGTTGACTTCCTCCGAGTGTTCGAATGTTCAATGCTTCACATTGCAAGGAATGCCCGAGACGGTGACACCGGGAGCAATGTATGCGCCAGCAGCGCGAGGGCGCGCCGAACGCTGGTGCATCAATATACGGGGCTAAGTCTACCAGATAGGTAGCCAAGGGCAGCTCCGAACTCGCCTCTGGAATAGAATGTGGCTCGCTGAGAGAAAAGTCTTTCATCAAGCATCGACGAATACCAGAACAACTTCGCACTTTATCCACAAATCAGCATGTGTTTTCAGAAAGGAGCGCTCTGCTCCGATGTGTATATATGATATGAGTTTAGAACACATGGTGGCTTTTTGAAACAGCTAGGCTCCTGGACATGAATAATAGAACGGAGGGCGCACAACCTGGCGGATGAAAGTGGTTTGCGCCAAACTTTGCCAAATATTTTCGTCGAGCGCCCTTTCCGGGGCCCGGAAACCGAGGGATTTCGTCATACCGACTTCTATCGAGAATTCTCTTCATGCTACTGGTAAATCGCTCCGAAGAACCATCCGACCAGGGCTCCGGATTCGATAGTCATGCATACCCGCTCTATAGATTCTGGGGAATGAAGGATATCGATCGAGAATCATGGCTGATATCTCAAGTCAACGTTTTATTCACGTTTTATTACAACCGTTCTATCCTACCGCTCTTCGTCCGTAGACTTTCCTCAACGGCGATAAGAGAATTCGTCGCTGGCGAGCTCATCGCGTCAAAACAAGACCCTGGATCGAAATCCTATGAGACCTCCCAGACGGGATCCGTTGAAAACTTGTCTCGGCTTTTCCCTTGTGCATCTTGCATCATCAGCTCAGCGGTCAAAGTCTTTTTGAATATTCTGTTCGACGACCGATCGCTTTTGATCTCACCCCAATGATATCTCAATAACTTTACTACTAGCTTCACTAAAATATCAATTGCATAACCACGGCTCAGACGAATAAATATATTTACATGCCGAGAAGATGAGGAGGCGATTCGTGGCGGATCCATCAGACGCGACAGCCATCCATACGTCCTAGAAATTGGGATCCGCCGGCGCCCTTGTTCCCTACAGGGTACCTTGCACGAAGACTAAGGATCGGTCTTCCGATCCGGACTCCACGATCAGTCCGCGTCTCCCTCCAGGAAATATTCGCTCTTCGTTTACAAGACGTGCTCACCAGGAGTAGATGAGGAGGGAGTAAATCCGATCCCTCAATTCCTTCGGGCGGATCCAGTACTATGGAAGGTCGCGAAGGCCAGTAAAGCTGTCACGAGCAAGGTCTGAACGGCGCTCACAGCTACCGCGGTCTCATACGACCAATAGTCGAGCAGGACGTTCGCCACGAGAGGTCCAATGGTGCCGCCTATCGCAGTGGCTGGAGTGAATATTGCTCCTAAAGCAGCATGCGTTTCTTTACTTTCGTCGCCATTCGAAATATACCTGAGAGAATGTAAATAAGAGCAAACGAACGCGGGTCCGGCGCCGAGTCCTAGGAGCATCTGAGCCAAGATGACAACGCCCCTCGTTTGCTCCACAGGAATCAAAGGTCCTTGAAGGAGGAGAGCGAACAGTATGATGACTTGACACGGGAGAACGAGATGACGTGGGTCTGAAATCCTTCTCGATATGTAACCAAGAAATAGACTCGAAAAGGCGTACAGCCCTCCCGCGTATAAGAAGAGCAGACCGCACTCGGTAGCGCTCATTCCGAACTTCGAATTGAGCCGCAAGGCGAGGGTCGACTCATTGAATGACAGCAAAACGAAAGAACTGACGGTGCACAGCACGTTCACCACGACGGGGAACTTCAAGACCCTCCTCAGACTACCCCCTCCGGACGTTTTCTCTTCGACGTCAGACCTCTCGTCGGGTTCGGGGAAAAAACATATGCCGAGAAACATCAAGGTCATCAACGCGCCGCCGAGAACCCGGAAGGGGAGAGGGAAACCCCCGAGATCGAATAGTATACCGCTGATCGCAGGACCAGCCACGACCGCCAGTCCGTATATTGTCTCCAAAACCGGAATGATTATATGATTGATCTCATTAAGTTCAAGCCCAGTGATCACATACGGCATCACAAAGCCCACCGCGGTCCCGAAGGCTTCGAGGATGCGAAGAGTCAGGGATCCGAAGAAAAATGGATATCCGGGACCAAGTTTGTACGCGAAGGAGAACAAGAAACAAAATACCGCGTCGATGGTCCATGCGACGAACATGATGTTTTTATCCTTGAAGTATCTCAGATCAACGAGTTTCGCTGTGACCGGTGAAACGAATATCATGACGAAGCAGTTGGCCCCCATGATGACACCGTATTGGGCCGATGATAGATCTTTCTCCTCGAGCGCGTACACATTGAAGAATGACGTCATGTGGGTATAGTTTGCACCTTGCAGAAGGAAACCTGTGCATATGAAGGCAAGAACACAGGAAGCCCTCCCCCGAGAAAGGCCCCGTGGCGACACAGGAACGGTCCCTTGGATGTGTTTGGGAATTTCGGGGGAGGTCGATCCGCTCGGATTCTCGAACACCTGAATTCCAGTTGTGTCGAGAGATCGTGAGTCGTTTTCCATGATGATTATCGCCCTTATTGAAGCACCGATCGCGAGGACTGTAACGAGAGAAGGAACGATCTGAACGAACGGCGTAGGCTTTACTCAGGTGCGGAAGATGCGATTCGGAGCTCTTATCGAAAGTCAAAGGCTGAGCTAGATGGGTACAGCATGTCGGACACGGCTTTCCGGCGATTTGCAGATCCCAAGTAGGGGAGAACAGCTCACGGATCGAGCTCCAAACGTTCTCGCTATGGGTGCACAATAGCCAGACGAGTCTATTTTTTGGGAAATCCTGTCGTGGTGGATCAAATTCGGTTTCATTCTTGTCACTGCGATACCCTATCGCCTGATGGCGCCCGCATATGAAGCAGACGATTCGCGCTGGCAAAACATCGAGAACACCACCTTATTCCCTGCCTCTTTGGAGAAAGCGCCAGGCGAATTCGGGGAAACCGAGGATGGTGTTCCGTAAGGTCGACGCTGATAGATACTCGAAATCTTTGAGGATCAAATAACCGTCATTCAATTCAGGACAATCGCTGGGTGTTCGCGTGCTGGGCTTCAGCTCTTTCAAATTTTCATCCTCAGGCAGACTGGAAACCGTTCGACTTGGTAGTCAGAGATCAGCCTCACGTTCAAGACTTGTGAGACGGAGTCTCACGGTCAGATATTGGACCGACCACAGAAAGAGGCCTTCGCTCTGCCGACTGGACTCGGAGTAGGCTCCCCCTTCACCGGAGCTCCGGTTCCCGCGTGCAGAGGCAAACGATCGGTATCTCAAGGCTCTGAGCGAATAATCCAGCCCGGTCCGATCGGGGAAAGGGACACTTCTTGACCAAAAATCTTGTTTCCTCTCTACAGCCTGAATATACCGACCGTCTTACTTTCCTTCTGCTCCTTCCGGAAGCATCCTTCGCCAGAGGCTCCGGACATACGGTGAAGGAATCCGCTAGAGAGCATAATGCTGAAGGGAATCTGCTCTCCCACAACTGAATGGATATCAGACCTATGCAAAGACCCAATCTGCCCCCCTCCCCCCATAAAAATCCTACGGACGCCCTTGGACATATGGGCGGTCTGTCCCCTGTTTCCGCAACGAGCAGGCGCCCGGTCGATAGCCTCTCGGGATTCGAGCCTGATCAACTGGGGAACAGGAAGAAACAAAAACAAAATGAAGAATTAATGATCGAATCGAGCAAGGATGAGCCACCTCCGGCGGAAACGATTTCGTGGAAGAAGTCGGGAGCTCCTCTTCAAGTAACCGAATCAGGAAAGAGAGACACATCTGCCACGCTAGGAATGCTGATGAACGCGTCGCAAGCGAAAACTGAGGATGTCTCGCTGGGAATTTTTTCCTTGAAGCTCAGCGATCGCAAAAGCGATTCTGGAAGGGAAACTCATGAGGAGCGCGTCCTCTGGAAGCTCCGCGTCGCATCGGTTGCATGCGAGCTTGCTCAAGTGATGGAAAGAGAACTTCTTTTAGGGACCCTCAGACTCCGCATACAAGCTACTTTCTAGATAAGTGGGCGAATGGTGACCCGATTCCATTCGAGGCGGAAATTGACTATCCAGTTCCCGATCCGTGTGATGGTGCGAGAACTCCCGACCACTGAGGGGAAGAAGGTGCTCGTCAAGGACAGGGTCTCCGGTGCGGGATGATGCCCGGGTGATATTCATGCGCGTAAGCGTCTAGAACAGGCCGTCCCGGTCTAATCTCGTGTCCTCACGCTTCGCCATAGCGACAGCTCCTGACTCCATATCCTCTTGAAACCGTTGCTCGGTGATCTCGTCATCGATCAATGGGAGTTCCGTCTCTGCGATAGGCCGGGATGGTTCTTCCGCTGAATCGCTCACTCAGCGGTTCCCTAAGGGAGCAGTATAATCCAAAGGTTTTCGATTGATCTCTCCGGTACCGAACGATCTCGGCTGTAAACCTGGCCCATGCGCGGGAGTCTCAGCGACCATCGTCAGCAGAATTCATTCGCGAAAAAATCGATTAGCGGCTGTATCGCCGCCCGCTCCTTGTTCTGCGAAGCGGGGTCAGACCCGGATTTATTACAGGTGCAGAATTGAATATTCTTAACCAAGAAAACGTTCGTTCCGATGCTCTTGGAATGACACTCGAAGACGCCGCTGATTACCGCCGTATTCAATTCGCAGCTAACACACGATGTTCTCGGGTTCGCAAGTCACCGTGTCTCGTTCGGAATCGGCCTTCAGAAGCAAATGCTCACCGAATCGAATCTCGTGATCGCGTCTCGGGTGCTGACTGTGAATTTCATCTTTGCCGGATAGAAATCTCGCTGTGAAATCTCTCGATCAGCTCAGCTGTAGTATGACTTCGCCGTAGTCTATTACATATTTAATTTCATATTTCATGCAGACTGCAGACTCCATAGTCAGCATTCAAAAAGACTTTTTTGACACTCAAAGTCGAGAAGGAATGATAGATTGAGCCGGCCAGCCAGCCTGGAGCCAGTCCAGAGTCAATGCTTCGCAGAATGAACAGCTGGAACTCCATCTCAGGGGGCTTGAGTCCATTGTACTCTCTCGGAGGAATGTGGAGCTTCGCCGTGGGGGGAGCCTCGACAGAGCCAAACGGATCATCTTTTCCTTTCAGCTCTATTGACACCAAAACAAATTGTGCACAGAAGTAGGATCGATACGGCCGCGCCCTGTACCGCGCAGAGAGCGACCGTCGTAGCGTACGAGAAATATTCGAGGGCAATGTTGCTGGCGATCGGCCCGATAAATCCCCCAATCGCAAAGGCAGGAACGAAAATTGCCGCTAGAGCAGCGTGCGTTTATTTTTTCTCATCTCCATCCGAGAGGTGCCACAAAGCATGCAGGTAACAGCAACCGAACGCTGGACCGGCTCCCGCACCCAAGAGCATTTGAGCTATGATGAGGGTCGTTTCCGTTTGTTCCATTGGAATCAGAGGTCCCTGTAGAACTAGGGCGACAAGGGTTACGATTTGACCGCATAGCACGAAATGGCGGGGATCAGGGACTTTTTTCGAAAGGAATCCGAAGATCAAACTCATTGCAGCGTAGACACCCCCCACTGCGAAAAACAACAATCCGGACTGGGTCGCGTCGTAGCCGAAATTCTTATTGAGGTGCCGAGCGAGCGTTGACTCATTGAATGTGATCAGTATGTACACACTTATCGTGCACAGCACGTCTACGATCACAGGGAATTCCAGTACATTCCATAGGCTCGCACCTCCGCTTGTCTGCTCCTCTTCGTTTCCCTTTTTCACTGGTGTAGGGAGGAAACACCCCGCCAAGAGTGTCCAACACAGCAAGGCTGCTCCCAATACCCAAAATGGCAAGGAGAAGCCCCCGGTATCGAATAGATATCCACTCAACGATGGCCCTACTACGACCGCCCATCCGTAAATGGTATCCAGTACCGGGATCATAATGTGATTGATCTCGTTTAGTTCTATCCCGGTGAATACGTATGGCATCACGAAACCCATTGCCCCTCCGAAAGCCTCGAGAATCCGGATCGCTAGAGCTCCGACGAAAAATGGAGTTCCCGCTCCAAAATTACACACGAACGACATGATCAGGCAGAATATCGCGTCGAAAGTCCAAGCGAATAACATGAGGCTTTTGTCCCCGATCAAGTTCCGAGCGACGATGTTCGCCGTCAGAGGCGACACGAATACCATTACGAAATTGTAGGACCCCATTATGATGCCATACTGGGTCGAAGAAAGTCCTTTCTTCTCGAGTGCGTAAACATTGAAGAATGATGTGACGTGAGAATAGTTTGCACTTTGTAGAAGGAAACCGAAACTTATGAAGACGATTACGAGAGAAGCCCGTCCCCATTTCAGGCCGCTCGGAGCGGCCGCTTTCCCTGCCATTTTCCTCTCCGGGACCTCCAGGATGGCCGTCATGTCTAGGTAGCCCGAATCTGGCGAGGCGCCTCAATAAGGAAAGAACGGGAAGCGCTCGATATGCCTGGCGCTGGGAGACGTCCTCCTCGGAACCACCCTCAAGGCGGGGCCTGATGTCCGATGATGACAGTTTCTGCAATCATTTATCGGCAGCGAATGAAGCAATAATCGAGGGGTCTAGCGAGGGCAAGTTGTGAGAATCCTTTGAAGGCGCTCGCGAGAGAGTGTTCCAAGCCGTGCAGGAAATCAAATGGAAGCTGGTCCAAGTTTCGGATGACGGCATGCGGTACGGTTGTGGATCGTCTTCCGACTCTGCGAGAATAGAACGGGCGGTCAAGTTAAAATTGGTCTTCTCCGCAATAATCATCCGATTTCCCCCGCGGAAACTATCGCCACCGGGCAAGAATGAGTCGATCGATGCCCATGGGAACAGGCAGGTGATGCGAGAGAAATACTTTGAGTCGTGACGGTGCGCTGAAGGCGCCGATTCAAGCAGGAGAGGATCATTCGAACGCCGGATTCCGCGCCGGTGCAACAAGTATCGCGACAAGCATTCGGACACCAGCTCGAACTTACCTATCGATATTCGTTGAGCGTCGCCTCTCCCAAAACATCAATTTCACGAACTTGATTGGGCTGTGATGCGAACGCGCGACTCGTGAGCGGGGAAGATGCGCGATCTCTAGCTGAAACCTGTCTGGCGCCTGTGGTGACTGAGAGGGCGAGCACAACGAAGTCTTTCTCAGGTTCGTCGGGGAAGGGGCGAGATGACCGCACTCTGGAAATTGCCCTGAATCCCCGGCTGATATCTGCGCTGTACCGAAACTGCACTGCTCACCTTCCGGAATGAGAGACTGCTTCGCGAGCCGTGGGCCATAACGCCCAGTGTACATGGAGATTGGGTCGATTCGAAAAGAGGCGGGAAACGCGAGCAAGAAGCTCACTCGTAGTACGGAGCGAGGGAGTCGAACAACAGAATTCAGAAAAACGGAAACGGGATCGTTGGGTGACAGGGAGGCGACACGGAGACAGGAAGGGGATTGAATGCTGAGGAAAGAATGAATTTCTAGGGGGAACGATCTCCGTCATTCGCGGGTTAGCACAGAACGGTTGAGGAACCTAATCTTCTTCCCGAGAGGAAAATTATTCAAGACGCCTGGTCCGAGGCCAGCGGAACTTTCCGTGCGACGGATTGTAGGACGATAGAGAACGCGGGTTTCAGGAGGAAAGCCATGCAGGCTGTAGCTTGGGTAAAGTTTGAGTTCGTTTGGATAATCAAAGGCTGGCGTGTTGTACCTTTTGAAGAATCGGCTGAAGGTAGCAATGACATATCGTCGTTCTTCCAGCGAGAGCCCGTCTATACTATGAGAGTTCCGAGACTCCCGGAATGATATTCGCACTCTCCTCTCGCGACCGGTAACTCACGATCTGATGGGTCCAGAAAGCAAAGTCTGAGCAAGGAGAAGTTTGCAGAAAGTCGTTTATGTCATGTGCGAGATAGGACACCGTCCTAATAGCTTCCGTCATGAGAGAGAAATCGCTTTGATCCAATGACCTCTCACTTTGGGGAAAACGCGATTCTTACGTATCCGAGCAGAGCAACGGAGAGACACTCCTCGGGAGTCGGGATCTATAATAATCGGACGACCGAATGCACCGGGAATCCCAGTCATGCCCAGTCATCAGGACATGCCTCTTCGGATCGCCTGGTTCTTCCCTGGGAAGAACTAACTGAGACCCGCTTGCCGTCCGGATTGAATGCTCGAGATACGCCACCGCTGTCTCTGCCGCGGCAAACGACTCGTAAGTTTCTCGTTATAGTACCCTTCTGCACGTTGGGAGCCCATATGAGACCGTTCGGAGATGCATCCGGATACCGAGCCTTCTGATGTCAGGGTAGAGGCGGGGAATCCATCGCAGAGAGGAGATGCTCGCCTGTTAGTCTGGAAACTAGAGACAGACAGTCAGTCAGGAGTGGGGAGCTGTCTATATCAAGCTGAGCGCCAAAGGGACCTAGCCACTATTTCGACTTACATTCCGGACGTTTTGTTACAACTAAACTCGCGGGGATAGGGCGACGCCCGCCTTGTGACTAGGTGTTCCGCTCCGAATGACATGTGAAGACATCACCGAAGGCGGGGCAAATTCAAATTCTCAGAAAATCAGCCCCTGCCCGCAATTCAGGAGCTCGAGCAGATGTTCTCGGAGCTCCTGAGCTCGAGCTTGAGCCCTAAGTTCGGGTGTACTCGTCACTTTTTTATTCGCCTCAATTGGGAGGCCTCCCTATCCAAGGACTCGTGATTGTCAAGGGTCTCATCAAGAGCCTTGCATCCATCGAATCCGGCCGCCGGAATTCCCGACACAGAAAAAATTTGGATAAGGAAACTGTGCATCGACGGAGTTCGATTGGAAACCCTATTCCCGCTGGACAGGAGCAAACAACTTGGTTTACAAGCTGACAAACACCACCCTACGCATCGGGGATTCAGAGCGAAATTCCAGAGGCCTGGCGATCATCGAAGCTTCCCGAGCACCGAATACAAAGCGGAATCAGGTTTGAGGGCTGTTGGTAGCGGTTTAGCAGCGATTTGCACATCCCTGCCGCGTCTTAATATTCAGCCGGTGTATTCGCTCACTATCTATGAACTACAGCTTCTGTGGTCGAGTCGAGTCTGTGCGGAGGTTCTGCGGGATTAGAGCGCTCAGAGAATGTCAGCGTAAGACTTTCTCAGCATTTCTGGTCTAGATCGATTCGGTACGCTTTCGTAGGACACGTATCTCTTGGGAAGGATTATTTAAAAATTCTCATTCGCAAGAAATCTGGCAGCTCGGCTCCTATGCGCAGATTATATCATGACGCAGAGAAAAAGATTCTTTCGGGACCACGTGAGAGTGAAGCGATACCAAGAAGAAGGTGCCTGATAGTCCGGAGCTAACCTTGATCATCCGTCGCATCGACCAGATTACTAATATCATGATGTGATCAGACTGGCTTTCCCATCGCTACTGGTGGCTGGAAGTTAGTAGCGTCCGAGACTTGGAGATACGTTCCTTGATAACGCAGATGAGAAAGTCGAATAAAATCAGGCAGGCGGAATGAGGCAGACCTCGATCGTAATTCGAATGGATGATGCCCAGTGATTTTACTCATAAGAACTCAGTGCTTGTTTGCTTCCCGAACGACAGCCTCGGTGGAGTTCTCTGCCGATAGAGGATAGGACCCGAATCACAATGACGTCAGCGCCAAGACTACCTCGGCGGAATCGTCTTCCTCGCCGATGGTTGACCAGGCTCATCTTCGCTCGATCAATCACTTGTATCAGCCGCTTCCTCGGAAAAAAAAACCAGAACCAATCCTCTGTTCCCACATGGAGAAAGAAACAAACGAGAAATTCCAAGACTAGAGCGTAGAATTCCTCATGGAGTTTTCACGTTGAGGACTTCTGAGCATAAAACTCACGTAGCGCTCAGCCATGACTCTCGAGATGAAGACATGAAGGAAGCTCGATTCTACGGATAATGGGCACAACTCCGCGAGAGGTTCGGTGGATGGTTCTCGCGGGGCGATCCGGGCAGATGATATCGGAGCAGGCGGGCGCCCAGGATTATTCTGGGGGGAGGCAGGGCCATTGTCTTGGTAGGGGCCGACCAACCACCGACTATGATGAGCCTCAACGTGAAGCCTTACGGGCCGGAGCGAGATCTTGGATGGAGGGGGGCGAGGGGCCATGCAATATAGCTGAGCTCGGCGCGTGCCGCTGCGCCAGGGGAATGATCTTCCAACGAGCCGCATTGCGGGGCAGAGAGCGATTGTAGATATTCGACACCAAGCCGCGGTTTGTTTCATTTCCGAATCTCCAAACATTTGATAATTTCGGTCTATCCTCCTTATCCCATCGATCAGCAAGCGACGGTCAAGTTTTCCGGTAACTTTCTCCAGGAATTCCCGGCATTGCCATTCATGGAAGAATACTTAATTGTTCCCATCATAGATTTCTTTCCTGCTCATGCGGCTTCACACTGTGGCCCGATCGCATTCGCTCCGGGAGGATTTATCTGCCCGTCTCTACAGAAGGGCGTCCACAACGGCGATCAGATCCATCCATTTCCGGGATGTCGGCTTTCTTGATTGGATTTCGATTGAATCGAATCTCAGTACCGTCCGCTCATGCTAGAGGGGCCAGCGCTTAGTGGGGCCGACCGGTTTTTCGGGCCAGAATCCGACCCCCGATTCGTTCTCGCACTCAGCTCGATCGGGTGCTCAGCGGAACAATGGTCCGCCTGAAGAGACCAGCCTTCACTATATTTCAAGAACTTCACTGTAGCAAACTTCACTATATTTCAAGAACTTCACTGTAGCAAACTTCACTATATTTCAAGAACTTCTCAGCGAGAACGGCTCGACGGCCCTATGGACGCTCCCGCCAACGTCAGAGGGCTTTTTCGAGCTCTGTCAATCAGTCGAGCAAGAGCCTTCGGCAGTGGTTCTGCTATATGCAGCCATCTCGGTCGCGCTCTGTGGCGAACACCATAGAGGTCACCAAGAATCCACTTTGTGCGAATCTCTTCGATTACGGGCACATTAGCACCGCGATTAGAAAGCGAGCTGAGTGTTGCCGCCGGTCGGACGATTTGAGCGAGGTACCGCGCGTTGGATAGATAATAAATGACGGTAGCTACATGAGATCAGCAGCCCACCGTCCGAGCTCCGTTTTCACACTCGCAGTAGTAATGCTGAATCGCTGTGATTCCGATTGAAAACGGGACACAGCCCACGTAGCACCGGTGTTTTTCAGCCCCCTCATGACGGGACTGAACTTGGACTTTGAGGATGTGGCTCTTCTCGCGACGGTACTTCAGCGTAAGCTTGCCATCTTCATTCATCATCTCGGTTGTATACGAGAGTGCCTGACAGAGCTGATAAGTGCCTGTGAAGAGGACCTTTAGATCATCTTCATACAGCTCCGGGAAGTCCTCAACCGAGTGGGGGTTCACTTCGATCCATGGTCGCCGCACTGCATTCCAGTTATTCACTCGAACTTCCTCTCCCAGGGAGTTCGGAACATTTCTCATCTCTTTCATGCGCTCCACCTATTCGCGGAACATGCTCTCATCAGAGGTCCGACGCTTCCCGAAGCGGTTTTTCAAGTAACACGCGATCCGGAGCATCGTTCCGATCCTCGGAAGTAAATCATTGTCCACTCGATGGTCGAAAATCCTAAAGGTGTGTTTGATGATGCCGTGAACGGCTTCCACAGCCCACCGAATTCCAGCCGTCATCTGACTTCAGAGGGAACAAGACGACGCGCAGCCGTTGAACCGCAAACGAAACACAAGCTCTCAGTTCTGGCAACTCTGTTGAAGGGCACTCCGATGAGTTTGACCGCTTCAGGTTGTTGGAGTGATTGTTGAGCTGCCTTCGGATGACCAAGCATTCCCGCTCTCTATATGAATAAAGTCTCGAGATAGTAATTTATTCTTCCGGAAGAACGAAGCAACAACTGCTATCTCTCTATTGAAACCTCAACGGGTTATGGGTTATGGGGCCAGAGCGTTTGGGTAGAGAAAGTCAAATAGAGACTGAGCAGTTGGCCGAGGGATGGACCTAGCAAAGCACCTATGGAAGCGGAAGATTCGGCACTGGATGTCATCGATAAGAAGTTGGTCAGACCCGAGGCTCCACAAGGTGGTGCTACGAAAGATCAGTTGAAGTACACCTCAAAGAGCGACCTACATCGTGAAGCGAATAGCTATGCGAAATCGATCATCTCGAGTGCTGTGACAGACAGTGTTTATCAGAAGATCATGGATAGAGAAACAGCGGCTGACGCATGGGAGGCGCTGGAGAAGCTATCCGAAGCTTCATCTAAGGATCAATTATTCAAGATCTGCACGGACTTCTCGCGTTCAATTGGACTCCTGACTCCTGATGTAGATGTGTCAACGCACACGGCAAAACTATCGAGTCTGTTCATGGAGCCCAACAATGGACCACGAGCCAGGCGAGAGAATCAGCTCCCAGAGATGCTTCTGATGTGCAAAGTCTTGCGAATTCTGCCTACGACCTTTGAAAATTTCTGGTCTAGCTGGATGCTCTTATCGAAAGATACGGAGAAAAGCTTTGAAGAACTAGTCTCGCAGCTATGTAGGTGCGAACGGAACTTCAAGAATGTTCCGGAAACGGATAGACCTGGAGCCTGAAGCCTTAGAATTGAGGGGATCGGAAGTAGTCCGAAGAAAGAAGATTGGCTCTTGTAATCATAGCAAGAAGAGGGTCACTGGATCAGAGAATGCCGTAAATGGATAGCTGATTGGAAGCCCAACAACACCGTTAATGAACCAGAAAGGGGCAGCATGGCTCTAGCAATATCGGAAGAGGTTTGCGAAACTTCTGCAGGAGATCCTGATCGTTGGTGGGTAGACAACGGGGCTACACAGCATGTAAACTGTAAACCATTGCTCCAAGTACTTCACGAACTTCCAGAGCTATGAAAACTACACTCATGCACGGGCAGCTGAAAGACACTTTCTGAAGGCAAAAGGGAAAGTGTTGGAGTAGTTATTGAGCTGCCTTCGGATGACCAAGCATTCCGGCTCTCTATATAAGTAAAGTCTCGAGATAGTAACCTACGCTCTCGGAGGAACGAAGCAACGAATGCTATCTTCCTATTGAAATCAAGACAATCAATCACAAATCAAAATCAATCATTAGCGTGGCCGCGAACGAGGGCCTCCATCTCGGACATTCGATGTCACCACCGCCTTCCTGTATGGTGAATAGGAAGAGCAGATATATGTATATGCAGCCACATGGAACAGGCCCCCGTTGTTGGGATAAGAGGTTCATTACAAAGCTCAAGAAACTCGAACTTAGTGAGAGCGAGTCAGATCCTTGTCTCTTTATCCGGGAATCAGGAAAAGAAGAGTTGCTCCTCGCCATCTACGTCGATGACGGCTTGCTCGCCGATTCCAACGAGTCTGCCCTTATAGAGTGGCTCGCAGGCTTGCGACTTCAATTCAAGATAACGTCGAAGGACGCAACTTATTTCCTGGTGATAGATATCAAGAGAGATGGCGATAACATAAAACTCAGCCAGCCTCTGCAAGCCAGAAAGATTTTAGAAAAGTTCAACTTTGGTGAAAGCAGGCCCCTTACGACTCCGATGATCCGCGAATCAGGGAAAGATGCAGATGAAGGCAAGTGTTCTGATTCGGAAGCTCCCGAAACCTTCCCTTATCGTCAAGCCGTAGAAGCGATATCGTGTTTGATGCTCGGCTCGAAACCGGATCTTTCATTCAGCATTGGGGTTCCTTCGAGAACGCTCGAAAATCCCTCGAAAGAAAATGCTGTCATGCTGAAACGAGTTCTTCGATACATTGCCGGGACTATTGACTTCGGGATCACCTATTTCGGAACTAGAGCCGTTGCAACTCTGCATGGTTATAGCGGTTCAGATTATGGAGGTTGTCTCCACACCAAACGATCCACCTCAGGTGTAGTGACCATGTTTGTGGGTGGAGCCATTTCTTAGTTCAGTCAAAGTCAAAGCTGAAATACTTGCTGCGAGCGACGCAGCTGAAGAGATGATATGGCTCAAGAAGCTGTTCAAAGAGAAAACTTCGTATGATGGGATTCCAACGATTTTTGTGGACAATGCCGCCGCGGTAAAGTCGTCCATGAATGCCGAATTCCCTCGAAGGACTAAGCACATTTTCCTTCGGCATTCCGTTGTCAGGGAAAAAGTAGTCGAGGCAGAGCTGAAAGTACAGCAGATTACGTCTAAAAGGCAGCTAAAAGGAGAACTGCGGACTGGTGCAATTGGATCCGTGGGAACGCGAAGACCTCTAAAAATTTGTCCCAAGCGATTCCAGCTTGGTCATCATATTTTTTTCGGAAAAATCACGGAGAAATGATTTTCCCAGACGAAAATCGATCTGTATCTCATGGAAAGAAATATCTCAGGACGGTGATTGGTACATGGTTTTGTAGCCTGTGTTCCCAGATTCCGGACGCGACCAAGCGCGAGTCTCTAGCTTATTCCATTCTCGCGCAATGACCGTTCAAAGATTTCAGGTGTTTTCAGGGGTCCGAACACACTTTAATTTTCCTTCCGCATACCATTCGGAATTGAAAAGCGATTGAGATGATCTGAGTGGGTCAATATGCTCCTAAAGAGTGTGGCATTACGCCACGCAATCCATCGCGGGAATCGGAGTCGTGGCCGAACATCCCCTTACCCAGCTCTACCCTTCCATCTCGGCTTTTCTCGTTGCGTCTTGCGTCATTCGCTCAGCGGTCAGAGTCACATTGAATATTCTGTTCGAAGACCGATCGCTTCAGATCCCACCCCAGTGATATCTCAATAACTGTACTACTAGCTTCAGTAAAATATCCATAAAATAACCACGGCTCAGAGGAATAAATATATTTACATGCCGAGGAGATGAGGAAGCAACTCGTTGTGGACCCATCAGACGCGACAGCCATCCATAAATCCGAGGAATTAGGATCCGCCGGCGCCCTCGTTCTCTACAGCGTACCTTGCACGAAGACTAAGGATCGGTTTTCAACTTCCTCGGGCGGTTCCAGTACTATGGAAAGTCGCGAAGGCTAGTAATGCTGTCACGAGCAAGGTCTGAACGGCGCTCACAGCTACCGCGGTCTCATACGACCAATAGTCGAGCAGTACGTTCGCCATGAGAGGTCCAATGGCGCCGCCTATCGCGGTGGCTGAGGTGAACATTGCTCCTAGAGCAGCGTGCGTTTCTTTGCTTTCGTCGCCATTCGAAATATACTTAAGAGAATGTAAATAAGAGCAAACGAACGCGGGTCCGGCGCCGAGTCCTAGGAGCATCTGAGCCAAGAGAACAACGCCCCTCGTTTGCTCTACAGGAATCAAAGGTCCTTGAAGGAGGAGAGCAAACAGTATGATGATTTGAAACGGGAGAACGAGATGACGTGGGTCTGAAATCCTTCTCGATGTGTAACCAAGAAATAGACTCGAAGAGGCGTACAGCCCTCCCGCGTATAAGAAGAGCAGACCGCACTCGGTAGCGCTCATTGCGAACTTCGAATTGAGCCGCAAGGCGAGTGTCGACTCATTGAACGACAGCAAAACGAAAGAACTGACGGTGCACAGCACGTTCACCACGACGGGGAACTTCAAGACCCTCCTCAGACTACCCCCTCCGGACGTTTTCTCTTCGACGTCAGACCTCTCGTCGGGTTCGGGGAAAAAACATATGCCGAGACACATCAAGGTCATCAACGCGCCGCCGAGAACCCGGAAGGGGAGAGGGAAACCCCCGAGATCGAATAGTATACCGCTGATCGCAGGACCAGCCACGACCGCCAGTCCGTCTAGTGTCTCCAAAACCGGAATGATTATGTGATTGATCTCATTAAGTTCAAGCCCAGTGATCACATACGGCATCACAAAGCCCACCGCGGTCCCGAAGGCTTCGAGGATGCGAAGAGTCAGGGATCCGAAGAAAAATGGATATCCGGGACCGAAATTGTACGCGAAGGAGAACACGAAACAAAATACCGCGTCGATGGTCCATGCGACGAACATGATGTTCTTATCCTTGAAGTATCTCAGTTCGACGAGCTTCGCTGTGACCGGTGAGACGAATATCATGATGAAGCAGTTGGCCCCCATGATGACGCCGTACTGAGCCGATGATAGATTTTTCTCCTCGAGGGCGTAGACATTGAAGAATGACGTCATGTGGGTATAGTTCGCACCTTGCAGAAGGAAACCTGTGCATATAAAGGCAAGAACACAAGAAGCCCTCCCCCAAGAAAGACCCCGTGGCGACACAGAAACGGTCGCTTGGCTGTTTTTGGGAATTTCGGGGGAGGTCGACCCGTTCGGGAGTATTCCGCTCGGATTCTCGAACACCTGAACTTCAGTTGTTTCGAGAGATCTTGAGTCGTTCCCCATGATGATTCTCGCCCTTATTGAAGCACCGATCGCGAAAACTGTAACGAGAGAAAGAACGATCTGAACGAACGGCGTAGGCTTTACTCAGGTGCTGAAGATGCAATTCGAAGCTCTAATCGAAAGTCAAAGGGTAAGCTAGATGAGCACAGCATGTCGGATACGGCGATTCGCAGATCCCAACTCGGGAGTACATCACACGGATCGAGCTTCAAACGTTCCCGCTGCGGGTGCACAGCCAGACGAGTCTCTTTCTTGGGCAATTCTGTCGCTTCTTGAAGAGAGTTTGGGACGGTATGGCGTCTCTACGGTGACGAAGTATCATCAGACGGAATCGATAAGGTACGTGAAGATCGGTTCCTGAGTTTGTTGCCGAAGACCCGCTCTTCTTGCCCAACCTCTACAAGTCTGTGCGAGAAAAGCGAGCGCCAGCTCGAAAGGCCAAAAGCAGAATTGAAGGTACGGCGGCGTTTGCCTTCATGGTGATTTTTCCTCCGATCAACGGGCTTCGGCAGAGAGCTCCTCGGCCGTTTCGCTGTCGATTGTTGATCAACTCGAGACTTTGGTATCGATGGCTTTGCAATAACTTTCGGCGGCATCCCCTACAACGCTTGCTTCATTGTTCTTGGGATTAATGAATGGGGAACTTCCGATTTATATCCGGACCGAGGAAGCTTGATTTCCTAGCGGAGAAAAATATTCCAGAGTATCTTTATCAGTTGACGAAGGTAATTGGAGTTCTTTCTAGAGTACAATCTAAATAAGCCGAGAATGCTGGGAAAATCGACTCTGAGTTCACGGGAGAATAGTGTTAGGTGACATCGATTTAAAAATAGACACATCGTTTTCAGATTTCTGTCTGACAACCCCCGTTCTCCCCGTTTCCCCGTTCCCCCGTTCTCCCGCTCCCCCGCTCCCCCGCTCCCCCGTCCTCCCGTTCTCCCGTTCTCCCGTTTCCCCGTTCTCCCGTTTCCCCGTTCTCCCGTTTCCCCGCTCTCCCGTTTCCCCGTTCTCCCGTTCCCCCGTTCTCCCGTTTCCCCGTTCTCCCGTTTCCCCGTTCTCCCGTTTCCCCGTTCTCCCGTTTCCTCGTTCTCCCGCTTCCCCGCTCTCCCGTTTCCCCGTTTTCCCGTTCCGCCGTTCTCCCGTTTCCCGGTTTTCCGTTGGCCGTTTGACCGTTCTCCCGTTTCGCCGTTTGCCCGTTCCATATACCTTATTTTCTCCTCGCTGATTGGGAACAACGACGTCGGCATGAATCACTCGGCGCTTAATTAGCCCGAGGGTTCCATTCATGCAAATAAGGAGGCTTCGTAAGGACTCAGGGACTCACAGAATCCTTGGGCTGATTATCAATATTCCCATCGACGCACCGACGCTCATCTCTAGTTTGCCTAGGAGTTCAGCGGATGATCAGAATTTCAATGTTTCATTTGAGAGAAACATGATTCACAAAAGCTCTGTGTATTCTGGTGTAGTGAAAAAAGATGATCTCCAAGCTTGGCTAGGATATTTAATTCTGGGTATTATCCGTTAATTGAAGTAATGAGACGATCCAACAGGAAGTAATCCTCAATTTTGACCAAGATAAGGAATGTACATCGTCTCAAGGTAAATTTGGAATTAAGAACTTGGAATACAAGCTGACAAACACTACCCTACGCATCGAGGATTCAGAGCAAAATACTAGAGGCCTGGCGTTCATCAGAGCTTCCCGAGCACCGAATATCTTGGAAAGCGGAATCAGGTTTGAGGGCTGTTGGTAGTGGTTTAGCAGCGATTCGCACATCCCTGCCGCGTCTTAATATTCAGCCGGTGCGTTCGCTCACTATCTATCGACTACATCACGGCGAGCTTACCTTCGGTGCCGGGTGAAATCAACGACCTCGCCTAATAAAGGAGTGATGCCCCAGGAAAAACTTCCTGGGTGAGTACAGGGAGGATCGACGCTCATTTCCACGGAGGAAATAGCAAGAGGAATCTGCAGGATTAGAGCTCTCAGAGAATGTCAGCGTGAAACTTTCTCAGCAGTTTTGGTCCAGATCGATTCGGTACGCTTCCGTAGGACACGGATCTCATGGCTTCATCCAAGCTATTGCAGCTCAAGGGACCAGCGTATCACATGGAGTCGACAGAGCGAGTTTCTCCGCCAGTATCCCTGTCTTTTGGGAAGGATTATTTAAAAATTCTCATTCGCAAGAAGTCTGGCAGCTCGGCTCCTATGCGCAGATGATATCGTGACGCAGAGAAAACATTCCTTCGGAAAAACCGTGTGAGTGAAGCGATACATACGCTTGTTCCATAAAAAGATCGATGTAGACAAATACAATAGGATAGTAGTATCCCCGGAACGGTCATCGGTAGCTATCGACACATTCACTGGTTATCGCAAGAACTCATCGACTCATCGATGCTCGCTCCACAGTTCATGAAATGTCTCCTGCTGACTGAGAGTGGAAATTAGGTATATCCTCCACCGTTGGCTTCAAATCAACCCCACATGATAACTTGTAATATTGATGTAAATGACGGTATTGTCAACGAGGCCATTGGAACACTGAGGTATGTATATAGAATTTTCTAATGGTGATAATGATATCAATGAGGACACTGATGCGAGACCGTATTGCCTCTGGCTAGAATTATTCGCAGCGAAAAACGTAGATTTTACGTGCCGAACTCTGACGTCAAACGTTCCTCAATCAAAATCGGTATTTCTTGTGAGTATAAACAGTCTTTCTGAAGATGTTTGACCATCGGACTTTTCTTCGATAGAGGTTTCGTTTCTGAGAAAATTGACTCACAAATTTTTTACCAATCCGACCCCCTACCCTAACCCCAGAGCGTAATCCTACGCTACTGGTGGTTGGAGGCTGGTAGCGACCGAGTCTTGGAGATACGTTCCTTGATGAGAAAGTCGAATAAATTCAGGCAGGCGGAATGAGGCGGACTTGCTACCATGTAATTCGAATGGATGATGCCCAGTGATTTTATTCTGAAGAACTCAGCGCTTGTTTGCTTCTCGAACGACAGCCTCGGTGGAGTCCCCTGCCGATGGAGGATAGGACCCGAATCACAATGACGTCAGAGCCAAGACTACCTCGGCGGAATCGTCTTCCTCGCCGATGGTTGACCTGGCTCATCTTTGCTTGGTCAATAACTTGTATCAGCCGCTTCCTCGGAAAATACGTCAGAACCATTGGTCAACTCGGAAAGAGCTTTCCGACCCGGTTTCCGGGCTGACATCTTCCAATCCTCTGTTTCCACATGGAGAGAGAAACAAAGGAGAAATTCCAAGACTAGAGCGTGGAATTCCTCATGCAGTTTTCCCGTCGAGGACTTCTGAGAATAAAACTCACGTAGCGCTCAGCTATGACTCTCGAGATACCTATATTTAGAATAGATTGAAATTCATTGTGAGAATCACGGAGGGCTCCGGCGGACGGGACATGAAGGAAGCTCGATTCTACGGATAATGGGCACAATGCCCCGAGAGGTTCGGTGGATGGTTCTCGCTGGGCGATCCGGGAAGATGGAATAAGAGCAGGCGGGCGCCAAGGATTATTCTGGGGGAGGCGGGGCCATTGTCTTGGTAGGGGCCGACCAACCACCAACAATGGTGAGCCTCAACGTGGAGCCTTACGGGCCGGAGCGAGATCTTAGATGGAGGGGGGCGAGGGGCCATTCCATATAGCTGAGCTCGGCGCGCACCGCTGCGCCCGGGGAATGATCTTCCAACGAGCCGCTTTGCCGAGCACAGTGCGATTGTAGATATTCGACACTAGGCCGCGGTTTGTTTCATTTCCGAATCTCCAAACATTTGATAATTTCGGTCTAACCTCCTTATCCCGTCAATCAGCAAGCGACGGCAAGTTTCCCGGGAACTTCCCCCAGAAATTCCCGGCATTGCCGTTCATTGAAGAATACTTAATTTTCCCCATCATACATTTCTTTTCTGCTCATGCTGCTTCACACTGTGGCCCGATCGCATTCGCTCCGGGAGGATTTATCTGCCCGTCTCTACAGAAGGGCGTCAACGACGGCGATCAGATTCATCCATTTCCGGGATGTCGGCTTTCTTGATTGGATTTCGATTGTATCGAATCTTACAATCAGTACCGTCCGCTCATACAGGAGGGACCAGCGCTTAGTGGGGCCGACTGTTTTTTCGGCCAGAATCCGACCCCCGATTCGTTCTCGCACTCAGCTCAGTGCTCAGTGGAACAATGGTCCGCCGAAAGAGACCAGCATGGAACTTCACTATATTTCAGGAACTTTTCAGCGTCTCGGTCGAGACGACGATCCGGTCCGCGACGCTCGACAGTGGGCCGATGCGGATTCTACAGGGATCGTATTGACGGGCTCCAATCATTCGGAGCTCATGAATGCAGAACTTCTGTGGCGAACACCATACAGGGCACCAAGAATCCATTTTGTGCGAGAATTGAGCTAAACATCTATCTCAGGCAAGAATATGGGCCTATGCTAGATCTGCGCATGATTCTTAATGAAGAAGAATGGGGCAACTTGACGTGGGTGCTGTTTCGTGCGCCGCATAGAATGAACGCTCTCGTCGGAGCCTGAGCACCGCGTATGTATTCTAGATTCTCTAGAAATGAGTCGATTGCCGAATGCACTCCCAACATACGATCCAGGATGTTCAATCGGTGATCCCTGCAACCTGCAACTCTCTCTCTCTGACAGTGTGCTTGGACGGACCGCCGGTGCCGCTTGTACGGTTCAGAACGGCTCGGTCTCGCTGTGATCGCATTGACAGACGATAGTTTATCTCCGGAACATCTATACTCAAGGAAAGAGACCTGCGCTCTGAGAGGTGACCATGATAAGATCGCTAGGATCGAGCCTCAAGCCTAGGTGGAACCAGGATGCTTCGTCGCGATTCGCGATCTAGTCGCTTCTGGGTCATTCCGCTGCACAGGCCTTGCGGCATGATCGTTGGTCACATTGCGAAAACTTGAGATGTCATTTTACCGCTGATCCATCGGAGTCGCAGGCAAGATCTCTACGATTGAAATTTCGCGACCGCCTCCCTCGCGGATCACCTCCTCCGGGGAGGGCGAGTCCGATACTCGTTGCTCAGAGTCACACCCACGTCAACCGATAATTCTCATGGGTTCAACCGAATGATTTTCTAATTCGAGGTGAGAGTATTTCATGTACGTTGTTCCGATGACCTTAGAGTTGAGGCGATTCCCAAGTCCGCAGAGGCGCTCTTGGAGGGAGGTCCGAGGTCCGAAACAGCAACATTGCTTTCTCTCAAGCTGCCGCCTCGATTCATCTCTCGAAGAGATCGATGCTCGACTTTACCGAGATCACTCTTATCCTCAGGTTACGGAGCAACGGTCACGAGTGATCATCTCGAAGCGGGTTATTTTCTTGTCCTACTTCCATCGGATACGTTTCCGTCGTAAAACGTGCGCTGCGCCGCTGGTTTTGAATTTTGGCGCCTTCGGAACATCGCCAAGTCTTCTCCCTGCCGGGCCCACCCAACAGCCATTCACATTCGGCAGAATTTGAGCTTGAAATCCTTCCCGGATCCCCGAATAGCCATCCTGGCCTCTAGGGCCAAGCATCATGTGAGTTAGTATTTGCAATTTAAGTTCGGCTCGTACCGGCTACTCGGGAAGCGATCTCGACAAGCGGGTCGATCTGCTTGGACGTGGACTGGCCATGATAGTAGAGCCCACTCAGATCCAACGCGGATGTCTCACGACCAGAAAAACAATGCGGTCGGAGTTCGACGGGAGGAATCCCAGCAATGCTCGTAAGATAGGTTTCCCGAGCCATTCGCAAGACGTCAAAGCTTCTCGGTATCGACCGGAGCTCCGTCGTTTCGTTCAGTTCGACTCCCCAACAGCCCGTGCCGTGTCCACCATTGTGCGAGCAGGGATGAAGAGTGCCACAAGTATGCTTCCCGGCGCAAGCGTTCCGGCGACATCCTGAAGATGGATTCCGAGGGGGAACTTTCTGGGAAGTCTCAGAATAATTGCTCGGCATGGTGTCTGCTGCTAGCAGCTCCCAATCGAGTAAGGCAGTTCGCAATCCGGCACCATTTCTCTGTTAAGAGTGTGTGCTAATTGTTTTCACGGATTTTCCGAGTGGCGTGAAGCGCAGCCTCCATTTTCAAGACAACACGTTGTTATCTTCGCCGCTGGGAGGTCAATATCTCTCTATCGACGACAGCACGAATTTTCTATCCGTGATTGCGCTCCCGCCGCTACCTGCTGCTGTTGCTCCTGCTGGGAGCTAGTCGAATCCTCGTGAATGAGAGGAGATTCGCTCTGCTAATTCTTACATCCCCATATCCCATTAGATATGCGGGCGGGTCGGATTCTTACGAGCATTGAATGTTCGATCGCTGGCTCGACTGATAGACGACACACACATCGGAGCATAGAACGGCGGGGATACGGAAAGGCAGAGGGACGTACGGACGAGGGGACAGACTGAGCAAGCAACTGCGAGTACACGGCACGTCGTCGTCGGCGCCGCAGCCACCAATGATTCGACAACGGATATGCTGATGCGGACCATTCGATCTGGAAAACTGCTATCATGCGCAATATGTACTGAATCCGGATCGCCACTCGGCAATGGAGCTTCTAGGAACCACCAGCGCCGCGATCGGTTGTGTACGTACGCCACAGAAACTGATATTCGGTTGAAAAAAAACGAGTGTTCCATAACCACAGCTCACTGTGCGAAGTTCTGGATGTCTCCGTGATTGTTCCTCCACTTGTGCAGCATACGCCGTCGGAGTTCGGATAAATGTGCTCGATTATTCCTGTGACGCTGCCGGTCTTACAGCTGCACGCTTCTGAGCCGCCGGGTTGCCCTCCACTTTTCGGATCAGCGGCAATAAAATCGATTTCCGACTAGGATAGCGCGTTGTTGGTCGGTGGGCCTTGGTTCGCCAAGACAAGGAAGAAATCTTCGCGAGAGCCGAGCATATACTCCCACCTCGACCACGATTAGCGATGTACCATGGTATCGAAGCCTATTCGTCAGATCTATGAAAGGATAGCTCCCAGCTCTTGTCTCGGAGCTTTTCCAGAGGGGACAATCTCTCCCCCGGAGGTGCAGTCAATGACCATGTCAATGAGAGTAGCTCGGTAGCCGTTTAGCTTTCGGGAATCCTCCTGGAAAGGTGCCTGAAGCCCCAATCCCCTTCTCTCGTTGCAGGGGCCGGCCGCAGGGGACGTGCAAGGTGTTGGTCTCCCGAATTTCAGCCAATACGAATAAGAAAGAAATTCACTCGCTACTTTCCACATTCGGGAATATAATTTCTTGTGAAGTCCGCCAAAATCAAGACAAAGATAGATCTGCGTATTACCGACTCCTCGTCACGTTCGAGGCAACCGAGCAAGCACAGCAAGCTGTACGAAACCTCTCGAATTATAGATACGGAGGTTCTTTCTTGCGACTCGAATATTATAATCCAAATTTTGGTGATATGAACGGGGGACCGAACCCTCACCACATCAAGTGAGTTGCTGCTCGTATCTGTGGTATCGGTGTGAATCTCCTCGGCTATGCCACGGAGGACGGCTGCATGAATCGGGATCCCCTCGGATATGTCATCTAGGTCGCAGATTCACGAGTTGATAGAAATTTCAGACGACACAACGGTCACATGGCAGGCCGCGGGAACACTGGAATGCCGAACGGTGGCCATGCCGGAGACCACGGCGGCCACGTCGGCGGTCACCGGGGGAGCGGAGGTTCAATGATGAACGGAGGCCACATGAACGGCTCGATGAGGTCGCCCATGGCCGGACCAGGTGGCTACTACTCCGGGCATGTGGGCCATCCCCCTCCGAAAGAGCTCCCGGTGAGGATGCTTGTGCCTTCAGAAATGGTTGGAGCCATCATCGGTAAAAGTGGAGCTACCATCACGTCGATTACTCAGCAAAGCCAAGCGAAAGTCGAGGTGAACAAGAAGAACGCCGGAGGCATCTTCGCCGATGGCCAAGTGGATAAAGTAATTAACATTCACGGAACAAACGAAGCTTGTTCGCAAGCGTGTAAAAGGATCCTCGAAGTCATGCTCCAAGAATCCCAGCAGCCCGCTACGAACACGATGAACGGCGGAACGTCACGTAGACGCGACGAGCCGATCACATTGAGGTTGCTCGCTCACAACAATCTCGTCGGCAGGGTGATCGGTCGAAGCGGGATCGTAATCAAAAAAATCATGGAGGAGACAAACGCCAAGATTAACGTCTCACAAATGACCGATCCCCGGGAACGGGTGATCGTGATCAGGGGCAATCTCGAAGAAATGAGCAAGGCCCAGCAGCAGATCACTTCGAAGATGCGACAGTGTTACGAACAAGATCTTCAGCAGGCAATGATGGGCGGTTACGGCGGACCCGACCTAGGACCCCCACCGCAACAGATTCCCCCCGCGCTGTCGTATCCATTCCATCGGCCGCCGTTACCTCCGCCGCCGCCGATAACGCATCCCTACCACGGCGGTCCGAACGGTCATCACGGTGGACCGCATCATCCGTCGAGTTTCGGGCCGCCGGGAGGACCCTACGGTCGCATCGGGATGTCTTCCCCCTCTGGTCATTTTTACCCAATGGGAGACGGTAGCGTCGAAGTCGCTCACGTTTGGGTGCCTTCGTGCACTGTGGGCGCCATCATCGGGACGGGTGGTTCGTCGATTCGGGAAATGATCAGAGCATCTGGCTGCAGTATTAAGGTGTCGCAGACCAATGCCAAGGATGAGAAGAAAACGAAAATCGACGAGTCTGTCGCAAAACAGAACGGATCCGAGAACCCCGGTGACTCGCCCTCGTCTTCGTCGGTAGCGACCGAGGGTGGTCACAGCACAAAACGGGACGGCGGCAGCGTAGCATCCCTTCCGAATCCGTCGGATCGCCGAGTCACGGTCACGGGCTCCGGTGAAGCTCAGTGGAAAGCTCAGTGTCTTCTGTATCGTAAAGTGTTCATGGAAGCTGTACAGCACCTTGATCTCAATCCGGACGTTTCGAACGACCCCCAGATCCAGCAGGGCCACCTCAGAATCGAAATTAATGTCCCCAGTAATCAGGTGAGGAAATACCGAACTCTTCGTCCCTTGCTTACGTCGTAGGGAAAACCGCTGGGAATGACTTAAGATTTCAGAGCGCATAGCCAGGGATAATTGAACTTGATTGATGTCGATCACAGGTTGGCCGGATCATCGGCAGAGGTGGCTCAACTGTCAAAGACATGCAGAGACAAAGCGGTGCCATCATCAAGCTTCCTGAAGAAACGTCTAGACGAGCTGGATCTCCGGACGAGGCTGTCGAAACCCCCCTATACATTATTGGGGACTTCTACGCTGTTCAAGCAGCTCAAAGGCGAATCCGTGCCCTTATTGCCAGGACTCCTCCAGGTGAGCCCCCTTCCCCCCGCGATGAGTCCCGGCAGAGAGTCGGGATTATCCCAGACCCGATCCGGGATCCTCGCTCATGGCCAGGACGATTGCCGAATGATCGCTTGATCTTGAGAATTCTTTCCCATTAATTCGTAATCAATTTCAGGGGGTCCCACAGCCAACGGCTCTCATGCCAAGAAACACGTGGAAGAGACAGCGACTCAGAAGGTTGAAGGCGAATGTGATCAGTCCGAGAGTCAATGCTAAAAGAAAAACCCGTGATACAAAGGCAGTTCCGCTCTCATAGAAGATGCCAAGCGGCTAACTACCTTTAGGAAAGCAGCGAGTGTGAGGAGAGAGTTGGAGAGACGACGGTGGACACGGTCGCTTCAGGGCCGTCATGCGAGATTCTCACGCTTTCTGCGTCGTGAAACAGTCCCACATGATCTACGTTATTGGAAGCGGAATTCAGTCGATGTTGGGGGCAACTGTTTCTGAAGCAGGAACGGGGCGGCCGTTTTTGGTGAGGAGAATCGTAATTTCGTTGAATGTTTCGGGGCCGAGCCTGGCAAATGGCTGAGGCTCTCCATGGAATGGCGTAATTGGACTCCGGCATGCTCCCATGGTTTAGGAGCTTCGATTCGACAATGGTCTGTTGGCGTTAGCTTTAAATACATTATCTGGGAAAGCAAAGGGTCTTGGAGTAGAAGGATGAGGTGGAGGGGGGAACTTCTTTGGCTGAATCTAAGTCGGGGCGACGAGACTCTCGCGGAGACGTTTTTGTCCCGTGGGAATTTTCGTGCGTCACTCGGACGGGATTCATTCCTGACGGAGAATATCACGGAGACTGCCGACAGACTCATGGACTCCGGAGAGTGTCTGTGCTTGTGGGAAGCTACTCGATTACCTGAAAGCTAGCCCTTACACAAACAAATCACCCGTTGTTGACGAACGGACCGGAGCTGCGAGAATGAGGTGGTCCATGTTGCGATGGTACAAATATGTCCGTAGGAGCCTACGTACAAAGCTTGACCGCCCTTGTGCTGGTGATTTCAAGAAGTGATGTCAACAACGCCAACAGGTCGGTCTGCTATGGTTCGGTCAATTAGTATGAGCCGTCAGGGAATAACGATACAGTACAAATTGTGCAATTTGGTCCGTTTCCTGCGGTCGATTCATCGTGCTGTGACTGGCTAAATGCTTGATGGTAAGGTTCCCACACCGACAGAATAGCAAATATTTATTTGCGCGAGTCACACACGGGCCTTGGTGAGAGCTGACCAATGCAGACCGACGGAGAGAAAGATTCCAATTTGTGCGGAGGTCTCAATTACGCTGTTACTACCAACACTGATGATAACCCAATATGGAACCTGATTATTAAGATTCATCATAGCTGAAAAGATATCGTTATCAAGAATGAGGTAAATATTTGATGGAACTCTACGGATCAGCTGCTATTCCGACCGATATCGATTTCGAAAAAGATTCCAAGAGCAGACATCATTTCTTTCATTATCGAATCCGGACCCATTTCTGAGACCTGAGGAGAACAGGGGAGTCAGGTCTCCTGTCTCGTCGGGCTTGAAGTCAATATTTTGCTCCTGCACGATGGATGGCCTCATCCGCAGTCGCATTGCAGTCTTCGATTGTAATTGATGTCATCGGTGTTTTTCCGCTGCCAAGCTCGATGGGACTGCCAGCCTGATTCCCCGATTCGAATAATCGAATGGGCATCGATCGATCCCGGGGAGGCTTCGCGCATTTAAGAAGGGAAAAAAAGAGAATCAATGACAGCTACGACATTCGCTGTTTGCGGCAGGCGAATGAGGATAAAATCTGCGATGTTTCGGGGGCCCGAGCTCCCAAATCCGACTGGAGACGAAAGGAGATCCTGCTCCAGACTCGAACAGAGCAGATTCGAAGGTCGAGCTGTCCCGGTCACCTCCATCCACTGACGGATGGTTTCCATCGGGAGGCCGTCGAGAGGCGGCGGACTCAATGAGAATGGAGCAGTCGTCCCTCAACTGAACCCCGATTGAAGCATAACCGGTCACGATACAAATAACATTAACAACCCCTAGATAACGGAAAAAAGAAAGAGAAACAATGATTGTCAGAGCTAAAAAAATGAACAGGCGGAAGCCGACGAGCTACCTATTGAACCGTACTCTCGACATGAGTTACTTTGAGCGCTGATGAGTTTTCGCCAACACAAAACATTTCGAATACCGATAATTTCACTTCTCGCGAACTGCGTTTAGATAAAAAAAATGATGGTACTGATTGTATTTGATCGATACAGCATTGTCTATAGTTAGCGATTCAACTCTGCAACGATGACGGCGGGTGCATCGACGATGCTCTGGGGAACTAACCGACTGATCACCGAATTGAGTGGTCAACGGTCAACTCCATCCCACACTCAGCCAGCGATCTTCGAGATACAGCTGGATGAGGTCCGGAGCAGGGGGAGGCACTCTCTGTCATCGGTGTGAGCATTTAAGCCTCCGCTGCGAAAACAAGCATTCTATCGCCTCCCCGATTTCGCCGTGAGCCGGAATGAAAACCACACGACTAAGCAAAACTCGAGATGATCGCGGAGAAAAGTGTAACAATATGATGTCAATGAAGGTTGAGGAAATTCATTATTATCATTATGATTGTCAAGATCTTTCCTCGGAAGGGAAACCACATGATTATTCTACGTCTATTTGGAAAGTACTGTCTTCATGTCATACTGAATCGGTCAACCGATACCTACCACTTATTTGTCCTACCGTATAGCTTGGTAACAAGTCTAAATAAAGGAAATAAATTGAACGTGCCGCCCCGAAACTAATGGCCCCCTCACTTGTCTCGACTCATCGGCAGAAACCAGGAGAATGCCCCAAAGCGGTTCACGTTTCGTCAGAAAACGTCGGCCCGAGCAGATGCTGTCGCGAGATCGCAACTCTCCGGAGTTCTGGAGATACTATGCCGAATGGGAAAGTTCTCGAACACGGATGACACATTCGAATAAGTAGAACAATGGGCGGGGAGAACCCCGAGACTCTTGCCCGATCGAGCGAGTTCCCGCCGGCACACGGCGAAACCTCAGGGATCCCATCCCAAACTTTGCTTTCCCCAGTCCCGTCATGGAATTCAGCACGCGCTCAATAACAGCATGATATATGAACTCAAGCAACGGTCGGACAACACCCTCCCCTCAAGGTACTGCGAATTCCTGGCGGCGGTAGATGAATCCATAATGCCAGAATGATTGGAATTTCCCGGATGGAGAACTTCGAATGAAGGAGAGCGAAGCTCGAGATATTTGGGCTGGGCAGGAGAGAGAATCACTGTGATCTCAAAGAATACAGTAGGCAGGATCTCTTCGAAAGCCGCACAATTTATTTAGATGTTCGAGGGGTACATCATGATTCGGACGCGGTTGCCCATTGCCTTAGCGGGCAAGTTGACGCGGAACTTTGCGCGAACGACACCGGAGTTTCCATGAGTGCGGAAAACGCGACCCCAGATCGAGCGGACTTGCGTCAACTGATGGCGATCCCTGCCAGGTGCCCTCTTGGGGTTCTTCGCCTTATAAAGGTAAACGCATCGCTTGCCAACATAGAAGTTAGCAGCCTTGCGACGGTGGCAGCCTGCGGAAGGAGAAATGGGATTTCAATATGACATCGACTCTAACGAAGGCCGACTATAGGAAGCCTTCTGTGAACACACATCTCCATTGAGTACGAAAATCCTGGCTCGCTGAGCTTCGCCGCGAGTTCCCCTTCGGTCACGCGCTCCCGAAGTGTGGCAACAAGCAGAAAACATACCTTCGATCTTGAGAAGGGCCGTGTGCACTCGTTGATTCCTCTGTCCGCGACGGAATCCTGTGAAGACGGCTTTAGCGTGGAGCCGAACCTTCGGCGTGGGGTTTACGTGACGGACCTCTGGGTCAGAAGACACTTCAGCAGGCTTCTTGACTGCCGCAGGCTTTTTCGGAGCCGCAGCAGCCACCGGAGGTGTCTTCTTTGTCGCCTTTTTGGCTGTGTCGGCCATTCTCGCTGAAAAGTTTCGGAACACGACAACTTAGCGAACACCGGAGTCTCAAGAATGCTGTTGTCACTTCGGCGGTAGAGTCCGACCTGCGATTTCCGGCCAAGACCCACGATTCGGGACATCCGATTTGAATTCTGAGCCCGAAATCGCACCGGAGTCACAGCCGAATAATAAGTAGCAGCCACAACTCAGACAACGTGTGCCGATCGGCTTCCTCTGGAGCGCCGGCTGTATCCACACAAATCGGAGGCGAATCTCCCGATTCTCGAATCAAAAACTTCATCCATTTGTAACGACAGCATTAGCTCGCTCCACTGCGGCGCGTTTCATGAGTTTCACCTCATAATTACCACAAATTCGATCGAAAATAATCACAACGCACCGTACCTAGGGACCAATATGGCTGAAAAGGATGATTTTAGCCGGAAAAGAGAATGTTTTGGTTTCGCATCGTCTGTTTGTGTTCACCGGAAGTGGGATCGGCGAGTGCGGCATTTTCAAAAAATCGAACGCGCGCCTCCATCGTCCCCTGCTCAGCTGATTCTTCCGGAGGCGTGCTCGTCATCGATCGGTTCCTAAAATCTGGGTTACGGATGAAACTGTGACGCAACGCCGCCGTGACGACTCTAGTCGGAGCCGGATCTTGTTTGACAGCCCTTCTCCGATCGAGAATCGTCGGGAACCTGACAGCGGAAATCACGGAGATGCGGTGCGCGTTTCCGTTCACTGCTGTCTTTCAGAGGAGTCACAGGGTGTCAAAACTGTACGGCATCAGAACCTTGTGCCAACGCGCCTCCTCCAAGGAAGAAGAGACTCCTCTACTGAAGCAATTACGCAGGCGCATAATAGCCAATGGTCCCATAACGGTACACGACTACATGCGAGAAGTTCTCGTGAACCCGCAAGCTGGCTATTACATGCATAGAGATGTCTTCGGACAAGCGGGAGACTTCACCACGTCGCCAGAAGTTTCTCAGATGTTCGGTGAGATGATTGGTGTGTGGATGCTCAACGAATGGTTCAAGGCCGGGATGCCTCAACCCGTCCAGTTGGTCGAAACGGGACCAGGTCGTGGCACGCTAATGAGTGATATCATCCGAGTTTTCTCCAAATACAATGAGCTCATCGAATCGCTGCACGTGCGCCTGGTTGAAGTTTCGCCTCATCTCGCCCGTGTTCAAGAGGAGTGTCTCTGTGGTACCTCCACAGCTTCGAATTGGACTGGTGACGCGTTCAAAACGTCGACTTCGAGGAATGGTATCCCGATCAGTTGGTACCGGGATATCCAATTGGTTCCGAAAGCCTTCAGTTTTTTTCTAGCGCACGAGTTCCTCGATGCTCTGCCTGTACACAAGTTCCAACGAACCGAGAGCGGGTGGCGAGAAATTCTCGTGGATATTTGCGAGAGTCCTGATTCGCCGCTGCATTTGAAAATGGTTCTTACACCCAGTCGCTCGCCAGCCACGATGCTTATTCCTGAGGGAGAAGAGCGCAAGCACCTTGAGATCTGTCCTCAAGCCGGAGTGTTCGTCGAACACCTCGCCGAGAGATTGGAGGAATCGGGAGGGGTGTCGCTCATCGTAGACTATGGCCATATGGGGGAAAAAGAAGATACTTTTAGAGCATTCAAGAACCATCAGCTGCACGATCCACTCTCGCTTCCCGGCTCAGCTGATCTGACAGCAGATGTAGACTTCGAATATTTGAGACGTTGTGTCGAAGGCAAAGCCTACACGTTCGGACCTGTATCACAGGGGAAGTACCTGACAAGCATGGGCATCGGAGTCCGCTTGAGGAAACTCCTCGAAGTAACCCGCGATCGCAAGGAAGCGGAAAATCTCTTATCGGCCTATGACATGTTAGTGAGCCCCCAGAAGATGGGGGAACGTTTCAAGTTTTTCGCAATGTTCCCGAAAGCAATGACGCAGCTCCTCGAAAGCAATCCCCCAGCGGGCTTCTAGGTGAATCTTTCCGAGCGAAGTATTGGCGAGTCTACTCGGGATCGGGTACTGATCATCAGCGTCGTCACTGATCGAAAGCGGCGGAGACAACCATGCGTCAGGTTTTTAAACCTCTTGTTGATTCCTTCAGAATTATATCTCAGGCTGGATAGGGATATCAATAGCGGGAGACTCTCAACAAGATTATTATGGATGATTCGACAAAAGCTTTATTGACCCTTGGTTCGCCATCATCGATTCGACATTCTCAAAATAAGTCGATGATGTCATGGATTTATTAGAAGACTAGCTAAAGTGGAACATATTCAGTACGCTAACTTAGAATAACATTAAAACAGTGTGTCTGAAATTCCAAGAATTTTGAACATAAATATGTACAAATTCGCACTCGACGCGTCTCCGCCTGGGCATCGCGTTTGGGAAAGGAGCGGCCGAGGTTAATAAATCTCACTTAAATAGAGTCCATTGCATCAGTAGCCTTCTCATGATCAATTCACAGGAAACAGCTCACAAACCCGCTCTCACGCAGTAGCTCATCCTCCGGCCTCAGAGTACTCTTCAGGACGCAGAGATTGACTCTCATGCTGGGTATACATTCCGATAAATAACATTTCATGCAAACAGTCCGTCTGCGATTATTACAGCTTGTTCGAATCGCCTCGCATCTTCTGGAGTTGATCGGCAGAGAACGCTTGTCAGCGTCAGCATCTTCCGGTCGCTCCTGAGGTCCAATGATTCGTCTAATAATCTCACCTTCATCGGCAACTTTGTTCTCTTAACATAGCGCGACATCAACGATGATTCGATGATAATGGTAATAATTAGTCGGTGATTGGTAACAGTCACAAAGAAACAATTGCAAGCAGAAAGGGGAATATACGTTTGTGACAAGCAACTCGATGACCGCGACTGGTGCGGCCTCTCGCCATTGATCAGCTTCGGTTTCTCTGTCAACTCGTCAGGATTGTGGTCCCAGCTCAGTCAGAGCCGACGACTAGCGATCCTGAGAGTTTACGACAGGCCATCTGCTGCTACCGCAGATTCCGAACTGTTTACGATTGCTCGAGTCGCCGTTTGATTATGTGACTCTGATATGGAATGTTTTGAAATCACGCTTCTTCGGGACATTTTTTGTCGGTGATACATTTGATGACTTTGAGGCCGCTGATCGTAGTGCCCGTCAAGAAGCCAGCGATGCCGAAAGCCATGATGAGGATGTTCTTCGCGAGCAATAAATACCACTTCTTCTTAGAGATATCTTCGTCGAAATACGTGAACAGCTCAATGAGGGGCGGAATTATCAAAGCCAGAGTTGAGGACGCGACGGCTCCCACCAACGAGATGAATATTTTCAAGTCTGGAATGATGATGCCCAAGAAAACTGCAACGGGAGTCGACGTATCGTATTAGACATCTGTCGCGTGGAAATTCTGTACTGCCCGAGGTCGAGGGCTCGATATATGACGCAAGAGAATCGTCCATGCGCAAATCGAGGGGATTCTACTCACATGTGAAGAACACAAACAATGTTCGGAGTCCCCATTCCATGTAGACCAATTGCCTTTCGGGATATCGGCTGCTCAGCGATAGCTTCTCCTTGATCCAGGGCCAGATGATTTTGATCGGAACGTACAGTTGGAGCCCGTATGACAGGAATATCGACACTGCGAACATTCCCTTGATCGCTTCTCCCAGAGCACCCTGTGATTTGAAGTTCAGTGTGATTGAGTCCTGAATGTCGTTCCCGTACTTGAGGTATCCGAAGAAGCCCATGGCCGTGTAGAGTAAGACCACGAGCGACATTCCAGTGTTCATGACGCCGAACGTTCCGGCGAAGTCTTCCGGGTGTCTCATTTCGTTTTCAAGAGGGAGTACCTGCATGGAATCCTCGAAGCTGAGTAATCGAAAACTACAGAGACTTCTTTTCCGAGGGTCCGGGGTCATCTCCATATGAATTTATATCTGTGGCTCTCGACCGCTCTATGGCAAGTACACGAAATGCGGATGCGGCACTCACGATTCCAATTCCTTCGAAGGCGTAGATCGCAGTTCCGAAATAGAGCGGAAGCTCCGCCAAGGAGCCTGTCAAGTGCACTTTGGGATTGTGGATTGACGGCAGACCGTCTTTGAAGATCATATAGAATATCATAACCATTCCAACTGCCTGGAGGGCGTTCGCGAATGAACTCGCGTAGGAAAGAGTTTTCAAACTTCTGATGAAATTGTAGATAATCATCACAGGGAGAACCATTGCGAGGTAGAATTTTGTGCCGAAATCAGCACTGGGTCCCACGGTGTCTGTCGGAGGGATAATCGCTCGTTTAGATTCCGCTTCTCATAGATATCACGTCGCGACACCCTCATGGTCGCAGACCGCAAGATTTTGCCGACGCCTCGCAGATGGATTCCCAAATGAACCATGAGATGGTTCACGGAGCTCGACTCGGAAGTTCGCACACAAATTATACACAGGTATACTCACTCTTCATGATCTCTTCGATGCTCTTAGCAACGAACAGGAAATATACGCAGCAGAACCCAAATTGAGTCATTATCAGGAAACCGTTGATCATTTTCGAGGCGTGTTTGGCGAAGGGTCTGACGGCGTAGGGTCCTGTCGCCACTGCTTCCCGAGTAACTCCGGCGAAATCGAGAGAACGGACTCCTTTTCTGCAGGATTCGGGGTCGAGGGATATTAAAACGGAGGCATTTGATTCATCGGAATCAAAACGGGGACGGACGTTCAATCTCAAATCATTGTCAACACCGATGCTCCCTCTCGAGGAACCCTGGATCGAGTGCTAATGGAAGACAGATTGCTGTCTGACCGCATGCTTCTCCGCGTCGATGCACTCATAAGAGTTTAACCCTAGCTAACCTTTTTGATAGAATCCGATTGCACTCTAGCAGCATGTGCATGCAGTGGATGCATATGACACCGATGAGGACCACCCCGATCGAGCCTACCAGGAGACCAGCGTTCTTGATCGCTGAGGGCATTGCCAGCACACCGGTACCGATGTTGCCCTTCAGAAGATGCATCATTGTCTGCCCATTACTGAAAAAACGATTACGTCCATTCAGTAGGTACTCCAGCAGTTGGATCAATCGTCAGGAGACTTTCGACAGCGCGGCGTGACACCATCCGGAAAGCTACCCGGGACTTCGAAACCTTCTTCGGGAAATATCCAATCTCTCTCAGAGGCTATATGAGCGATAGGCCCCCCTCAGAGAGGGGGTTCTTCCGGAGAATTCGAGGTTGGCCCGAGCTGCGCTCTGTCTTGAGCGGCATCCGAGAGATCAGCCCCGTGGCCCCCTCCCCCCCCAGCTCCTCTCCGACCCCTGTTCGCGACTCCGGTCGTTATGCATTCCTGATTTTCGTGGGATCAACGATTAGTGTCCCTGCGAACTCAGTGTCGAGAGAAGAGCCCGATAAGCGCTGCTCTAGAACAATCGGTTTGAGAATATCAGCGAATCAGCGGAATACTCACGAGGTTAGAGAGTGATGCGCTTCTTCGTCTCCTGGCGTAGAATCGTTCGAAGAATTCCCAGGTTTGCCGCTTTCCACCGAGGCCACGGAGCCGGCTCGCAGGAGCGAATCCATTTCTCGCTTGTTCTTTCCGGCCATCGCCTGTGAATACATTCCTGTTCTAAGAACAAAGGTCTCATCCGCCGCTTTCTTCCGAGCCGGGGATTTCACATTCGGAGTCATGATAGTCGGCCGATCCCCGCAACGCTGATAGGTGTCCCTTCCTCAGATTCCAGTATGGAGGATACTTCGAGAGTTGTTGCAGAGGCCGTGCACGTGAATCGTCATGTCGCTGCCCGTCCAATAACTCAAGGCAACGCTCGCGCACGGCACCGTATACGCCCGTACAAGGACTCGATCCCAGATTGTGTAAGTTTTCGCTCGTTTGGAGAAAGATCATCCACAAATGATAAGAACGAATGGCGATGCGTCGTACGTCTTGGCGCGCAAACGTGCCGATACAAGGGAGGAGAGATCAACAAACTCGCGACTTGACTCACCGGTTTGAAATTTACTTTGGCCCTTGCTTTCTCCAAGTCTATCCTATCATATGCGGTGAGTTTTTCCTCAAAAAACATTTTGACAGCTCTCTTCCGGTTCGCTCCAGATTTATAAATCCTCGATGAGGTATCCCAACTGATGTACAAGATCACAGCTACACAACAAGCACAATTCCGAATTTAGCCAGTCCACGATTGTCACGAATAAGGCACCATGCGAACTCAGGACGCTTGCGGTGGCTACATGAGATCGGTAGGGATTCGGGATTCCAAAGTAAATCTCTGTCGAATACATAAACCTTTAAGTGAAAAGCATTCGCTCAACGAGCAGCAGTTGGAGAGTGGGATGCAAGAGAAAGGGACAACTGTTCAATGGAAGATTCCTCCGGGCGCTTTCGACAAATACTGATACGTGTAACCTAAATCTCGCCCGAAATCTTGTAGTGTTGTTTCTTGGAACTTCCAGGAGTGCAACTTTGAGAGATTTCACCCTGACGCACTACGTATAACATATAGCATGAAGATAGATGTGACATTCCCGCAGATAGCACTGAGAGATAAGAGAAATTAACGTCTACCGAGCTGAGCAGCTGCTTTGGGTTGGAGCCGAATACAGTTCGGTTGACCTTCGATGGTGTTCATCTGCAGGGATCATCTGCATTAGAGAAGTTTCGCCGACGCGTTCTACATAGAGATTCTCGTGGAAAAGGTCGGTTCGTGCCGATCAGGAATCAACTTTCCAGCGAGATCACACGGTCTTTTTCCGGGGCCTAATAAAGCTTGGTCGGGCGGCGCTCAAGGTCTGGCGAGACTCGAAATCGGTTTCGATACACCGGAGAACTTGACGAGTGTCTCGGGGATAACCGACCGAACCGCCTTCCGCGAGAAGATACCGGGATCTCCTGGCCCCTGGGATACTGAGACTGGGTTCGGGCGCAGTCTCTCTCGACTCTCGTTTATGAAAAACGGGAAAAAAGGAAGAATTGAGAAGAACATATCAAACTCGTGGAGAGATAAATCGCCAGACCCACGAGTTCTTTGTCCGTATTGATCTTATCGAAACGGCTTTCGGAGCAATCACTGTGCGACGCTTGATTTCAGATATTTTCAGGGCGTTTCCAAGTATCGTTTTGACAGCGGTGGCACATGAATTCCACCGTGGTTCGCCTTTCCCCTATGAGAAGCGGAAACGCCTCTGGGAGGCCGGGCTCGCGGGAGAATTCCATGAATGAATTCGCCGAACGAGCCGACAGTCTACGTCGCGCACTCGGTTGTCAGAGACGATCGGTGGAAGCAAGGGACAGTCATCATTGGACAGCCATGATACCCCGGAAGTAATGGCAGGATTTTGAGTGAGGGAGAAAATTGGGAACAGTCGTCCACAATTATGCATGGATCCAACGAGCATTGGTAGCGAGGGTAAATTATTCGGGGGAAGCGCTTCCGCGAGGGAACCGTTGAGATAGTTATCAAGCCGATTCTCGCTAGCCCGCGGAAAGAGCGTAATCCCTCAGCTGAGCGGCACGTGGGAATGTAAAGCCATGAGCCACGAGTTCGTATCGAACGAGTTCCTCTGCTGTGCGTCAGCCAGCGGAGATGTCATGTTTGCATTTTCTCGGACAGGGCAGATAATTCCGCTGAGCCTACTAGATGAATCAAGAGATTCCTTCGAGTTGCCAGCGGGCCGGCCGAGCTGGACATCGCCTCAGATTACCGGCGTCAGGTATCAAATGCGTTTGCCTTCTCCATCAGAGGCAAATCGACCTTACTGATTAAATCAAGAGGAATAGTTCGAATTCTTAGCGGATGAAACACTGGTATGTCGAGCGTCTTAACGCTTTTAGTCGAACCTGCCGGGAATAATCCGAAGGTTGATTTTTACGTGTTTTTCATCGTTAAGATCGAGTTAACGTCACGTTTGCGATATCGAACGATACCTGGTTGGGCGCCAGTCATGTCAGATATATCCCGAACCAAGAGAACGGTGGGTAATATTACTCACGATCGTGCGCATTCATTCTCCGACACCCGAAATGTGGTTCCATTCCAGGGACTGCCCGTCGATATTCCTAGTCCTTCAGGTGTAGACCCGACGAATTCCCCTCGCGCACGGTTATCAACGTCGGGGTCATAACGAACATACGAAGATCCCGCGGGATGCTCGATCGGGAAGGGCCCGGGAATTTTTCCCCATTGCCCGTAAGACCCTGCTCGCTTCTGTGAATATCTACGTTATCACGCTTCTGGCTAGACGTGCATGGCCAGTCCAACTCCCCGCCCTGGGTTGCCGCATCGAACCGGCTTGCCATGAGTTCTAGATGTCGGACTGCGACTTGAGAACTTCTCCCTGCGCATGATGAGCTCGGAACGAGCCTCGCGGCTCGAGCCTGTCGAATCGCGCGTCATGAATGAGAGACCCTAAGCTTCTGATAGACTTACAGTGTTGAAGCCGACTTGGTCCGCGGAAAAAGATACAGTGGTGAAGACGCGCTGCCTTCCTCCTTCTCCTTCTCCTTCCGGAGAACTTTGAGTGTTCCGAGATTCGGCCGGAGGGTCTTCTATTGGCGCGATCGCAGTCATTGTGCGGCTCTAATTTCCAGAGAGCGAATCGGCAGGTATCACAGGGATCAGGTAGGTTGTGCCGTCCTACTCTGCACGCTTGACACTCGAAGGAATAGGTGCCTGCACCCGACGAACTTGAAACGCCTACGGGAAAGGGTGATTCGGCGGCCTTTTGGATCAGCGTCTTTTCGCCTGAATTCGGCACTCTGAATCGTCGGGCGCTTTCCGGAAGTTTTGCCACAAATCGTGCTCGAATCCGAAAGTTTTTGTTGTTCTTGAATAACGTCATTGTCGAGCATCGTGAATAGCGGAAAATCACGAGGAGTTACTCGACGGCGGACAGGGGAATGTGGAACAAAAACAAACATGCATACTGCTATAGAGCAACTGCGGAACTGATGCAAGTCTCCCGCAAGGTTACGCTGTGCTTTGACTGCGCCGTGTTTCCGCTTCATCAGCTCCGCGCAACGTGAGATCACAGAGACCGACACCTCGAGCGAGGGAGACCGCCTTCCGCGCTCGGGAAAAATCCGAAGAAACCATGCGAAACGTCATGTCCGGTCGCTTCTCTGTTCACGATCCCTGTCTCGGTGGCGGGATAATCTCCGCCGCGATGAAACTTCTCAAAACGCCCAATGCTGGATCATTCCGTAATCGGCCACGCTCCAAAGGGTCGTCGTCGCTTGTTCGCTGCGCTCGAGGAGCCAAACGAAGATAACGCCTCAGTTTTCCATGACTCTTGACAGCTTTCGGTTCCGTTCCTCTTGTCCTCATATAGCCTGACTGGACCATATCGTGAACGATGGTATCAGGGTCAGGCTCCCGCTTTATATGAGGGACATAAAGTCCCGATAATAACAAGGAGAGAACCATTGCGAAGGTCGATGATGAGCTTTTATTCGAAAACATTTTGAGCCGCGAAGTTTCGTCAAGACCCATCAGTGACGGGACGAGAGCCGAATCTCCACAAGCGTACGCAGTTCACCGAGCAAAATTTCTTGTCATCGGCTGTCAGCTGGTTTGTTGTACATTCCTTCAGGCAGCTGTCACAGACGAAGACTTTAGATTGCAGGGCGGTTCGATCCAAGCGATTGGTTTTGGATGATGTGGAGGGCTTCTTCTTGGAGCTCCCCTTGGAAACCTTCGGCTCGGAAACTTTCTCTGGAATGCCTGCTTTCGCGAAATCCAAAGACGTCGGATGAGCGAGACGGTACTCGATCAGGAGCTGACGGACCGTGTTGTTCATCGCAACAGCGTACGGCGTCTGCTGCTTCTTATCGGTCACCGTGAGATCCGGTTGCAATTCGAGGATCTTCCTCAGCATTTCAACTCGCCCGCGACGGCAGCACAAGTGCAACACGGTATTGCGAGAATCGTCGATCGGCTGAGAGAAAACGCCGCGCAGCTCTCCGCTCGGCGCTCTTTGGAGGAGGGCTTCAAATTCGTCCTGGTTGTTTCCGGTGCAAGCGAGGAAAAATTCTTCGTGCAACTCTTTCTTGCAGTCAGCCCCCCGGACTGGTTTTCTCGGAGGAGTCTTGCGCGGTGAGTTTGGAGTTTCGTCGGAGTCTGAATCTTCGTGAGACCGGGATTCTGTCTGCGCCGTTCGCGGTACGTGTTCTCTCTCGGGTTTTTCCTTCTTGGTGCATACGGCCTTCGTTTCATAGTAGCGGATCGGGTTCTTCACAATCAAGATCGTCGTAAGGTGATCGTGAATTCTCTTGAGCTCTTTCTGTGTCGGGCGACGGGTGACCATGGGTATGGTGCGTGTTCTCGGGTCGGTTTTGCTGAACGGAGGATTCTTGCCTCCGAAGAGAATCTCGCGGTTCGACCGAAGAGCTCTGTACATTATTAAGTCACACTGGTCCAGCTGTGCGTTCCATGACGTCAGACAATCACGGGCTTTCTGTGCGAGTGACACTTCGTTGTACATGCGTAGACTGGCCCCAGCTGACTGAGGTGCGTTTCCTTGATTGTTCACCGAGCTCTGAGAGCCGCCCTGCTTTCTGCGCACCGTATACGAGTGGAAAGTTTTACTCTGCAAAATTCTGCCGTTGTGGAAGATTGCGGCCGCGAAGTGTCCGCCACCTATCATAATCAGGGCTATGCGCAGATTATTCTCCAGAATTGAATTCACCCGCGCCATGAGCTCCGCTTCGGTGAGTGATTCGTTCTTTGTTTCGATGAGCACACGATTGATCTCAATCACTTCCCTGTTGCTGTTCATGAAGAGCAACTTCCCGGCATCATGAACGATTTCTACGCTTTCCTCTGACTCGCTATCCGTCGCCGAAATACTCTCACAATCGCTTCCTATCGTCTCGAACTCCCCTTCGGTCAGCGCCTTCCCGTTCGCGAGCTTCGCTTTGATATTGAAACGGTGCCAATCGCTCCTATAATGATCCACTTGACTCTCTCGAGATTGGAAATCGAGCTCACATGTGGCACATGTCTTCTCCTTGCATATGACCAGCTGTTCCACCCGTGGAATGAGTGGGACATGGGTCTCTTCACGGTGCTCAAATTTCTGTTGAACGGCCTCAAGATTTTGTAGATGTTGTCGGTACGACGACACATCCCTCAGGAGGAAACTACATGTAGGAGCGGCCATCGATTCGATCTGAAACAACCCCACCTTTATTCGAAGGGCCTTAGGTTTGAGCCAAAGGTCCGCAGACTTACACAGATCACAGAAAACAGGAAGACCGTAATCATTTCCGCCATTTCGAGAGGCTCTATCAGTATCGCAGACTCAGTCAGGAAATCGCACGCGCAAAATGACGCTCCGTGTGATCCAAAACGGAAAACAAGACACGAAGGCCTGATCCCTGGCTGTGCGTGGATTTGAAAAATCTCGAACGAGGAGACCGACTGTGAGGTCACTGCCGCGGACGTCCGGAGGAAAGTTCGAAGGAGAGCACGCTGAGACGTTGCGTCAGGGTCGCTTAGCCAGCTGCACAATCTCTGCGACTGACACCCGGAAATAGGGATGAAGTTGTTGCCAGAAGGCCCAAAGTTGTGCAGCGGAACCCGGCGAATTCGGTCGCTCGCGAAGAATTCGAGCTCCGCGGTTGCGCAGCTGGACTTTCGTCGCTGACTCTGCATTATCTCGTTCCCTGACCTTGATCTTAAAGGTAGAGGCTCGGACAGGGTGTTTTGCCGTAGTAGTTCGCGACTTTCCTATCCAGCAGCTGCTGTGTTCATACGCTCTTTCGTGCGGGGGCAACTCTGGTTCGGATCTCATCGGCTGTCCGGGGAACTTTCCGTTACGACAAAGAGGGAATCCCTGGGTCCAAAAGGGCCTATGCTGAGTTCTGCTCATGAGCACGCGATAGCCTTGACAGAGGAAACGCGGATTAGCGCCTCGGAATTTGAACTGACGCTTTCGGATTCCCGATGACTAATGATCCAGTTTCTCGAATTCATCATTCTGATTTGTGTGGCCGTCAGACAAAGCCGTGGATGGCATTCTCCATAGTGCGCACAGGAAGCGACAAGGAACTCCCTGTCGACAGGATCGAGGCCAAGATCAGGGTACCACTCAAATAAATAAACTCTCCGCTCATTACTGATGATGAGCCGAAAACACTCGGAGGGTGTTGATTTCATTCGAGTGCGTGCGTCTGGACGATCGAGCATGCAACTTTGCCGTTCGAGCAGAATCTCTGGTCATTCGGTGAGTCCGCCAAGCTTGGATACTACTTCGCTAGACCTATTTACGACTGACAATGAAAAAATCATTGCTCCCGCTCCTCGGTCGAAACCTAGACATTTCACTATTGAGAGATGTGACAGAAGTCATCGACTATTGAAAAGCCTCAACATACCGCCGAGATCGTGGCAATTGCGATTTGGGCGCTACTCTGGGATCCGCTTGAAGTTTCCATCTCGAGAAGGTATCACCAGCGGCTCGAACTTTAATCACATCAACCAGTCTTCGAATTGACAATCCGCAAATGGAGCTCCACTACTGAACCGTGAACTCTAATGGTATGAGCATAACGGGGAAGGAAGCACACGAGAAAGGGAACATGGCATAACCTAGAGACGCATAAACTCCAGACTAGAGTAAAAGCGAGATATGTTTGCGCATTCTTCGAACTGTTTACCAGGCCATACGGTATCCGCATGAAACTCCGGCGAATTCCCCCGTGCTCCACGGTTTATGATCGGCAGGTGAAAAGAATCGTTTTATTTACAATCGTCCTCCCATGGGAACGATTAGCCAGAAGATGTTACGTCTACGCATTCCATACATTGTTCCAGTTCGGAGTCGAATTAGGTCGACGATTGGGATTTGGGAAAACTTCCGTCCAAAACATCGGGGAGTCTTCCACTCCGAGTGGAACAGGTGTTTGCAGTGCTCTATCCTAATCTCCCACAGAGGTGGACTAGTCATCACCTAGGAAGCGTCCAAGCAAAAAAACAGTCCATGTGGCATCGTATCTCCCACATACCGGAGGTTGTTCGTTCGAGATGATAGGGAGGCTATCGCCAACGTTTTCCAGCTCCATTTTGAATGTCACCGTATGGAGAGAGACGGGAACGAGCCGTTTCCACCGCTTCCGCCCTAGCCACTCTGGTCGGAAACCACCGGGACGGCGTCAGGTTTCGGCTGAGAACGCACTGCCGCTACTGAGGCCCACGGCTGAGGATCCATCCACCGAGTCGGGGAATGCTTGAAATTTTTTTCCAATGAGCAACAGGGCTTCGGGAAGCTCTTCTGCTTCAGCCTCGCTTCCGCGAGGTGCTGCCCCCTAGCGGAACGTAAAAGTGCAAATTGCGTGTTCTGCGTCCCTGGCGAGATGGGCTCAGGGACTCGGGGGCATCCACTGATCGCCTTGACAGACGAGAGCACATGGGATGCTCATGCCTCGAGAAATTGCGAAATCTCTGATCACGGTCCGCAACGTTCCCCTTTCGGAGACGAGACCACACGCGACACACGTACACTCATGACGACAGACGTAAGGGACCTACCTGAGATCAGTTACGCAACTTAACAAGCTGCAGGGGGTTGTTGAACCCCCGATCGTGTCTTCCCGACCTCTCTGTGGTCGCGAAGTGAGTCAGAAACATATGTTCGGAGGCCGGAGTAGTGCATGTCTCCATCTTGAAAAACAACGCCCCCTGCTGGCTATAAACTGAGACTCGGCGCATGCAGCCGTAGAATCGACTGTCTGATTGAGAGATTAGAATTGCGTCAGTGGCCACATTTGGAGATCAAGGGGGACACCGCCGAGAACTCGAGCACTTCCGATATAATGCCTAATGATGTGACTTGATCCAGGGCCAGATACGGCTCGTGATAACGCGGACGGTGGCCACGACTGAAACTATTCTTTGGGCTGATTCTCATCCCACGTCCCTGAAGAACACGAAGTCTCCGAAATCAGGCCCTGGGAATTCGTGGCTAGGAATTCGACCTCAGCGAGACTTTCTGACTCACCTTTTGAGAGCTCCATGGCAAAAAGCCTCTTTTTTCGTAAGATGCGACCCTTTGACGTTTGTTCCGCGGGACCGTACTTGTTCCCGGGAGAGACTCGCTGTCCATTTCCTCAGAAGGTCGTCGAAAAAAACTTCGCTCAGAGGGAGCAGATGTTTCCCCGCTCAAACGCGGGATACAAAATGAAAAAGGAGCCGCGTTCAGCCGCCGTCGCGGACACGACAGTCGAGAGAGCTATTCAGAGAAGGCACTAACGGTGAGCTGAACGATTCCGCCTCGCCACGCACATGGCTCATTTGGAAGCGGCAAAGAGCCACTTGCCACTTGCATGGAATTCTGAACTTTCAAACTTTGAGAGCGCATTTAGCGCAGCAGAACTAAGAGCGGGAGCGTGCTCTCCGGAGCTCTCAGACCTGATCTGTGAAGCATGAGTAGGACCTGAAGGTTCACATAACGATTCGAAGTCCCAAGAGAACAGCCAGACGACAGGGAAAACAGCATTTCTCCCGAAACATGACATATATTTTCTTTAATTCTAGGGTCTGCTTAGGTTTTCAGATTCGCACACGAGGACTTCTTGATTATCATCGCACCGTCACGACAGTTCGAGGTCACCATACTAAGAATGCAATCAACAGTTCAACCCAGGGCGATTAGCTATACATTGTTTCTCGGCGAGATCAATCGCTGGACATCACAAAATAGAAGTATCTCTATTTCTTTTCTTGAGATAACGAAACGGCTTCAGCTGTGCTTCGGTGTAGCGGAAGATCCTGAGCAGAATCCTCCGCTTTCAACCTTCTTGTCCGAAGTCGGTCATGAAAGCCTTGAGCTTCACCAGATCAGCTTCGTTAACCGTTGGTTTTGACTGAGACAAGCTTAGTTGCACGTCCTTCATGGTGACCTGAGGTAGAGAAAACGCCTAAATTCCCATGGTTCCCCGAGTTTTCGGTACACTTTTCATTTTGTGTATGCTGTGCCCGCCTCCGCCGCCTCTCTAATGCCGGCTGAACTCACCTTTGGTTCGCAAAGTTTCTCTCCGGGCACTCGCATCCAGTTCATCTCCATAGCCCCCCGATCGCCAGGACTGCAGGGCATTAGGAGATCATGAACCGTCTTCGTGGGGTCATCTCTTGAAGGTCCCGAAACTTTCTTGAAGTGGGTGGCGCTTTGAACCTTCCTTACGGGCTGCATGAGAGAGTCCCGAACCACGACGGATATATCGGCGCCTGAATAGCCTTCGGAGATTTCCCCTAATGTTTTGAAGTCCTAGATGAATGGAATCCCAACTCGATTAGCCCTGGATCAGAAATTGAAGTTCCACCGGGGGAACGATGGTAGTCGAGTCGGATGACTTGCCTTTTCCGTCAGAGTGTGGGGGGTGTTTCCAATGTGTAACTTGAACATGACCGTCCGGGCCGGCGCCTCAGGCAGAGGGATGTATATTCTCTTCTCGAAACGACGCCTGATCGCCGCATCCAGAACCCACGGAATGTTGGTCGCTCCCAAAACGAGGATACCTTTGAGCAGAGAAGAACTGAAGTGAATTCGGCTTGACGGACCCGGAGGGAATGCGCCTTCTCAACGGGAGCCCACCTTCATTATCGTTGTTCACACCCTGCATCTGCACCAGGAACTCTGTTTTAATTCTCCGGGTAGCGTCTGCTTCATTGTCTGACCGCGTCGAGCACAACGAATCAATCTCGTCTGAAAATATGATGAGATCGGAGCGATTCTCCGGGTCTTACCCTAGAGACTGGATGATTGGGAATATATATCGTATCGGTTCCGGAACTTACCGATGAAAATGATCGCGGGCTTCCGTGCTCGCGCCATCTCGAATAATCCCCGCACCAATTTCTCGGACTCACCCAGCCACTTGCTTACCTGAAAAATTCAAACACGCGTGAAGACCAGGAGTCGACTCTTACGAGCTGAAATCGATTCATCCGAGGTTTCGATGAGGCTCTCTCTTCCCCCTACCAAATGAGAGCTGGATACTGAGAGAAAGCTCGAGTTCTGGGCTTCAGTCGCCACTGCCTTGGCTAGATATGATTTCCCGGTTCCAGGTGGCCCGAATAAGAGGATTCCTTTCCACGGTGTCCGTTTCCCTAACGAAGGAGAATCGCATCGTTATTTCAGGAGATCCGGAGCCCGGGGTTCCGGCACTGAATTTCGATTTGAGCCGCAAGAAGTACTGCCTAACTCACCAGTGAAGAGATGCGGAAATTTAATTGGTAGAATCACAGCCTCTTTCAACGCTTCCTTCGCCGCCTCCAGCCCGGCCACATCTTCCCATTTGACGTTGGGCGTCTCAACAATCACAGTTCCGTCCAATTGCGACATCAACTTCTTCTTCTCTGGGTCCTCGCTGGAAGAGTGATATTCATATCTCGAAGCTGATGCGAGAGGGTACGAGTTTCCGGGTGAATCCCCGCCCCCGTCAATGGGGAGCGAGAAATTCCATGTATAGGCCCATGATCCCGAAGCCCATGATCCCGAAGCCCAATGCCGGGGAGCTCGCGAGTCTGCTGGGATACTTTTCTTTTCCCCCGAACGGAATCGGGACTCCCCAAGGAGCGATGCAGGCATGAATTGCCATATCTCAAAACACACCTGTTGTCGGAGTTTTCATCGGCATCGTCTTCTTTCACAGGCTTCTTCTTATTTCCGCCGCTGTTCGCGCCTTTGAGATATTCCTTGAGCTTCTCTGCTCTGTCTAAATAAGTCATGCATTTCGTCCTAATGGAGTCCTTCGCCTTATCGTTCTGGGCCTCATATCGTACTGCATGGAGGAAATATTCGACACCATTTTCGTAGTATCGAAGCGCTTCCTCGTAGTTCTTCGCACGATCTTCTTCGGTTGCCTGAGGGGATGAACGATCTCGTTAGCGACTCAATTCTGCCCAAGTTATGCGCACGGTTGGGTTCGGAAGAGGTTCTATGATTCGATAGGACTCATGATACTATTATGATCTCACACAAGTTTTCTAGGGGAACGCTTACCTTGGTCACCAACTCTATGGCTTTCTGGAGAGCCGACCCATTAGACATGGCTAACGGTTGCGGAGATGAAACCCTGACTTCGCCGATTCCGGTGCGGGGTCCACTGCTTCCGGAAAACCAGGGAGGAAAAAACCGCTTTAGTCGCTTCATAGATTCTTACTCCGCGGGGACTCGTGCTCAAGGAGAGAGCTTGACACTTGCCCCACACCGAGCTTGGATGGCTGAATCGATCACTAATGAAGCTGATAAATCGTTGAAACGTCATTCAGTGACTCATTCTCTCGAATGAACATATGATCTAGAATAATTTCGGAAACGGCAGACGCATCTTATATCGTTAAGTTTTCAGTAGACAGACTGATACATCCCATCCTCTCTTCCAGTGACTGGAATACGGAGGATTCCTCTAATCTTTTCATCGTCCCGTCAGGGGACCGACCGTATTGGATATGGATGCGGAATCGCGGAACACGTCTGGTCGGACAGCGAGCCTCACCTCCGAAGAACTTCACGTCACGATTTCACAGTAACGCGCCAGTCCTGGCGGACAACAGTGGAGCTTCGATGTGCGGATCTTCGAATCCGGTGGCTCAGTCTTTCTCCGAGAGAGTTTAACGCTCGATGAGAATTTGTCTCACCACTCACCACCAGACACACCAGACACACACCATACGAAAATAATCACACTCGAGAATGTGTCGTCTGCTCGTCCTTGTTTTTTTCCTCGCTTGAGCGAAACCGATACGGCGCGAACCAGTGGCTTCCTAGAAGGAACCCTACATTCCACCTCCGTACTCTTCGAGCGCTTCTTTCCCTCAAGAATCGTTCTCGTGAGAATCAGGTGTTGGGCGTTTTCCCTAGGGCAGCAGCTCAGATCGCGGAGAGGGAGAGGAGCATTCGCGGTGCGGTCCTGGATTTTAGCACGAGCATGGAGCGCATCCCTCCATAATGATTCGCGCAGCGATTTCTGGAGCAGTCTTCCCGATCCCTCATTGCGCTTCGCAGGAAAGTGTTCGGTGTTCCCAACCTAGGTCTCGAAACCGTGACCTGTGTAAGCGAGAGGCAGCTCATATCCTCGGTATTGAGTGAGCACATCATCACATCTGCGATTCGTTCTAAAGGGGTGGAAGCTGGTCTCGAGAGTCTATCTCTGCGTAGGCAAAATGTAATGCAGGAGAACCACGAGTGAAGTTGCTCATCAAATCGGGGAAACGCTGTGAAGATTCGCTGTAAACGCTCGTGATTCGCGAGACTTGGTGTAAGAAGTCGGTATTTCTCTCAATGAACAAAGACGCATCCGAAAAGGAGGAACCGGGGATTCGGATCCCTACTTCTCTTCCCATAGAGAACGCCAAGGGCGCAGTCCGGCATGCTTTCCCCAGTTGCGCTCTGCCCATGACTGATATGACGTCTGCGTTAGCGAATCACCAGATACGGGAATACCAGAATCGCACTGATGCCGAGCGATTCGTGAGTCGAACGCGGACAAACGAGCTCGAGGGCAACTTCGACGCGGGGTCATTCGGGACGAGTTCCGCAGCGGAAGTGTGGAAAACCGGACGAGTTGGGGTCTTGAGAATGATGGATGAATGTCTCATCATTGAGAGGCGTTACGTTCTCAATCTTCTGAAGAAGATGAAGGGTCGATGGGCATTTGGCTCGGTGTGCGTCGTCCATCTCGAGGCTGCCTCCAAAGATACTGCGGACCTTCATATGGAATTGGAATGTGCGGAGAGGGGCAGTCTCGATTCTCGGTCTATCGATTCCACAGCCGGCAGATATGGTCTCTCACAGATCTCGCGGATGCGATGAGCAGGATGCATGAACCAACCACGCACCATATCCACTACCTGTTGATGACTGGAAACTGCATACAGCAAAGAGCATTTTGGTTTCTGCATTCTCATGGGCTGTGAGTTCGCGAGTCGTCTTGGAAGAACTGCTCGACTGAGCTGCCGGACTGATCTCGACCAGATATCACTCGACCAAAGTCAGGGAGGGACTAGCAATCGAACCGAACTCGCGTGGCAGGGAGAAAATCCGCAGCAACGTGGGCGGAAACTCAAGTGTTCACAGAGGGCACTTTATTTTCGGTGTTTATGGATAAAGGGGAGGAAGCTCAGCGCAGCATCATGCTCCCATACAACGTATTCCTGACTGAGCTTGCACCTTTTATAGGGATCGTATTGAGAACAGATTGAAATCGACAAAGTCCGGAGATCATCGAATGGACGTAATCGAGCACCGGTTTTCATAGGAACAGAAGTTTCTTTCAGTAATCTTCCCTGAATCAGCGATCCTCCCCGTTCCTCTTCGGCGATGAAAGTCGGGCAAAGATTCTCTATGAAGCGGCAATGCTGTTAACGTACATCCTTGCGCACAGGTCTGCAACTGAGGATCATCGGTCCGAGTCTTAAGAGCAGGTCGGATCGCGAAAAACGGTGCGGAACTTGCGTGGGTATTCCAGGGACGGCGCCGGACCGGAATCGCGTCACATTCGTCGTCTCCTTTGCTCGTCTACGAGCTCTTTCAAGCTTTTAAGATAGGCGTCGAGACGTTCCCCTTCCAGAGGCCTACCAAGATTGTTATCTTCACTGCCGACATCTCCCTCTTCTTGGTAGAGTTTTCTGGTAGATGAGAGGATAGGACATCGTCAATTTCCACTCCGTTTGAATATTTAGGCGACGAGCATAGCTTCGTTCTAAGAAGCGTAACCACACGTCCGTTCGTAAGTATCCCGGAGTCTCGTCGCGGAAGAGCGGATGGAGCTCGCGAGCTATAAACGAACACCCACCGTCTCTGTGTTTTTTCAGGATGGGCAGTACCTGGGAAATCCCGCTTCGTGGCTGCGGAGAGAGATTTTGATACATCTCTGAATAGGGAACCGAATTCGATGGGCCCATGGCAGGGCTCCGTAGTCGAAGCGTGCGCACCTCACCTTCACTATCCTTGACTGTCTTCTGCGCTTGCTTTCGACTGACGCATAATCGCCCCCGTCCATGACGATCGTCAGGGAGCGTTTTGTCTTTCTTGAACAGGAGTTTACGGATTTCCTTAATTTTTTCACGCACTGTCGCAATCTCGGCATCCAACCTGAGTAGGAGGCGAAACCTTCCATGAACATCGAATTCAAATATCTAATGACTCCTGAAAGGGGGAGACGCGATCCGTCCGCCGGAGCTGGACTCCGATCGGATTCAAAGTCGAATGAGAGAATCTATTCACCCCTCGATTAGTTGATTTCCCTTAGCTTCAATCGACTTGAGTTGCAGGCGGCACAAGTTGTGATCTCTCATTCTCTGGATCTGCTCCACAGATGCATTGAATGCTTCTTGCGTCGAGGCCAGATTCCGTTGGTGAATAGCCTGGAGTGAAGGAAGAACAGCAACTCCACGCATTCGTCGATACTCTAAGGGAATCGATTTTGAAGGAGGAGTCATCATGTAGATAATTCCGAGGCGTGTTGTAATAGGGCGATAGGGGATCCTCCATCCCCTTGTCGCCGGGAGTGTCGACTGACCGCCAGCTCGCTCTTGCGTGTCTCGAATTCGTCTTGCAGCCTGAGTCTATCCTGGCGAGCCGACTCCTGGTCCGCCTCGATCGCCGCCTGCGTTTCCGCGCATTCTCGCTAAGGGGAGGAACGACCATTTTGATCACGGAGAATCGTCTTCTAAATGACCAAATGGATAAACTCGAACATGATGCATAGAATTACGCACTTCGAGCTGTGCCATGCGCTCTTCGTGCGATACGTTCGATCGTGTCTCGTCCGCGCGGAATTCGCTACACCCCTGCGAGTCTTCTAGGCAGAGCGTACGATACTTCGAAATTTTCCCCACTGAAAGCGCGCTCACAGTAGAATGAGGAGCTCTAAGGGCACGGTAGCATGTCGGTCCTTTTTGTCAATCCTGGACAATCTGATCTTCGTACCGATCCCGGAAACTCGGGCAGATCCACAGTTCCATTGCTCCATCTCATTCTTCAAGATGGCTCTGCTTTCCTCCCCCACTCGGCGTGCTTCCGAGACACTGGTCAGGGAAGCATCCAACTCCTCGAAATACGCTTCCAAGTCGAACTTTCGTCCGGAGCGCACAGGTTGCAAGGCGCGGAGTTCTGGAACCGTCACAACAACGATTGAATCGGGAAGAGAACATCTCAATTCCTGTGGCACCTGATCGATGGTGATCAGCTGATAGCGCACCTTCAACAACTTGAACCGCTTTTTGGAGCACCTCAGCGACTGACTCCATCGTGGCGATAATAATCGGAGACCGCTCTGCCGAATAGCACTTCTCGATGAGCGCACATGTGTCTCGACACGTTCACTGGTGATATCGGGTTGAGACTGAACACCACGACACACGGCGGCGACTCAATCTGCTCGCAGAAGATATCAGAACTCCCATCATGAGCGTGATCCTTCCCAAGAAGCATCGAGTTTCTCGAAATCCTTGTCACCCTGATAGAACTTGTCAAGAAGCGAACATCGACGAATACTCATTCTTGGTGGCATACTCTCGCCGGGAAGCTGCAATCTGTCGCACGGGCTGATGGTCTTTGTACCTTGAAGCTTGGGCATCGGAAATGTTTCTGAGGACTGCTCAGAGAGAAAATAGAGGAAGATCTCAGTGGGTGGATCAGCGGAAGTCATGAGTCATGACTCATGAATGAGGCGACGTGACCAACGACGTGATCGATGCCATGACCGTCTGAGTCAGAGGAATAGGTAGAGGGAAGCACCCGAGACTGCGGAGGAGCTCTCCCAAGTCTGATTCAAGTGCTCGCTCCGAATACTGGCTTGCTAGAGCTATCGTTAGGAATCGACACATATTCTTTGTAGACTAGGTTCTGAGCTGGTGGATTTTCTGCTCGGGGTGAGCTCCTCGATCTCTCCTCATCTATTATCACGACGGAGGTCGCGGAGGGGTCGCGAGTCGCGATAAAAATCCATCACGCCCATGCCACCGTGTCGGAGCCGGAACGCTCTTCCCTCGGCAGTGCTGTGTCACGAGAGCGCAAAAGAATATCCTTAGGGGCGCTCTTGCTCTCGCGCCTTGACACTGAATTAGCGCAGTGATTTTGAACGATTTCCAATCCTCCCGACAAAATGTTTGAGATTACTCGGATAGAAAGGGAACGACTTGAGGTGCCGTGAATATGTTCTGCCGCTCTCCCGGAGGCGGTCGACGAGACACTCGACATGTTGGCGCGAATTATCTAAGAACGTATCTCTCTCAAGAACACTACCCCGTATCCCATCTCCTCAGAATTTCGCACTTACCAGCAGGGGTCCGAACGTCAGGGGTCAGAGTAGATCCGCAATCGTATCGACTACTTGTTTATTTCTTTTTTCCATATGTACAGTACATGTAATCCCCTTCGCCCGCCAAAGTGAAGCTCAAGCGGGGGAGTAATGCTCAGTTCTTCTGGACGCATCTCGGGAATAATTATTATGGGGAGCCACTCTCGCAGGTGCGAATGAGGAATCAATCTACTGTATACTGTGGACAAGAGATGTACCCATTCACTCCCATATATGACCTTTATGTACACATTAATTCAACAAATCGGATTGATTGATCGGGTATAATCCTCGTGCAACGCTCCAGCTACGTCTCGTTATGAGTCGCATCCTTATCCGCTGCGGAGGGAAATCCAGTTTAAGCGATGAGAAACATTCTCCCTCAAACGAAGACTCATTAATGCAAACATGAAAATCCGAGCTCTGCCATACTCACCGTTGTAAGCGTACTCCAGAGCGGACGAAATGGACTTCATGTCGGTCTCGATGATTTTCGCCCAGTTTTCGACGTCGCCGATTTCTTTAAGAGTCTTGTGGAAGTTATCCAGCAGCGACGTCCACTGTTCGGTCTGCCTAAGGAGCTGCTGGCTGTGCGCGTGGAGCTGTTTTGCCTCAGCGTCGAGCTTCTTCTGGTTCAAATACGCTTGCGCAACCCTGGAGATCAGACCAGATGTCTCAACGAATTCAGGTATGTATTCATTGAAATCATGCTTATTCTATCGAGACTACGGGCGCGGGGCGTTTGCTTGGAATGGAAACTCTCAGAATCAAGAACTCACCCGACATTCAAATGATCCATCATCAGGGAGGTGAACTGATTCGTGGCGTTGATCGCCACTTTCCTCTTGTGCTCTGGAATGCATTGGCTCCGTCAGCTTTGGCTAGAATGGCTTCCCCCGAGGGTCCCTCATACAATCATCGAATCGAATCTCAACAATCAACTTCGGAGCATATTACCAAGTTCATCCCGTCTTTGAGCAGCTCTTTGATTATGCTCCTTGAGGATGTTTGCCAACATGATTCTGTGCGGGGCTCCTGTCGGAATCTGCTATTGCTTATCCTGAAAAAATGATCCGGATCGATAAGAGATCAGAGAATTCCCCAAAGAGAAAGTTCGATGCGTTCGAACTCAAGCAACAACGTGAACTACTGGAAGCAAGAGGTACCGAGATCTGAAAGACGAGACTGGAATTGGTCGCGAGAGTCCTTTCTTTATTGAAAACAAATCTTGATTCCCATACCACGAGTACTGAAACGATGTACACTCATTTCGTTCAACTTGGGCGGCTCAAGCATTTTGGAGCACTAGACTAGAGCACTTTGAAGAATTCTCGTTGCAGATTCAGACCAACAGCAGCGTGAGCGCTGTGCGGTGGGAATATGTTGACGGGCAAGTTCCAAACCATCGTGTTGACATCGAGCTCCTTCGGGGGCATCCAGTCCGTGGACGTGTGCTCCTGAAGTTCTGGCGGAAGCGCTTTGAGATCATTCGGAGTCATGACGAACTCAAAGTGCAGACGCCATGACAGTTCGACAATATCGGTCTGGAACGAGGCGGCCGCATGGACAGGGATCGGGAGAGCCATATGAGTCTGCTTCAGATAGAGACAAACTTCGTGGGCTTTGCCATACGAGAGCATGCTCGTGCACTTCCCATTACTCGTCTTCTCCATGCTCTGCAGGGTGACCGAGTATTGTACGCAGGGAACAGTTGCTTTTGAGAAATCGAAAGTGCCGACGATGTCTTCACCCAATCGGAAATTCGATTTCAGAAGACAGAAGCGAGCGACGTAATGCTCGCCTTGCGTTATGTTGAAATAGGATGGTTGTCTAGGCGCCGTGAGGTCTTCCAGGTATTCCATCGCGCAGTCGACGAGACTGGGTTTTGGCGCGAGGAAGGGATTCAGATTCTCATCCTGATTGTCTCGCTCCGGATATACAAAGTCATTTATCTGGATGACTTTCAGCGGAATTTTCATCAGTTTGCTTGGCGCGTTCATCTTCTGTGTGCCTATCGAGATCTTGTGATTGTAGCGAACCATCTGACCGTTGAACGACGGCGGCAGGAACTGAGGTAAGCGTTCGGTATAAACGAAAGCTTTCACATCTCCGGGGAGGAGATGAAGATCACAGAGAAGAATTGATGGCTGAGATGAATAGATGACGAATCCTTTCTCGCCTTGATTCGGAACGAATGACGTTTCTTTGTTGCCGCTGACCAGTTGATCGCAGCGGACGTTCGCAGGCATTGGAACCTTGCCCTCGTCGATGCTGCAGTAACAGTGGAGTTGGGCTGAGGCCCAAGCGAGCACCTCCGGTGAAGTACTTTCGCACGGTTGAGAAATGTTCTTGAACGTGATAATACACTCGATCATGTCCCCAGCGATGTAAACTGGTTCTCTGACCAGTTTCGCCTGTATTTGAATCATCTCGACCTATCCGTCGAGCAAACAAGCAGATTCGGTTTCAGGGTTTCCGCCGCATCCGAGCTCTTCCTCCGCGTGCGATTCTCCGCTCGAACGTCAAGATCCTCAGAGAGGGCTTGAGAATCTGACAGCTCACTCCGGCGTCAGCTGTTGAATAGCAGCAGGAGAAGAAACGGTGACAAGACACAGCACTTCAATAGTATACGGCCCGACCGAACACAGAGAGCAAAAAGATTGCGTTCCAATGATTCTCGTCGACAACTCACCGGATTGTGTGAGCCAAGGTAGAATCTAGGTTGCTCTTCCACGTCCGGGGTGTCGGTTTCTGTCTGCCGTCAGCCCTCTGACTTCGTATCGTATGATGATGAGCAGCGGTCGACGGCCGCTGACGGGCCGCCAAAGGCGGTCTTATCGGCCGAGGGTTCTCCGCTCTCCATCAAACTCGTAGCGGTGGCCGATGGAGCTAGATCGGAGTTCAGAGAGACGATGGCTAATTGTGGTCTGAACAGAGCCCTCTGCTTAACTGGTCCCGGTGGCTCCACAGGATGTATCCATTTATCGAACCTCGAGAGAACGAGAGCTCGCGAGATCTTGGCGGCAGCTAACCAATGCGCTCCCTTGAATTTCGCGCCACAAAAAGCCCGGGAGCCCGCCGAATTCAGCGGAATCTCGTTTGTGATTGTATTTGTCAATGTGGGGGACGGAAGTGTCTGTCTGAAGGGATCAATTCAAACGGATGCGCGAAGAATTCTCGAGTCGAGATCAAAAATTGAGGATTCGAGATTCTCGTCTTATGCGAATCGCAATGATCCAAGTTCCCTGTCTCTGAAGCTTCTGTCTCCGAAGCATCGCTGTCTAACTCACGGTGTCATCGGCCCAGGTGCGGTGGCTAGTCCGAATCAGAAGCTGGTAGCAGAGTGACTTCCCGCGAATTACGATCCTCGGCAGCTTTGGAGCTCGGATCGCGATCGTTGCCTCCCCACCTTCCTCCAGGATTTGAATGAATCATTCCTTGAAGGATTCTTCGAGTGTATGTTGCTCGAGGGTCTCCTAACCCTTCGCCGACTGTCGGGGAAATCCAATCCGGCCAGTTTGCCTTGTGTCAGATCGACATCGGCGGAGTCGACACAGGTTTGGTGGCGATTCTCCATCTGGGGGAAATCCGATCCGAACAGCGGCTAGAAATAGAAGAACAGCTTCCCAGGTATCGAGCATCTCCGAACTCCGAATCTCTGAGAGTACTATAGTGTACGCTGATCCTTCTCACTTTTCGCAGGGTCAAGTCGGAGGTCGTGACGTGGCACCATCGACCATCAATGATGATTCATCATCAATATCATATATATATATTTATTAATTGCACTCGATAACAGAGTATAGTACGGCCACATCGCCTTCGTGGTGCGTAAATTCAGCTAGTTTTCTTCTTACTTAGACGGTACAAGGAGCTTAATCCGGACCGGCATTTGGCAGCATGGTATTTCGGGCATGAGTCTCCGCAATACCTACTAAGACACTTAGCTCCATCGGCGTCATGGAAGCTGTTGTCCGTACAGAGCAGATGATGATATCCATGAACTAGATATCATCAATATTATAATACGACAATCATACGATATTCATCGCTTCTTCTTCTCCCGGTATCGAGCAAGCGAGCTTCGACCATGACAGCACTTTTCCGATGGAAAAGAGAGAGGCGGATTCCGAAAGCCTTCTTCCGGTCATCGAAGTCTCCGTCAGAAGCCGCTCGACATTTCCTCTCTGTAGCATGCATATCTCATTCTCCACATAAATCCACCGGAGTCGACTCTGACTAGCCGCCCACATTCCCACTTGGAGGTGGACGAATGAGGAGCTCAGGCTAAGGCATTAAGCTCCGAATTAGAGGCTTTCCGAAACCTAACTCTCCAACGTGGGAGTTGCGGTCTCGCGGCGCATGGTCTCGACGATTTTTTCCTCGAATAGTAATTGCTCGAACTCACCGATTCCCCGGGATAGAATGCTCCGACGAGTGATAATGGACGAAAACAAATTTATCCCAGCCGTCCAAGATCTCGCTCCTTCTTCTCTGACCGCGTGCGTGGACTTGCACTCCTCCGTGGCGTCAGTCAGACCTCATTGAATTCACTTAATGATCGGCCAGATCCGGTCCTCATGCTAGCACTAAAGTCACGACTTCACTCAGATATCGCGCGTCCTTCTGAACGAGTGCGAGGTCGTCAATGGAGGGAGCTGAGACCGCGACCAAGGTTGTGCTCGCCGTCGATGACTCCCGCAGCTAGAAGAGAGGAGCGCAATTCAACCTCCTCTAATCCGGGAGCTTACTCCAATCAGCTCCTGCAATCTGCCCGGAGATCCGATAGCTCGGAAAGAAGGTTGAAGCCTCATCCTGTGGACTCACTCTAAACACGGAGAAGTCGGATCGTAGCGAGCACGGAGGGGTAGCGAGCAAGCACCTTTACTTATCCGAAGTCCATTGAGCAGTACAATCTGTCCTGACTCCAAGGCAGACCGATCGTTTTTGATAACCCTCCCTCTGAAGTGCCCGATATCTTTGAGGAAGCCTCAGCCCCGCTCGGATTTCGACGAAGATCGCGACTTCCATTCACGACTTATGCACGGACCCTCCATGAAATCGCTCATTGAGGATTCCATCATCATCATGAGCAACTGCTCCAAGGTACTTCGCAGATTCAAAGCCAGGTCGGAGCTGCCCGACGACGCTCGATTTCGCTTCCGAAAAGAGCGCGGGAAGATCCGAACATAACCGACGAGGAGAGACTGATGAGTGATGAGTCATCAATCAGGGAATCCCTAGGTGCTCGTTCGTCGAGATTCTCTTAGTTGTTGCATTGCCTTATCGAAGACTCACGATCAGTGGCGTGCTTCCCCATGGTGCCGCCATTTTTCGGACGCGATCGACCAAAGTGCCGCCCCCTGTCCGAATATTTTCCGCGAATTTCGAAAATTTACACGAAAATACACGTTTTTTGAATGTCGATCTCGAAAATGCCGCCCTCCGTAAGTGCCGCCCGGGCCGGACCGCACCCTCCGCCCCCCCCCCCCCGCCGGAGCACGCTACTGCTCACGATGAATTCCTGCGAGGAGCGCAACGGAGTCAACGGCTGTCAGCAAAAAGTATTTGGTACCTCAATGACAGTCTTGAAACTCTTCTCGTATTGGTCGGAATGTCGCCCGAGAGGAACGAGAATCGCGCGGGCGAAGATCACTCTCTCTCTGGACCGGCTGGCCATCGACCAACATTTTTTCTCGGTGAATTCTACGCATTTTACGATGATAATGGGCGCACCGATGTTTCAAGTAGGACGTGGAGAATAGTCTAGGATCTCCGTAAAGTTCAAAAATGACGAGAACGACGAGTCAAACGAAAGATCGGATTCAGATCGTTCATCAAGCCTTCTCACACTCGACGCAATTTTCGCAGCGCTGATCTCAATCTACTCCGTCTTGGCACAGGCGAGCGTTCCGGTGAGCTTCCGACTCGGATCAAGTTCGTCCCGAATGTAGTCTGCACAGGTGGTTTCGATTGAAGACATCAGATAGCTCTTCCCGAGCCAAGAATTGAGCACTGAGCTTGTGACCCTGCGCACGACATCGAATGTACCCGTCATTTTCCGCAAAACGATGTCTCCGATATCCAAGCACTCGAATTTGTTCAGAATCATTTTCTTGAAGTTCCACTTGTCCAACTGGAAGCACAGACGGATCATTCTCGGGCTGACGACGCATCTATCCTTCCTTCGGGAGGAGAAGGTGCATATAGAGTGGGGGAACCCCCAGGCCTGACTGTGAATCGCTCACCGTGATGTCTGCGGCAATCAAGATTCTTCCTATGGAGCTCTCGATCTCTCCCGCCGAACTTAGAGGCCACTGTTCGAAGGCGTATCGACCCGTTAACGACACGTCACGGATCTCTAAGCCGGTTCGCAACCCGAAGCCTCGGTCGGAAAACCCGAGGTGTGAGTTGTCTTCGGTGCGGTACAAGTTGAGCAGATTACCCAATCGAATCTATTGATCAGGACCACTTCTGATACATCGCGGACCGGACTTCAGACTCTGACTCTAAACATTGATGGATCGGACATATTAATCATTCACAGAGTAGAGCGTAAACTCACGTCTTTGATTGTTATAACGCTTGTCGTTATGTTCCCAGGTATCTTAATTTCTTTGATTCTTCCATCCTCAACCGCTTTGTTCCTAGCGACTCTGAGTACGAAATCGATAACTCGATCTTGGAAGGGAGAGCACGAAACTAGGGGCGAAACAGTCCAGGGGTTCGGAAGGAATCTACGATCTTGCTGGATATAGATATCCTGAAGAAAGCTCGGTACCTCCAATAGCGAATGCCAGAACAATAGAAATTATCACGATGGTCAGGAGCTGCATATCTGCTGTCCTTCAGGCAAATTAGGGAGACTTGAATGAGTACACTGTCCGTCGATACGGAATTTTTAAGGCGAGAAATCCTCCCCAATACTCGCTACAGATCCGCACAATGGTCGAGAATGCCTACATTGCGTCATTTTCCATGGACAGCACAAATTGCATGTCGCGATCCGCTATAATCGGTTATGTCATCAATTTGAACTTGCTCTGATCCCAGGAACAACGAATTCGCCGAGCGTCCTCGCATTCCCGATTCTCGTTCACCTATTTCCGCACGATTGAGACGATGAGCGGTGTGGGAATAATTCGTTGGGTGAGAGACGGGGTATTATTCAGCTGCCACTTGATCCCTGCCTCTTTCGCGCGTCGAGTGGATGTAGTTTCCTATTCCTGCGTTCCGGCATCTTTCGTGATTCGTGAGGATGGCATCCATGTGCCCCGGGCGGAAGCCTCGATTTGAGCCTTGGATTGAAATTTGTGGCATCTTGGCTCGCGAATAGTGGATTGCGCTCCGCATTCCTGAGCCAGATTGAGCTGAGAAGAGAATGAACGGAGGAGTCGAGTGCATGGAGACGGAGCGAGAAAAAGCTCTGACGGCTCGAAACAGAGATTCCAGTTTTCGGGGATCAACCAGGTCCTTAGGACAATTTCCTCAGCCGAGCCCTTGGGGCAGTAGACGTCCGCGCACCGGGTCATGGGAATCTCCTAAAGCGCCAAGCGCCCACTGCCGCGGCAACTACGCCGAGCTGGGGGAATTCATTCATGCCCTTCTACAAGGGTCCGATGCCGGTGTCATCGATGGGAAGTGTCAGGGAAATATACAGATCATCGATGCTCCGAGCTTAATTCCGTAGACGGAGTCCAGCGCGCCGCAATCCAGCTGTCAGATCGAGGGATGAAGGAGTCGGCTGCTCGCGAACACCCGCGGAATTTGAAATCGCTGCCTCCGTGCCCACACCCGATGCCAGTCTGATCAAACTCTTCGGAATAAGTCTGCTGGGTTCCACAGATGAATTCTCATATCTGCGTATGGTGATACAAAGCGAGATAGCGAAGCCGCTGACGGCCGGCAGACAGCGACGATTGCGGTAGGCGGTCCTTCGAGCGATTGTTGATGTTCGATGAGTCGAAAAGCAACAAAAACACGGAGAGGGTGTTGTGCTCCGTGCGAACATCCAAATCACGAGGTGGGAATGTCAAAATAAGTCACACCGCGGATTCGGACTGAACGGTCATACGGTACGATATCGCAGCCTTTGATGGCGACCTCAGCCATCGCATCAGATCCGCGAATTCAGGAATCGATCGCGAGGAATGTGAGCCGGGAAGAAGATCCAACCGAACTTCAGTTTCACGCGAGAGCGTTCCGAGTCTCGATCCTCGATCCCAACCCCGGAAAAGATTGTTCCTGGAGCTTCTTTCGAGGGAGAATAAAAATGAGCGGTCTTTGTTCTTCTCGATAGTCTCTGTTTGCTGAGAGAACGAATTATCGAGCGAACGAGTCATGAAGCTCCTGCGGTCAATCTTCACGGCACGACGGTTCGCCACGAATTCCGGCCTTAGATCCCTGGAGAGGAACTTCAAGATCACCAGACTGAACCATGTATCCGTGGCGACCAACGCGGTCGACAAGCAACGAACGTTCTGGAGTGACGTCATGGGTCTCCAGGTACCGGATTCAACCCCGCCCCCCATCAACGTGCTCTCGTTCCCTCATAATGGAGATACACGGTCTCAACGACACAGTTGAGACTCCGCTTCGCCCTATCAAACTCGTGGGGACCATTTGAGTATACCGAGCTACTTCCAGGTCAGTTCCGAAACCCCGCAACCCGATCACGGAGTGACAACGGTATTCGTTTCGTTGGATAACACGAAGTTGGAACTGCTCGAGCCAATGGAGAGGTCCCCCATCAGCGCTTTTCTCAAGCAGAACAAAGACGGTGGAATGCATCACCTATGTCTCGAAGTCGACAACATCAGAGCCGCAATGGAGCACGTACAGAAATGTGGGGTCAGGTGCGTTCGGATATTCGATGCGATTACGGCTCCCCAACCCCAGCACGGAGTTTCTTCTTGAAGCGTCACCCTTTTGGTATCGTAATTTCAGTCATCATCGCCGTGGTGGAACGTGTGCTTTCATCAGATTCTGGTGTAGACGGCATCATACATCTTGCGAAGAAAAGCGGTTCACTCGAGCGGAGGGATGAAACGTATGCTCTTGTCCGCCTGATCTTCTTCAGGATTCGCATGGATTATCCCGCGGCGACTCCGACTGAGGCACGCTCGATTCGAGTCAGTTCCCTCTTACCATCGAGAACGGACCGGCACCAGGACCTCGGATCGGATGCGAGAAAACAATCTGAGACAGGGCTAGTTTTCCCGCGAAAAATGTATGAGTTGCGATTCGCGAACGGCGTAGACAAACCGGCAGACGAGCCCGTCCCGAGATCTATGTCGACCAGAAAGGCGGACGACACGACTGACGTTGACGCTCGAATGCAGGCTCAGGGTCACGGGCGAAGTGCGTGCTTCGCGTGACGCCAGCGAGCTCTGATGACGCGATCAGACTTTTGGGGAGGGTTCAATCACCTTATGAGTGCTCTTATCGTGGAGACTTGGACCGAAGTTGAAATCTCTATCGGAAAAGCATTTCGAGCTCGGGAATTATGTACCAATTAACATGGGGAATTCGGGGGAGAGTCGTCAACCGATAGGGAACATTTCCAGGAGAGCGGAAGCTAATGAGCTGAAGGTGGTTTATCACCTTTCCAGGTGTCTGAATTCCGAGCCGGAGATCGGAGCCCACGGGAAGCCAGTGGTTTTTTTACATCCGAAGGATTGTGGTGGCGTATTGATCGAATTAGAAGAAGCGTGACCTGATCCATTCGGAGGTTCCTGTGTGATCGGGAGAACGAGAAATTGCACCCACCCATCAGTGTGGGGGGAATGGACTCGGATAACTTATTTCAGTGTGGGGAGAATGTTTTCGCAATAAAGTTGAAGCCGCTTCGTTCAAATGGTCTTCATGAGTCGAATTGCTTTTATCGTTCATGAGAACTATGCCGTGATTCTTGAAACTGTAGAAGCCTGATCCTTAGATTCGAACGCGTCTCCTCAGAGGCATTGTATAAGTATCCCACGAGGAGTATTTTGTAAACCATCGAGATCAGCGACAACCCCCGGAGCGACCCGTAGATGCCTTTGAAGCAAGCGATGACGTTTTATGAGCGCCAAGGACACAGCGACTCAAAGGAACAACGAAACAGGCACTCGAAGCGATTCGAACAGTAATTACTCTTTGAGGTGCAGAGGACTGGCGAGAGCTGACAATCGGGCATTGGGCTCTCGCTATCGTCCCTGCGCTCGGATCGAGTCCGGCAAGCCTTCGCTGCCATCGATGCCTCTTCCAGTGACAAAGTATGATGAACCAAGAACGTCATATCCGATAGCCGGTGCTCTAACTCGAGCTCGCAATCGACGGTCTCGCTCTGATTGAGGCGAAGAACGCTCAGAGTCGTCTCTTGCGGCAGAATATCCCCCTCGGCGACGAGGAGATGAACCTCAGCTGAACTCGTTGTCGCAAATTTTCCGGCACCCAACAACAGACAACAACTACCGACGACGACGATGACGACAACGGCAACGTGAGATCGAGGAGGATTCGTCAAAGCGAGCCGGCGAGGCCGCCGTTGGAGGGCGCCAGGCTCGTGTCCTCCTCCAAAATGGCGCTGCTTGGCATGCGCTAGCCGAGTACTTACAGAGAGAGCATAACAGTGAACTAGTAAGCGGAGAGAATGATAGAACTAAGCACAGTGGCCGAGTTCGGCTGTTCATAGTAGTTCAACAGAGCTTGTGATGTGAGGTGTATTCCATTCATCGACGAGCGTGAAATCAAAGCCAAATCCGGATTATTGGGATTGTGCGTACTCGTCAACACACTCGTTCGTCCGCTCGCCATCTCAGTCGCTCACTCATACATCAACGAAGTGTTCCACGCACGCGGAATTCGAGAATATTCATAATATAGTAGCGAGAAGCCGCAAGAACGAGACGAACGTCACGAGCGACAAGTGCAGCCAGAGGGCTGCAGCACCGACTCAGCGTCTGGCCCTGTGGGACCGGGCGATGCGGCCGCGATGGACGGCTGAGAAAGTGGATACGTCGAACATAAATTTAGCGTAGCGTGAGCCGACTTCAAGTAGACCGAGCAGCCGATCGAAAGACCGACGTTTACACACGCTGTTAGGAAAATCACCGACCGACCGACCGAGAATAAGACAGAGGATCAGTCAGAGCGAGTGAAGGAGAGACGACCGATGGTCACTGAGGGAGACTATCCGAGGAGTGATTCTCGAGGATACAGGAATCGCAGAGGATGAAACCGCTCGGCAAAACTAACACGTTATCAGCACCAATTCATCATTGAGCTTGTTGTTCCGGCGAGCCGAAAGGGAACTTGACACTGGCAGCGGAGGGACTTCGCGTAAACATTGCTTTATTCCTCTCGCCGTTGTTGTCCTAGAGCTCGCTCGATGTCATCTTCGCCGTCGGTCGAGGTGGTCCTCTTCGTGATGACGCTATTCGCCGCGTGAAGCTTATTTTGTCCGTGTGGGTTGCACAGTCTACACTACGTTGACGAGTCGAGTATTTGTAACAGAGGCGGCCGCCGTTGGTGCTGCTGCCGCGTCTGCTTGTGAATCGACCCTACTACGGACTCAATGAAGCTTTCGAGTAGAGTAGACAAGCCGAAGTCCTACCGAGACGACCCAAGCTTGCTGGAAACTCGATGCACGCGATGAGCGGCATTCGAATGAGTGAGTGACTGGAAGAGAGGGCGAGCGAGCGAGTGAGCGACTGGACGAACCTTGTCAACAACCACGACGTCGACGATAACGAAAACAGCAGCGACAGTAACAACAGCAGCAGCAGCAGCAGCCACAAGGAAACAAAAACTGCCTCAGCTCGGAGAGGGGAGAACAGCAGCAGCAACAACGACAACGACGACACCGTCGGAGCCGAGACCTCCCACGAAAACATTATCCAATGTGATTGTGACAGCCAGAAAGCTGATATCGTTCCACGATATCAATACGACTGCTACGGGCCCGAGGATGGCCGCCCCGACCTCGGCCGGGGCCGCATTGGCGTCTCAGATTAATTTATCGGCGCTCTTCAGCCGTCTCTTGTCGGCGGCTCCTCCGAAGTTAGTCATAGAACGCAGAACCATAGAGAAGACATGGAAGCTCATGGACAAGGTAGTCAAACTGTGCCAACAGCAACGCATGAGTCTGAAGAATTCGCCACCTTTCATCCTCGACATCCTGCCAGACACGTACCAGCACTTGCGTGTCATCTACTCGAAACACGAGAACGAGATGGTGTTGCTAAACGACAACGAGTATTTTCGGGAGTTCATCTCGAACTTGAATCGCAAATGCAAACAAACCATCAAATTATTCAAAGAGGGCAAGGAAAAAATGTTCGACGAGCAATCGCAATACCGACGGAACCTCACGAAGCTCAGTCTCGTATTCAGCCATATGCTTGCCGAGTTGAAGGCTATCTATCCTCAGGGCATTTTCGGCGGCGACAACTACCGCATCACGAAAAGCGACGCTGCCGAGTTCTGGAGTTCTCATTTCGGGGATAAGACCATCGTTCCGTGGCGGCTGTTTCGACACACGCTCCACCAGGTGCACCCCATCGGTTCGGGTTTGGAAGCGATGGCTCTCAAGTCGACCATCGACCTGACCTGCAACGATTACATATCCAACTTTGAGTTCGACGTATTCACGCGTCTATTCCAACCCTGGTCGAGCCTACTTCGGAACTGGCAAATTCTCGCTGTCACCCATCCGGGCTACGTCGCCTTCCTCACTTACGACGAAGTCAAGGCTCGCCTGCAGAAATATATCACCAAACCGGGCAGTTACGTATTCCGGTTGAGCTGTACACGCTTAGGCCAGTGGGCCATTGGTTATGTGACGGCCGAAGGTACAATTCTACAGACAATTCCTCAGAACAAATCACTCTGCCAAGCTCTTCTCGATGGCTACAGGGAAGGCTTTTATCTGTTTCCCGACGGACGAACCACGAACCCGGACCTTTCGTGGGCCGTCCAGGCGACACCCGAGGACCACATCAAGGTCACCCAGGAACAGTACGAACTCTACTGTGAAATGGGATCCACCTTTCAGTTGTGTAAAATCTGCGCGGAGAACGACAAAGATATTCGTATTGAACCCTGCGGACACCTTCTGTGCACGGCCTGTCTCACGTCATGGCAGGATTCGGAAGGTGTGGGATGCCCGTTCTGCCGAGCAGAAATCAAGGGCACCGAACAAGTGGTGGTGGACCCCTTCGAAGGGAAGACCTTGCGGAGGTCAGAGGTGCGAGAAACTCAGCATAATAACTCGTTGGTTGACCTTGAAGACGACGAACCTTTTGAGGATCCAACAACCTGGATGTCATCCCTTCACGCTCTGGCTGTGAATCACACCGCTAAGCAACAGGACCCAAGTAATCGAGCAAATAGCCGTTCGCCGTTCGTATCCCCCCACCAGAGTCCGACACTGGGTCGGAAAGCCTGCTTGACATCGTCCACAATCCCTTCTGTCGCTCCTCCCGTTCCCCCGCGGAGAACATCCCCTATAGCGACACCTATACAATCCCCGGAAGCTTCTCCGAGGCGTCACAGTCTCACCAAAGGCGAACAATCGGATTTGTTAGTTTTCGATTCGCCCCCGGTGCCGGCGACACCCATCGTAAATGCACCCAGTCCCCCAACTCAAGCCCAACCACCGAACAAGGACGATAACAGCACCTCCGTACAATACTCCGAGCTTCAAAAGGTCAGCTCATCTTCAACAAGTTCCTCAAACTGCGCATCCCCATCTTCCCATCAACAACAACACCATCATCATCATCATCATCAAATTCACGAGAACGACCAGCTACAACAACAGCAGCAGCAGCAGCAAGTGATGTATGCAGAGCTTGAACCGTTCGAGGCATCGGAACCAAACTATGCCAACACTCCTCTACCGGCCCAGAGGAACAACGTGCCTCGGATCCCCGCCAAATCGGCATCGGAGGCGGTAGGACTCAGTCCAGTATTGCCTCACGCACCGAAACTCGAGCGACGCAATTCTTCAAACAACGGAACTTCGACGGGTTTGAGCGGCGGAAACAACGGAGTTGTTCCGTCGCAGCAAACTGCGGCCACCGGAACGAGCAGAACTGCGCTCGCTGTCAAACCCCTAGGTACGAGTTCGATACAGAACAATAAGGAAAACAATGATAATAGGCTAGTCGACTATGAAAATCTTCGCATGGACTACATCGCCCAGCTGACAGGAGAGGGATACAGTCAAGACGCTGTGATTAGGGCTCTAGGAGTGGCTCGGAACGACCTTCCTATGGCAAGAGATATTCTTTACGAATTCGCTGCGAAACGCTCTCAGCAGACCATGCAAGCCCAACAAGCTCGCGATACAGCGAAGTAGGGAGGGGCCGGTCGGAAAGAACTATAGAGACCACGTTGATATATGGCAAACGATACGGAGACGACGATCTGCCTTTCGTTATTTCTTTTCTTCCTCTCCTCCTCCTCTTCCTTCTTGTTCGTATAATCCTTCCCGAGCGAATACACACAAAGTCGGACAGACACAGCCGGGCTCGCTGCTTTGGACTCACAGCTAAGCACTCGTTCGGTTATTAATGGTCAGACACTGCCTGACTGAGTCTGGTCCTCCCGTGCAGATGTCGGAACAGAACAAATCGAATCCGTGGGAGAGACACTTTTGAGACTTTTGGTCGTCGTCGAAACCCTCTCCGAAGACTGAATCATTCTGGGGAGCGGCTGAAACTTCCATTCACGAACACACACTTTAAGGTAGGGAATTATTGCGAGCCCACAAGCATCACCACCTTTTAGTACTACACCCGACTCCCTAGCTCGAAAGCCGTGTTCTTTTCTCCTCCGGAGTATACGGCCATCCTCTCCAAGGCAGCAACAGTGACTTTGAAAATGGACAGAGAAACAAAATAAAGAGAATATACATAATTATATACATATAAAAGATATATACTCGAATAACCGTGATGACTCCGATGATTACGCCAAGGCACTTATTTATTTACCTTATATCTAATTGTATCTCTCATGTATAAACACTGCGACGATGCAACCAGGACGACGAAGACGATGAGAATATTATCTTGAGACCTTCTAAAATCATGAATATTAATCAACAATAAAACTCCAATCCTTTAGAGTAAAATGCCCGAGTACTCGACCAAAGACGACAGAACGCGCCTTCGGGCGTATCCGGCACGAGCATACTGCTCTCTGTGACGCGAGGAAACGTCTAGAGACTTCCCCGGAAGGCGTGGTTCATCGCCCAGAGCAGACCTTTCGAGATCGATCCATATACATATGTATGTACTCCACACTCGAACTTTCCGTCAGGCGAGCTCGAGGCGCTAAGTGTCTTCGGAGGGAGCGGTTTTCGCGTGAAAGGGTATTGAGACTTCTGCTGCAGTTTTCCCGGAGGAAAACACAGCAGTCCATTCTGTGGAATATCCAGTCGACGGTAGGCAGCTGATCCCAGGAAGTATTCCTCCTTTCAAAGTATTGCACAGCGACAACAACCCACCTGCTCCGTTGGGGGATTGCGGACTGGATCTCCGAATATTATACCTAGATTAAGTCGACCACGTGGTCGAGTCCAAGGCGCGTCATTTTGTACTCATTGCCATGCTACTTCGCGAATTGGCGTAACATCACTGAAAATAGAGTAGGAATGATATTCTCTTCAGACTCCTTCGTACCTACAGCGACTTCATTCTCCGGATTGCGACTTCGCGGCCGGGGCACCGTACTCTTCGGTTCAGACTCGAGCTCTTGGGAAAACGATGAGGCTACTATGGTCGATTAGGAAGATCTGATGGCTTTGTAATGATGTTCGACAATGCTTTAGATCTCACCCTTCCAGAGAACTTATCTCCCTCCCGGGAACGTAAGAAAATTATCCCAACGAAGCTCTTGAGCATCTTCGACAACTCGTGCGGAGTCAGAGAAACTCTGGACGCGACACTTGTCTCCGAGACTGCGGCTCATTACTGGAATCTCATATTCTAAACGCCTCGTTGCCAAAATTTACATCGACTCCTGCGCAGACGGCCACAGCGACTGCTGCGGAGCCGTCAGCTGAGAAAGCGACGGCATCTTATATAGGCCTAAGTGTCTGAACTCGTCTTTAGTTGCTTGCTTGCCTGCCAGCTTGTTTGCCAGCTGCCCCTACCCTCGTAGTTTGCTGAAGGGTAGCACGCTCGTACCACAGCAGCGTCTACCCTTTAAAACGTGCTCTGCCAAGTGTAAATCATGGAGGAACGAGGCGTCGTAAGGAAATACTCGCATGCAGTCATTGCGCCTCACCGATCTAGACGCTCGTTCCACGGGAGACAAGGAAGACACATGGCCGAGGCTCCGAAGGTTGAATCCGTGCTCTCTTGTGGTTCTGCCGGAAAACTCTTGGAGACAGGAGCTCTATCAAGCTGGCCCTCCATCCATCATGGAATATGAGAGGTGTACCCACCGAGGGTTCCCACAGCTCCGGCGAATTCTGCAGGACATTCCATGAGGCTTAAGCGGAAAGCGACACCACTTTTCCGAAAATTCGAAATGTTTCCCGAATGGTGCTCGAATCAAGACTTTACTATACTGTCACAATAATTCTAAGCAGGAAATGATCTAGGAGCACACGGATCTTCCAAGCTAATCGGAACGATCTCTCGGGAGGTTTCCCAGCTCCGATCCGAGTAATTCCATCTCGGTGGACGACGACGACGGCGGCAACGTCAACGAAGGGACAGGGCTTCAGGGGGGTAGAAGACGAGAAATGCTCCACAGTCGGAGAGAAGGAACCCGGGAGGATCCCGGGACCAGAGCCACGGAAAACCATACAATACTGATTGCGGACGGCTGAGGATGGCAGAGCTCGTCTAAGTCGCGCCCACTACAGTTTTCCGCCGCCGCCGCTCGTAATGAAACACGCAACGAGTGTCAATTACGTGTAAGTGCTTCTATCCATTGTCGTCCTTTTATCCGAAAGAGAGTCTGGTCCGTTCAGAGCATTCGTATTATTTTCTGAGTGGCAGAGAGTCTTGACATTCTTCCTCCCCGCAGGGCTAGGTCAGCTCGTGTGACGATTGGTAACAGTCCATTCGGTCGCTCGCCCGCTCGGATATCTGTCGCCAGATGCTCTTACGAAACGTTCTATGGCGCGGTGGCTTGACAATAATTGAAACACTGCGCGAAAATGGAGGTTCATTGGACGAAACAATGACCGGTTGAGGATAGTTGGGAGCGATGAAAAAAGGCATTGGTGGATCTTGGATCACAACCACTCGCTTTGAATGAAGTCCGATCATGACTCTTGATTCATTGTTATTGTGAGCAACGAGAGATGTCCCGGTGGCCCTAAACCTCCTTCGCAGAATTACTAACGACGTGAAGATCACTTGGATAAGCTTTGGAGAACACGTCATGAGAAGCTCCCTGCCTCTACGAGGGTCCAAAGTCTCGCTTCCTCCGAATTCTTGAGGCAGTCAGTTAGAATTGGGCGAGAGAACGGTCCGTCTGTTGACACAGCATCGCGTGAACACAGAACACACACGAAATGTAGGGGCAGAGAAGCGTAGGAACACATCGATGGCACGGGCTGGAAAGTCAACACAAAAATTGCACGTCCCTAGGATCAGTCACGAGCGGACTGCATCTCCATCCAGCAGAGAGGAATCTATTGCAGCCGGCAGACACTGCCTTCCGAAAAATCAAGAGCTTGATTGGAGTCAGCGAGAGCTTCTCAGCCGGGAAATTCTTTTAATAGTTTCCTCCCGATTGACCCGATTTGGTCTCCAGTCCTCGCTGGAGGACATAAGTTCCCGGCAAATCATTCGAGAGGCTGCCTCGAGTTTGATTGGGGAAGGAGGTCAACGAGGCGTTTTTTGGCTTCCAGCGGAAGTCTGACAAATTGTAGGAAGAGCAAGCCGTATTCTGAAGCACCGTCTGGTGACGTAAGCGCTGTCATTCCTCGCTACGAAGTTTATTGAGTTTGTCACTAGCTGGAGCACAAAACTCGACGTGCAGAGAGTAATTGCGACCCTCGACGGCGGGCGAGAACAGCAACGCCCGACTACAGCAATTTGCGGGAACATTTATACTTTTTCCATTGATTCACCGACCCGGAAGTGTCGGCTTGAGCCTGTCGATCTCCGGGAATGACATCTTCCCACGTGCTCGACGTGATAACTTTTGACTTGCTCCTCGACGCGGCTGTACGTTCGGACTCATGATCCGGGACCCAAGGAGAATCAACGCCGAGTGCAGCGAGTAGCATCGGTTCAAGGCATTCACGACCACGCATAATTGCTCGGAAAGAATAGGCTCTTTTCTTCCTGAGCGTTAGTCCCTTGACTCAGGATCCCCGCAGATTCCGTCTCTTATGATCACAAAATCTAGATGGAACATCTCTTAACCTTTAGCTTGTGTACATTCCAAGTCGGAACAGCTGAGCTACCCTACGAATGCGGAATCGAAACCTCTTATCGATCTACGCCGGATCGCAGTCGACTTAAGCGAAATCGATGTTTTTTCTAAAGCTGAAGCGTGATCGCTGCGAAACTCGGCGGATTTTTTCTATACATGGACCCCGCACTGTTCTCCTCCTGTCAGAACAAACTCTCGGGAACGAGACGGTGCTGTTCCCTCATTGAGTCGTTTTCTGTACCTCCTGGTCGGGACATGTGTCCCTTATACTCGCTGCTCGAGAGGGTCGGGATCGGCGCAAAAAGTTCGTCCGTTGCTTCCCCGCTCTCAGCGAGCGTGATCTCGACGAGCTGATACTCGGAACGGAATTTGGAGCTTCCCGTTCTATTGATGCAATTCAATATTGACTCGGATGGTGAACGTCATCCCATAGGGTTCCTTGTCGTCCGAGTCGTCTTTCCGAGATTGTGTCGACCTTGCACCAGCTGGAGAGGCGCTCGACTAGCTCAAGGAAGGATCTGATGTCCAAAAGCCCACTAGATTCATTCCAATGACTCGGGAATCAATTTCAGCCATCGCGGAGCTTCTCGGACAGGATACATGTTGACGCCTCTCCTCCCAATTCTCTCCCTCACGTTGAAGCATGAGTATTTCGGATTGTCGCGGCAGCTCTGTATAGGTTCGTGGTTTGCGGGGCCGATTAATTCGCGTCGCGGTCCGTTGCGCGGCAGATCTTCGCAAATCGTTCTTCTCCCCATTGCCCCGATGTAGCTTGCTACGTTAATCAAGCACGGGAGCCGTGTGCAAAGCGGCAGTACATTGGGTGTCTGATGGAAGTTTTATGCGGGAAGTTTCTCGTCCAGTCCATCTGCGGCACGACCGAATGAGTTGGTGATCATCTCGCACAACGCAGGAGTACCTCTCGCGAGCGACCTCCGATTGCCACCGTCGGAGATTCCGGAGCACGAATCA